AGGATCAAATCTAGGGAGATTAGAAAAAGAATGTTCAAAAACAGAAGAAAATAAATTACATTTGGCCTGATCATCGAAAATAAAAGCATTGTTATGCTCTAAACATGGTATAGGAGAATAATTCTGAGTCAGGGTTTTCATATATTTGATCATGTTTTTACGGTTACTTACTATAGATTTAATTCTTTGTGATTTGAAAGAGTTAACAAGATGTTTAATTGTTTTGGAAACATTAATATATTCTTCTAGACCACAATTTGATTTTTTAAACTCGGTAAAAAGTTTTTTCTTATATTTGATGAGTTTCCTAATATGAGAAGGGTAATTTACCGATTTTTGTTTTACGGTTATTGTGCGTAAGGGAGTATATTTTTCCATGAGAGTTGAGACAAGTTCAAGTAAATATTCGTATTTATCTGATATATAGAATTTTTCATATATACAATTAAAATGAGAGATTAAGTAAGAATTTAATTGTTTTACATTAGTATAATCCCTAAAGCAGATTTTTTGAGGGTTGGGTTTAGCCATGTTAAGGGTAAAAAGAATAGAAAAGTGGTCTGAAGTAGATAAACCTGCACCAACTTGGCAAGAACAGATAGAATTAAGATTATTCGTGAGTAGCAGGTCTAGTATAGAACCTTTATTGTGAGTGGGTGATGTAATGACATTATTAAGATTAAAGTTATTGGTAAATTCAAGAAATTCTTTAGCACATTTTGTAAAGGCTGTATTATCATTCCAGTTAATATTATTTGCGTTAAAGTTAAAATCGCCTACAATAATAACATTTCCTTCGCAGAGACTTTGAAGGATTTTTAAAAGTTTAATAGTAAGTGAGCTAGTAATTGCTGGTGGTCTATATACTAAAATAAGTCTAATGCTAGCCTTAATAGAATGTATAGAAAGATCTACAGCAATTATCTCGATACCTACAATATTTTTAATGGACAATTGTTTATAAGAGATTCCCTTACGTATGAGCATTGCAACACCACCACCTTTACATTTAAATTTAATGTCACGATTATCTATAAGAATATGGAAATTTCTAGACGAATTTAGTTGATTAAGATGGGCATCATTTTCTTCAAGCCAGGTTTCAGTTAATAAAACAAGGTCAGGATTATAATCTACTATTTGAATGTCGAGTTCATTGATTTTATTACGAACTGATCGACAATTGTAGTATAAACATGTTAAATTTTTAAAGAGTTTAACGGATGAGATATAAGGTTGCGAGGCCATATTTATTATATTTGGAGATTTTAAAGATAAATTACATGAGACTCGATTACTAGTAGTGACTGTTTGTGTATGGCATTGGTCAAATGGAGAAATCCCTAATTGGATTGAAAATTTGATATATTAGTGTTTAGAGTTTGTTTAAATTTAGGGATTTCACTTCTTAAAAGTACAGTACCGGCATATATTATATAATCAAGATTAGTGGATTTACGTTTTTGTTTACACAACTCAATCAATTTACTACGCTCATCTAGTTCTTGCTTAGTCAAACTCTTACGAACCACAATGTTTTTAAATTTACCAACCAGTTTTTTCTTATTTCGAAGGGCCTCGGTTACCGCTGCTGAACATGGAAAAAGAATTTTAAGTGGTCTAGGCTTAGAGCCAGGTTGTCGTTGTTTACCAAGGCGGAAAACAGCCGAGGGAAGACAGCGATCGATTTGTAGTTCATTTAAAATTTGTCGAACAACTTTGCTATCACTTTCAGCCCTTGCCATAGGTTGAGTCTCAGTACTTTCTGGAAGGCCAGTAAGTACTAATAAATGTTCACGTTGTCGCTGCTCAAAAGCAGAAGAAAAATCAATATTATTTGTTGTTTGATCAGTCAAAATTTCCGAAGCGACTTGCAACAAACCAGATAGTTGTTTAATTATCTGTTGTTGTTGACTAATAATTGTTTTAGCAAAATCGGGAATTAATGGGTCAGATGGGGGAGTAAGTAAATCATTGAAATTTAAATTTGAAATTGTGTCGAGTAATTGTTGGCGCTTGGCCGAAGGTGCTTGTGATGGTGAAAATTGATTACCCAAGTTGTTTAAACTGGGAGAATGTGTTTCCGATCGAAAAAGTAAACTCTAAAGAAAAAAGAAAAGTACTATTATTTAAGAAAGGAAAATATAAAACAATTAATTGGTATTTAGCCCAATATGATTGGTACAATATATTTAAGGACAAGAATCCCTCTGAAATTGCCGAAATACTAAATTCCATAATAACCCAAGTAATTCAAAAATTCATCCCATTAAAAAAATTGGGTGAAAAAACACCTATGAAATATCCTAAAGAAATTAGGGAAATAATCAAACAAAAAGCTTATGCTTGGAAAAAGCTAAAATTAGGGGAAATTAGTAAAGATAATTATAAGAGTCTTGAAATTAAATGTAAATTACAAATAGAAAAATATAAAAATAATTATTTATCCAAAAAAATAGGATCTGGTCATATAGGGGAAATACATAAATTAATGAAGAGAAATCGATATAAATTCTCCGGTATACCTCCACTTAACGAATCTGAGGAAGGCGATCCCATAATATTAGACACAGACAAAGCAAATAAATTTAGAAATATTTTTGAAGAAATAGTTAGCGGAGGTAAAAACAATATACAAGCAAGCTTCGAAGCCAAAGATGGATATCAGAAAGAAATCATTTTTGAACCTTATATAATAGAAAAACTACTAAAAAAACTCCCAAATAAATTATCCCATAGTCCTGAGAATATCAATCAATATTTTCTAAAAAAATGTGCTACACCCTTAGCTCTTCCTCTCTCTATTTTATATGAAAATACATTCAAAACAGGAATAGTCCCTGAATTATGGAAAACAGCTCACATTCTACCGATATTTAAAAAGAAGGGTTCAGTAAACGACCCAAAAAATTACAGACCAATCGCATTAACATCCCCGACTTGTAGAGTTTTTGAGCGCATAATAGCAAATAACATCTTAGAACACCTATATAAACATAAATTAATTGCTGAAGAGCAATTTGGATTTCTACCTAAAAGCTCTTGTACACTTCAAATTTTATCATCTATGCAAGATTGGTATAATTCACTTGATAGGAAGATAGGTACGGACGTTATATATTTTGACTTTGAGAAAGCCTTTGATAAGGTAGATCACCAAATACTTATAAGAAAATTACAAGAAATAAAAATAGATAGCTTAACAATTAGATGGATAGCAAATTTTCTCTCTAATCGATCCCATATTGTAAAAATAGATGATCATTTCTCTGAACCATTTCTGCCAAAAACAGGAGTTCCCCAAGGAACTGTATTAGGACCATTGCTGTTCCTGATATATATAAATGACCTACCCAAACATATCCCAAAAAACATAAAAGTAAAATTATATGCAGATGACTTTAAGCTCTATTCGGAAATTAATACAGAAAAAGATTGTATAGAGCTCCAAGGAGCTATAAACAATGCATATATATGGGCAAAAAATAATAGACTGGACTTCTCTATCTCAAAGGTTAAGGTTTTAAAAATATACAACAAAATTAAGTATAGCTATGAGATTAACGGTGACAAAATCGAAGAAGTTAATAACATAAGAGATTTAGGAGTATACATAGATAACAAACTTAAATTTGACCAACATGTAGCAAAAATCACTAAATCCTCATTTATAAGACTAAATAATATTCTAAGAATATTACCTAAAACATTACCAATAGATACATATGTAAAGGCATTTAAAACATACGTAAGGCCAATTATGGAGTATTCCACTGAAAGTTTTAGCCCTAAACTAGAATATCTTAATAGCCAATTAGAAAGACCTCAACGAAGCTTTACAAGGAAAATTTTAAGATATAAATTCAAATACCAAAAAATAGGATATACCGAAAGACTAAAAAGATGTAAACTCCCTCCAACTAAAATCCGTCGCATAAGAACAGATCTTATGACAACCTTCAAAATAATAAATGGTTTCTATAAAATAAAACCAGAACAAATGTTCTCTAAACCAAATAGAAATAATCTGCGCTTGCATAGATATCAAATATTTAAAAAACAAACTAAGAATAATCATTTCTTTTCACATAGAGTCATAGATAGATGGAATAAACTTCCAAAAAATGAAATTGAAAAAATTAGTACTATTCCTCAATTTAAAAAATTTATAGACAATATATTAATCACAGAAGACCCTAATTTATGAGTAACGAATTAATGGAGTGTAAAATAACAAAATCCTAGCCTAAATGTTCACTTTCTTTTTAACATACTTACCTTTTAAATAAAATTAATTTTGGTACAAATATTTTTTTTTACTTAAATTATACCTACATATATATTTTTTGATATTCGCTTTTATTTATTTTTTTTACATTTTTTTTTCTTGTGGAGTCCATTTATATATATACTTTTTTTTAATTTAACATTTTAACTGTAAAATTGTAATTGATTTTTATTGTAAGTTACCTCTCCATAAGTGATCCTTGTGGATCCAGGAGTTTTATTTTATTGTTTCACATTCATTTATTTGTGTTCGATAAAGAAAAAAAAAAAAATGATTTTGGATAAAGAAATAAATGAAAAAGAGGATGAAATTATTAAATTTTCTAATGGGGCTAGTGTTGTTATAGATAAAGTAGGTAATTTTAAATTTAATTTAAATAAATAATTTAATAAAAATAGATTTCTCTTGAATTTATTCGTGGATCAAAATTGGATTATTCAGAAGATTTAATGAGGGCAGCTTTTCGAATAATTGTTTGTTTTTAATTTTTTTTAATTTTTTTTGTTTAATTTTTAGGATAATCCAAAGGCAACAAATGGATGTTCTTGTGGGGCTAGCTTTTCTCCAAAAGAAATTTTTAGTTAAAAATAAAATTTTTGTTTAATTTTTAAATAAATAAATTTATTTTTGATTTTATTTTTTAAAAAAAATTTAAAGAAATTTTTTTCTTCAATATTTATTTTTAAAATTTTCTTTTTATTTCTATACTAGATATGTTAATAATAAATCGTTTTGGTCTTCCATTTAATATTTATTTAAATAATCATCGGTTTCAATTAATTAGTACAAGGTAAAAAATTAAAATGTTTTTATTTTCTAAATAATTTTTTTAGAAAATTCTTAAATAATTTTGTTGTCAAAATTGCTCCACGAATTGAAAATAATTTATTTTTTTCTTCAAAATATTTGAAAAATAAAGAATATTTTGATCAAAAACAAAATTATAAAAAATTTAAAATTTGGAGAGGAATGTGGGCATTTACTTTTTTTGGTATTTTTGGATGGGAAGATTGGAAAAAATTGGACGATGATCCATTAAAGGATAAAGTAAAGTGGGCAATGTTACACAGAAAATATAAACGTTATGATAATGCTGTTGAGGTTAATATAAATTATTTTTTTAATTTAAGGGGAAAAAGGAATCTTTTTAAAAGATAGAGTTATAGTTGTAAATAGGTTGTCAAGCCAAAAGTTTAGTCACCGGATGCAGGGCCATAACCAGGATTTTTTCGGGAGGGGCCGAATTTTTGGCGCCAATTTTTTCCCTGGTTACGGCCCTGGCCGGATGGAATTAAACGTTTATTTTTTGACAGTTTATTTTGCTTGGGGACTTTAATTCTTTTTATAAAACCCCCTGTTTAAGGTGTTTTAACTCCATTTAAATCTTTTTTCCTTTACAATTTTCCATTAAAAATTAAAATTTTTAAAAGGAATTAAATAAAGCATTAAAAGAAGCACAAGAATTGGGAAATCAAAAATATATAACAAGAATATATGATGAATTAGCAAATACTTTTTATGAATCTACAGATTTTGAAAAAGCTGAAAATTTATTTAGATTAGTTATTCACAGGTTTTTTTCTTTTTTTTTAACCACAAAATATTTTTTAAAAAGATTAATAACAATTCATCAAAAAACAGAATCTTCCCCAGAATTTATTGGAATTTCTTTAAAATTAGCAGAAATTTTTGCAAAGAAAGGAGACGCTGTTTCTGCAGATATTGGATATAAACATTGTTTAAAAAAGCAAATAGAAGAATCAGATAAAGCTTTGGGAAAATTTTATATAGCACATGGGGCACATATTGAATTAAAAGTTTTTTTTAAATTAAAATATTTTTAAAATTAATTTATTTAAAAGAATCCGATGGATGAAATTGGGCTTGATTTTACTGAACCGGTATTTTCTTATTTTATAATTTTTATTTAATTTTTAGTTTGCCCTTCTTGGAATGTGTTTCCACGAATATGGACTTTTTTTGGTTAAAAATTTTTTTTTAATATTTTAATTAATTTTTAGGTTGATTTTTATCCGGAAAGGTTGGATGAAGCAAAAGAATATATAAATGAAGCATTAAAGGTTTTTAATTAAAAAAAATAAAAAATATATTTAAAAATTTTGTAGATTTCATATAAAATATATGGTGTTAATTCCTCTCATGCATTAAATATAATTGTTACATTTTCTGGGAGATGTATACTTAAAAATCAGTAATTTATATTTATTGAAATTTTGTGTAGACTGGGGGGGGGGGGGGTTTGATGGATATTTTTCTGATATATTGTTTTCTGCTATATTTCTGAATATAACAAACTCTAAAATTTATTGTATAACAGAATTATATATCAAAATAAAAAAAGTTTGTAGCCCCCTCAATCTACTCAAGTGCTTATTTAATTTAAAATCATTTAATTTTTTAGATTCAAAATTGCTCGAGATTATTTAGAAATGGGAATTGGAAGAATCTTGGTACAGCCAGAAAATGAGTAAAATTTAAAAATATATATTTTTTAATTTCATTGGTAAACACAAGCAAGAAATCGTTATTTATTATTTAGAATTTAAATTTTTTGGGTTTTCTGCTCTTTATTTACTTTTGGGATTCTGATTTTTAGAATATCAGCAAATTTTTACCAATTAATTATCAAAGATTATTTTATAGAAACATGATACTCTCCTACTATTGCTGCTATTCTGAAGCTTTATTTCATACCGGTGAAAAAGAATTGGCTATCGATTACGCGGAAAGAGCAGTCAATTTAGCAAAAGAAGAAGCTGTAGATCCTTCTGTGCGCGAATATGTTAGTGATTTTGCAAAACAGATTAAAAGAGATGTTTCTCGTTCAAAACGAAGTGAAAATTCGTTGTTAAAATGGCCTTTTTAGTTTTTGTTTAATTGTTTTTAAAGTTTATATTTAAAAACCTTTACAGTGGGGTGCAAAAGTAATGACTCAAGGGTCGCGCAAAGTAATTTAGTACTATAACTTTTTAGGAGATGGTCCAAATGAAACTGATAATGGATGAAAATATTCCCCAAAGTGTCAGCTTCAAATATATATAAAACTTGGCTAAAATTAATTTCAAATGTGAAAGTTAAAAATTTTCAGACGAGACCACCTCAATTTTAGCTGGTGCAAAAGTAATGACTCAAAATTTTATCGAATCATATCTCTGACTATTTGTAAACACAAAAAATACCATCAAACATATGCATATAGTGATACTATACACAAAAAAAATTAGGCTCATATCTCTACTCAAAGTCGAGATCCAGACACCTCGAAAAAGTCAAAAATCAACGTAAAACACGGGTAGGTCTCTTAGAAAAATATTTTCGACCCTTTAAGTATGAGGGGTCGAAAAAAAATTAGGCTCATTCGAAAGCCCTTGAAATTTGCTACATGATAGCCGAATCGAATTTTTCAGAAAAAAATTTCATAGAGAGATACAGACCGCTAAACTCGCGAAACTGCCAAAAAGGCCATTTTATGGGGTAAATTAAGCGTATTTCGCTGCTTCGCGAGTTTAGCGGTCTGTATCTCTCTATGAAATTTTTTTCTGAAAAATTCGATTCGGCTATCTTGTAGTAAATTTCAAGAGCTTTCGAATGAGCCTAAAATGAAATTTTTATTCTACGTGTAAGGGGTCGAAAATATTTTTCTAAGAGACCTACCCGTGTTTTACGTTGATTTTTGACTTTTTCGGTTTGTCTGGATCTCGACTTTGAGTAGAGATATGAGCCTGATTTTTTGTTTATTAGTATCAATGTATATGTTCGAAAAATTGTTCTTGAAAAATTGTTCTTACCTATTTTTTGATCAGAGATATGATTCGATAAAATTTTGAGTCATTACTTTTGCACCAGCTAAAATTGAGGTGGTCTCGTCTGAAAATTTTTAACTTTCACATTTGAAATTAATTTTAGCCAAGTTTTATATATATTTGAAGCTGACACTTTGGGGAATATTTTCATCCATTATCAGTTTCATTTGGACCATCTCCTAAAAAGTTATAGTACTAAATTACTTTGCGCGACCCTTGAGTCATTACTTTTGCACCCCACTGTATATGTTTATCTCACTTTTTCAAGAAAACAATAAAGGAAAATCTGTGTAAGATAAATTAGGATAATTAGTGTTCTTTATTGATATGTATATCACTAGGGGATCCTGCTTAAAAACATATTATCGATTTCGGGAATTTTCTGTTGAGCTCTTACTTCATTTTGATTGACTCAAATGGGGGTGGGGGTGATATATTATCAATAAATAACTTGTTTAATTTTTTAAGAATTGAAAAATATGTTTTAAAATATAATTCTAAATTTAAAATTTTAAGTGAACGCAAATTTGTTTAATTTGAAACTGTCAATCAAGTTTAAGTCAGATATAAAAGCTGAGAGAAGAGAAATATTGTCGAAACTGTGAAAATTGAAAAATAATATAGTAAATATATTTTGAGAAAAATAAACCTTATTAATCCGATCTCTTTTAAATTTAGCTGTTCATTTCCTTCAATTAATTTGCTCAGCCGAGTTCCGCCAGAAGAAAATTCTTCATTTAATGATTTAATTAAACGATATTTATCCATTAATTCTTCATACATTTTAGATCGTTGAGAATCAATTTTCTAAAGAATTAAAAATTTGTTTTTGAATTAGTTATTACCTTTAATTTGTCACAATTATCTTTAGCTAATTCAAATGTTTGTTTATTATTTCCTTCCAGAAGAAACATCGCTCGAGTAAGTGCAGCAAGTGCCCACTAAAATTTTAAATATATATATTAGGGTTTCACCGGAACCGAAATTTTGACCGGAACCGGAACCGGAACCAATTTGAGTTCCGGTTCCCGGAACCGGAACCGGAACTTTTCTAAGTTCCGGCCCGGAACCGGAACCGGAACTTTAAAAAAATTTGCTAGCAAATTTAAAAAAATTTGTATTTTAAGTAGGGTTGTCGGTTACGCCAAATCTTTCGTTAACCGAAACGACTAACCGAATCGAAACTTTCGGTTAACCAAAACAAAACCGAAAAACCGAACAGAACTACCCCCAATGCCCGATACCCCACCAATTATATATCCCCTTTGATCCCAGAATTTTTTCGAATTATCCTTAATCCTACCAAATCCTTAGATATCAAATCACCGATAAATATAACATCGAAATCCCCCAATTTCACTGCTAATCCCCAGATATCCAATCCCTGATATCTACCTAATTAAATTATTCTACCTTACACCACTCAATCCCTCGATATTAACTATCAGGGATGGACCATTTAATTTCTGTTTACAGCGCCGCAGGCGAAAATTTTGAGAATTATGAACCAGCTTTCTTCTTTTTTAGCGCCGCAGGCGAAAATTTTGAGAATTTCGGAAGGCATGAGCAAAAAAATTAACCATTTTTTAGTTAAAAAATTTTAGTTAAAAAATTAACCATTTAAAAATTTTGGAGAGACAAAAGGTGCTAATTTCTCCTTGTAAAAGTAGAATAATTTTTAAAACAAAATTAAAATTCTAAAATAAATTATTTATGGTAAGAAAAACATCAAAATTTAATGTTCTATGAGAGGGAAGCGAACCCACCTTTAAATCATTATTGCCTGGGGTGAAGCCTAACCTCTTAACCACTCGGCCACCGCTTACATGAAGGCCATTTAAAGAAATTAAACATATTTCTTTCGATTTTTCTATTAATACAAATACCGAGGGTGCGAGTAGTTTAGTAATATTTTTTAAAAAAGGGATCGTTAGGGGTGTAAAAAAGTTCCGGTTTGCCCGGAACCAATTTGTAAACCGGAGCCGGAACCGGAACCGGAACCAATTTGAGTTCCGGTTCCCGGAACCGGAACCGGAACCAAAAAAAGGCCGGAACTTTCCGGAACCGGAACCGGAACTTCCGGTGAAACCCTAATATATATAGTCATAGATGAACATTCCCCATTGGGGATGTCCATCTTGTTTCCTTTATCTAATGTAGAAATTCAAAACCCACGAAAAACGAAACAGCATTTTAATTTTAGATTTTGGGATTGACTTTTAAAGTAGCCTGACCTTTTGTGGATTAACTTTTTGGATAATTTAAACTCTAGAGTTGGCCATCTGACATTGGGTGTATACAAGTAGGGAGTTTGACTGCATATAATCTAACAAAACTTACAGGATTATCTTCAACAGGTATTAATTCATTACATAATTTAACTAAATCATTCAAACATTTTTTAGGCAATTCTCTTATTTTAACGGCCGATGAAGAAAACTTCTTTAAAAAAATTATTAAAATTTATTTTAAAAAATATTAACAAACCTCTTGAAAATAAAATTTATTTATAAAAATTTTATCAACATTAATTTGCTTTATTTCGCTGTCATTCTTTCCTTCTTCATTTAATGTAGAAATTAATAATGGATTAGAAATATTTGATAATAACCAAACACGAGAATATTTAAAATCTGATACATAATTAGAAGTTTTAAATGGAGAAATCTAAAAATAAATTTTAAAAAATAAAAATTTAAAAATTAACCGATTCAAATTTTATCAATTTAAAATCATCAAACAGATTTAAAGTATTTTTAACCATTTGTTTGTTAACTGCTTCAGAAAATACAACAAGAACTGTTGATGAATCTAAAAATTTTGCTGCAACAACTTGTGGTGAAACTGGCACTAAAAAGAGGATTATTAATTTTAAGAAAAAAATTTTACATCCATTTGTTGCCAATTCAACAAGCCAACGACAATATGTCCAGGCAGTTTGATCCTCGGAATTAACACCACAAACGTGGAGAACCTTCTTACATTAGAGAAAAATTTAATTTTAAGATAAAATTAAACCTCAAATTCTCCTTTCAAACATTCATCAGTCATTAGTCGGTTCTCAGAATTTTCCCGCCGGTTTTCTTCAAGTTTGGGCAACAAAGTACCTCTATAATGCCATGCTGAATAGTTACTTGGATTTTTGCCAATTAATCGATCAGAGAAACTAAAAGGAAATTAAATTTAGATAAACCAAATTTTTCAAAGAAATTCCTAAACAAAGCCTGGGGAGTTGAAAAAACTTTAATGACTAACCTTAATTCATCCATATCATTTAGTTTAGCCAATTTGGCAACAGAACGTCTATGATCTTCAAAATTCGTTGTCAAATGAAATTTAAAATTTAAACAATTTACCCCAACAATGAAAGTTTCGACAATCTAATGCCAAAGCATTATCACAAAGTGCCAATTCTTCTTTATAATTAATTTTAGGATGTTGACTTACAACTAAAAAACGATGATGCCAACTAGAGTAAGATTTTGGGTTTTTCATTAAACATTCCTGTGTCAACTTCAATTCTTTATCTAGTAATTTTGATATACGTTCAATCTTTTCTTCTTCCGATTCTCCTTCTAATTTCTAAAAAAATTTTTGTTTAATAAACCAAAAAATACAAACCGCTGAAATTTGTTCAATAGCTTCTCTTCTAATATTCCAAAATGTATAAATATCTGCATGCTTCCCTAAAAGTTCTGCCGTTAATTCCATAATTTCTTCATCATATTCACCTTAAAGTAAAAATATTTTTTAATAATTAAAATTAATTAAAAAACCAATTTTTCTTTTTTCAAAGATTCTGCTCTTCATTTGAACAAAACGTTCCAATTTTGCAGCTCTCTTCTTCTCGTAAGCACTTTTTTCAACTTCACTTACTTGACTCTTTTTAACAAAATGCATTATAAAATTATTTTAATTTTATATAAATTTAATTAAAAATCCTTAAAAAATAATCTTCAAAAAATTATTTTAATAAATATAAGGTTGATACAAAAAAGTTCACATTTTATAAAAAAATTTTACGAGAAATAAAAAAAACATTTTTCTCAAAATGAGATCTTGAGCAAACAATTTTCGTTTAAAAAACAAATCTATAACAAAATACATTCAGGTGGTTGTATTGGAAAATCATCACTAATTAATCCTTCTGTTAAACCATCGCGCCAATGACGCCCAATAACGGGGATCTTAAAACTGTTTAAAATATTTTTAAAATAATTTGATTTTAAGATATTTTTTAAATATTTGAGTAAATTAAATCAAAAATTATCAAAAAGAAAAAAAACTGACATATCACTACATCTAACACAATCATTTGTTAAACGTAAAAGTTGACGATCTGGCACATGACGTAAAAGACTTATTGAGGCAAAATAACAAAGAGAAGGTGGTTGAAGCCACATTCTTTGTAAATCATTTACTCTTCTTTCGCGACGTTCTTGTGTATTCTGCCTTTCAACACCCCCAAATACAAAAATACATCCATCCTTTAAAAATAAATAAAAATTTAATAAAAATACTAACCGGTGTTAGCGTTGAAGCGTGAAAATAAACTGGCACAGGTAATCGGTTATGTTCTTCGATTTTTCTCCATTCAAAATTTTGAAGATTAAAACGCCAAACCGCAGAGAAAGCATTCTAAAAAATAATTTTGTCTAGTGATTTAATCAGTGAATGATTTGGGCAGGAGTTATATCGGCAGTAGTGATTTGGGAAATGAATCACCCAGCTACTTTTGGAAATTTTTAATTTCAACTTTCCAAGATTTACTGCCCAAATCACTCACTGTCATTTAACTCACTGCCCAGTTCACTTCTGTCGAAATGAATCACCCAGCTACTTTTGGAAATTTTTAATTTCAACTTTCCAAGATTTACTGCCCAAATCACTCACTGTCATTTAACTCACTGCCCAGTTCACTTCTGTCGAAAAACGACACCAAAATAATCGTTTATAAAATATATATTACCATTTCCATTCCATATCCTCCAATTAAATAAACAAAATCTTCTCGGTGTACAATAGAATGACAACTTCTCTCTTCAGGGAATCCATAAACAGGGTCCGGTTTTGTTTGGATTTTCTCAAATCGTCTCATTTCAATGTCAAAAACAGTAAGAACATCAAGTTTGAAAATAAATTGATTTGAAATTGAACCACCAAAAGTTACCAAAAAATTTTGAAAGGGAACAACTTCTAATCGGTAACGACCATCTTCATCAATATTTCGCTCCTAATAATTGCTAGAAAAATTAAGTTATTTTCAATGAAATTTACATTAAGTATCGCTAATTCCCAGCTTTCATTAAGAGGTGCAGCAATATCTCGTTGAAGGCGATAAACATCCATAGTATATCTTAAATAATTTATTAAAAATTAACAGAGAAAAAAAAAACAAACTCGTGTCCATCAGTCCCACCAATAATATAAAGTACTTCAAAAGTTTTTCCATTCGCACGCCTTTCAATGCACCGACACATTCCTTGTCCATAAATCTTTGGGAGTGACAACGGCCCGCTAACAGATTGAAGCTCAAATAAACAAAAAATTACCCTCTCTAAAATAAAAATCACCTTTAAATGGATTTTACCAAGGCTGTCAATTTTAATCCAATAAAGTCTATTGGTGTTTGAATTTCCACCGAAGGGCACTTTTGTACCACCAAAAATGTATGCCTCATTAGAAGAACAACCAAAATTTGAAGGCTGGCCGCGTGATACTACTAAAAACGTTTTAAAATATTAATAGTCTAATAAAAAAAATTACATGAAAAAGAAGCTAAAGTATCAGGCAACGGATTAGCAGGATCCGCTAATTCACATTTTTGCCATTTGTGAGTAAGTCGATTAAATCGCCATGCATCAGAACTAAATTTTCAAATATTTTTTAAATTAAAAAAAGGTAACAGAGTGCGAGGTGGATTGGGATTATATCCTCCAATAAGATAAATAAAATCATGATCTGAATAAATTCGCTGTCCACTCCGTTCAATTGGAACTTAAATATAATTTTTAAATAAAATATTTAATTAACTTACCCATTCCACCAATTGAGAGTTTTGTAAATTTGCTTAATAAGGCCGCATCACTCATTTTAGTTAGATATATTTTAAATTTTGAATTATATGTATGCAACTGATAAAAACAATCTATACTTTAATACAGGGTTTCGATCTCGAATTTTTAAAAATCCGCAAAATTGATCGAAAAAACCCGCATTTTATATCAAAAATCCGCAAAAAATTATCAAACACAAAAATTGAATTAAAATCACTTTATGCATTGTATTTTTCGTCTTCTACAATTGAATTAATCAATTTTTTATTACTAATGATCATCTTATGAAAATCGAACAACTATCTTAAAAATTACACCTGCATTTTTGTCGCGGAAGATGTCACAAATTTTCATTTCTTCCATTTTCAGCGCCGCAGGCGAAGTTTTTTTTAATTTTGGAAGATCCTTAAGCCAAAAATCATTCATTTTCAGGCCAGGCAAAAAATTTTGAGAATTTTGGAAGGCCAAGAAGCCAGATTCCTTCCATTTTCAGCGCCGCAGGCGAAAATTTTGAGGATTTTAGAAGGTCTTAGCGGAAAAATAATGACATTCTTGCTAAAAACCACAAGAAAATATAAAAAATCCTCATAACCTTCAAAAGACCACAAAAATCCGCAAATCCGCATTTTAAAAAATAATCCTCATCGCCCTATCAAAAAACCACAAAATGAGGAAAAATCCGCAGATATCGAAACCCTGCTTTAATAGGATTTTGATTATAGATTTTTAATTATCCGTAGAAAAATAGCTCCAACCCAGAAACATACCTATTTAAAAAATTTCAAGTTTCCAGATCCGAAAAAATTTACCGGACACTTTTAATTTTGAGGGCAGGGGACGTTTCAGAAGAGCTCCTCTGAATCGGCTTTTCTTCGAAGAGCCGATTCAAAGGAGCCGTTGTAGACTACCGTAATTTTGATAATTAATTAACCTTTCGTCTTTTTTCTTCTTGTTACCTTATTGATATTTTCAAAATCTTTCGTTTTATAAATTAAAAAAATATAAATATTTAAAAGATTAAATTTTTAATCACAATTTTTATCCGTTCGGCTGATTTCTTTTATTTTATGTCATAAATAATACTTTTTAGTGATTGATTATTTTTAAAGATTTTTCATTTCGTTACTTTTTCTTCTTCTATTAAGAGAAAAATGTCGTCAGTTAAGGACAAAAAACTTCAGAATGAGCTTTGGAATGATTTGGCATCTGGCCTTGAAAGCATTTACGCTGGTGATGAAAGAATGCCGCCACATCGTTATATGGAATTATATACGTACGTTATTTTTTCAATTTCAAAGATATATACCGTTAGAAAGCTTTCGATACAAGGCTCTTTCGAATGAGGTATTTGCATATTCAAATATCCCAAAATTGTGCTTACTCCCCCCTGTGGTTTTTCGATTTTCGGGGGCCTGTATCTCGGTCCACAGACGTTTCCGCATCCAGGGACTGTATCATTCGACTCAGCTCGCCGAGTCGAATCGAATGGCATGCCTTGTATCGAAACCTTTCCACCGGTCTACTATACTACATTCAAATTTTATTTTCAGGCATGTGTTCAATTTTTGCAGTTCTTCACATGTTCCAACCGAGACTTCAAGGCGCGGCACTTCAATAACTCAGATGCAAACTAGTTTTGTTGGCTCGGAGCTTTACAATGAACTTAACATTTTTATTACAAAATATGCACAATCACTCCGCATGGTTTTTATTTAGAATTACTCTTAAAATCTTGTTTTTTCTTAGACTCTTATCAATCTTTATGGTGATTCTTTGCTTCAACATTATACGAAAATATGGACAAACTATCGATTCGGTTCGACTGTAGTGAATGGAATCTTCTCTTATCTTAACCGACATTGGATTCGTCGTGAAATTGATGAAGGCAAATTGGGGATTTTTGAAGTTTATAATGTGAAATTTTATTTTATCTTCATTTAATTTGTAAATATTCAAGATGGCGATTAATATTTGGAAACAAGTTATATTTACCGATCTTCATCATAATGTTACTTCTGCAGCTCTAGCGCTGATTGAACAAGATCGAAATGGAGAAATGATTCAAACTAAACTTATTAAAGGAGTTGTCGAGTCATATAGTGAGTGAATAATATTTTTAAATTAATTTTCAATAATGAAATTAAGTTGAATTGGGGATTAATGAGAGAGAAACCGTTGGATCAGGTAATGATGACGGCGCCAACTCTCAATCTGCTGGCCTTCAACCTAACATGACTAGACCTGGTGTGAAGTACCAAGTATATCGGGAACATTTTGTCAAACGACTCTTGGAGGAAACTCTTAACTATTATACAACAGAATCTACAACTTTTCTTCAAAGTTACAGTGTTCCAGAATATATGAAAAAGGTTTTCTCGTAAATCAAACATTATTACCAGTTTTATAGGTCGGTGAACGTCTTAACGAAGAACGTGATCGTTGTCAACTTTATTTGGACTACACAACTTTAGATTCTCTACTTAAAGTTTGTGACGACGCTCTTATTTGCAATCATTTGGAATTGTATTTATCTTTAAATTTTTTTAAAAATAATTATTTATTTAGATTTCATAATGAATTTGAAGCACTTCTTAGTCAACGACAATGTGAGCATTTGGGACGAATGTATGATCTCTGTCACCGTGTCACTGGTGCTTTAGATAAGTTGAAGCAAATACTTGAGATATACATTACGAGAGAGGGACGTGCCGCTATTGAACAAATTGCTCAAAATGCAATGAGTGTATGAAAACTATTTTGATAAAAAATTTTAAAATTTTTGTTTTAGGACCCAAAATATTATATAACAACAATTCTTCAACTTTATGATGTTTATAATAATTTGGCTAATAAAGCATTTAAATTAGACCATGGATTTGTTGAGGCAATGGATAGAGCATTTACTCGTTTTGTTAATGAAAATGAAATTACTCGTTTGGCAAAAAGTGCTTCTAAATCTCCACAGCTTTTGGTTTTATATTGCGATCAATTGTTACGTAAAAATGCAAAGAATGTTGAAGATGAAAGAATGGATGAATATTTGGAGCAAGTGGTTAGTTTTGAAATATTTTTGACAAAAATTATCTTTTTTTATTTTTTAGATGACTGTTTTTAAATATATTGAAGATAAGGATATGTTTCAGGCATTTTTCCATAAAATGCTTTGTAAACGTCTTGTTACTGAAGCAAGTGCTAGTGAAGAAGCTGAGCGGTTTTCAAATTATTTTTTCATAAATTAATTAATTTTAAAGTTCAATGATTGCTAAACTTAAACATATGTGTGGATTTGAATATACAAGTAAATTGGAGCGACTTTTGACTGATGTTGCATTGAGTAGGGACAATTCTGACATTTTTAGAAAGGTTCTTCAAGAAATTTGTTTTTAAATTAATTTTAACTTTTTATAGCAAGCTACAAGACGTGAAGTTGATTTTTCGGTTATTGTCGTTATGTCTAATGTTTGGCCTCTTACTCAACCAATTTTATTTGAGATTCCTTCTCCGTTAATGAATTGTATTGAAGGTTTAAATAATTATTTTAATTAAAAAATTTTTTCATTTTAGATTTTACGAGATATTATTCTGGAAAATATACTGGTCGAAAATTAAATTGGGTTTTGCAAATGTCTCGTGGTGAAGTAACTTCGACAAGTGGAACTTTTGCAAATAAATATACATTTATTGTAATTTTTAAAGTTTTATTTTTAAATTATTTTTCTAGTGTAATACCCAACAAATTTCTTTATTAATGCTTTTTAATGAAAGAAATGTTTATAAACAATCTGATTTGGAAACTATTTTAAAATTACCAAAAGACCAATTAATTCCAGCTTTGCATTCTTTACTTAAAGTTGGATTACTTTTAAATGTTAGTGGGAATGATAAATCTGTCCCGTCAAAAAAATCGAATACTGATGAAGCTGGTAATAAAAATGATGATAAAGAATTACAATTAAATAATGGATTTACAAAGTGAGAATTAAAAGGAAATAATTTTAATTCTTTTTAATTTAGTAAAAAACTTAAAGTTGATTTAATTCGAGCAATGGTTTCAGCAAAAGAACAGAAGAAGGATAATGAAGAAGTACAGAAATGTGTTGATGAAGATAGAAAAATTGTTATTCAAGTAAATTTTTAAAATTTTTTAAAAAATATTTTTTTAAATTAAATAGGCTGCAATTGTACGTATAATGAAGATGCGAAAGACTTTAAAACATCAACAATTAGTTGGAGAAGTACTTAATCAATTAACTGCTCGATTTCAGCCAAAGGTAATTTTGAAAATTTGGAATTAAAAAAATAAAAATATTTTTAGGTGCCTTTAGTTAAGAAATGTATTGATATGTTAATTGAAAAGGAATATTTAAAACGTGGTGAAAATGAGCGTGACTCATACGAGGTATTTTAAAGGGGAATTTTGTTTTGAAATTCTTTTTTTAGTATTTGGCTTGATGATCTCTCCTGTGCTTATTTAAACAAGAGGAATGACAATTCTTTGACATATTTTAAAAAAAAGTTGTAACTGCTCACAGATTTTGTTTGTTACATCAATCAACGTTTTTTTAAATAATAAAAATAATTTCTTTCAATTTTTTGGAAATTAAATTTTAAATAAAATATAAATTGGAAAAATAAACATTAATATAAAAGAAAATTTATTTATTTTGGAAGAATTGTGTTCCTCTGATTTATTTAATCTATTGTCCTTAATTGAGAATTTTTGCTTCATTTCATCTAAAAAATTAAAATTTTCCAATTAAAAATTTTTCTCTTACCTTTATTTTCAATTTCATTTAAATTATTGTCCTCCTGATGAGATAATTGAGGTGAAATTCTTTCTTCTTTTTCCACTATTTGAACAGGTCCATCGAATGAATTTAAAGTTTCTAAATCTTCGTTGCTACTATCTTTCGATGATTTTATTTTATTAAATAAAATAATTAAATAAAAAATTGACAGTAATATTTTTAAGTAATTATTCATTATTTTTTAATAAAAATTGTCTAAAAATTATAAAAATTAAAAAAGAACATCCTTAAAAATATATAAAATAAAAATACGTCAGTCAGTCAAGCATTTAGAGTTGCAGCGCAACAATCGATTTTCTCTCAGAGGTTGTTTGAAGAGAAATGAAGTGCAAGAATAATTTCCAGCTTTTTATTTATCCTTCAAATTGAAAAAAGGAAGAGAAGTTGTGCTGAGTTGTTCAAAATAATATATTTTCATTTCAATTAACAACTACTTAAATGTGCATGTTCTTATATGCGGATACGCTTTGAAGAAAGAAGCTTAACAACTTTTTATGTTAATTCGGATATTCTTAATTTTAGTACTTCTGTGTATATTTTGGCCAACCTAATTATATATATTTTTTGAATGACATTATAGACAAATATAAAAAAGACTGAAGAATTATTCAATTAATTAAACCCCCCTCCCTTAACAGATATATATTTATAAATAATACAGCTTGAAAATTACCAAACAAAGATTTGTTTATAAAAGAATATTTAACCAAATTTTTAAATATTTTTTTATTCTTTTAATTTTTTAAAATACTTTAATTTTTAACAATTTTAAAGAGTATCTAATTTAAATAAGGAAATTATTCAAAAAATTATAAATAACATTTATATACTCTCAATTTCTTAACTCAATTGAATGTCAGCAGATTTCCGTAACTAAATTAATTAATTAAAAATTAATTTCAAAAAATATATTCAAACCTTTTGAAATAATTTCTTTTTGGCTTTTTTAGTCAAATTTGCTGGATCAGCAAAGAATTCACGTTCTTCTTTAATTTCTTCATCTTCCTCCAAACCAACAATTTTATTTTCAATTTTTATTTTCTTTTCTTCAATAATTTGTATATCCTCCTCCTCTTTATTTTCATCTAAATGTGAATATTCTCTTTTATTTTTATTAATTGTTGTTTGTTTTTGAATAAATTTATTTTCATTTTCTATTTTCTTATTTTCAGAATCCTAAATTAAAAAACAATAATTATTTATTTTTCGAAAATTAATTACCCTCATAGCAACCAAATAAGTTTCATAAGGACTAGCCCATTGCTGTTCCAAATATTCTTGAATATTTGATGCCTTTTCCTTACAAGAATTTGAACTTTAAAGAAAAATATTTTAGAAAAATAATAATTATAAATTTTTACTTTTTAGTTTCCAATTCTTCCATATTCCCAGAAAGTATTACTCGACGTAATTCTTTCCCTTCATTATTTTTAATTTGTTTTTCTTTTTCCCCTCCTTCATCATTTTCTTTTAATTTATTTTTATCGAATCCCAAATTTCTTTTATTTTTTTCTTCGTCATTATTTAAATATTTACTTATATCAAAACGATATTCAAGTTTTGCTTTTAATCCATTTACACAATTATTTAATTTACTAAATTCATCAATTCCGTTTTGTTTAGATAAATTATTTAAATTGTTAATTGTTGTTGTTTGTTCTAATGGAAGTTCTCTAGCTATTTTTACTATTCTAAAATAAATAACAAAATTTTTAGAAATATTAACTTTTGTCTTTAAAAATATAACCTTGCAAGTGATTCCAATTCATGTCGAACCAAACGCGGAACTGGAGCACAACAAGCCAAAATCCCACTTTGTTCCCGTGGCAATACCTTTTAAATAAAAATATTTATTTTTAAAAAATTTCAAAAAACCTCTGCAATTTTTAACATCATATGATCAGGCAAAACATAATAAAAAGATTTGTCATGCTCTTTAGCGGTCACTTCACGCCATCTCCAAAGTTGCTCCAAAGCAAATATTTGTCGATTATTTAACTGACGACCATTTAAAAGTTCTTTATAGTCTTTTGATTGTTCAGGCTAAAAATAAAAAATAAAAGTCTATAAAAATAATAAAAGCGGAAGGAATTACTTATAAAAAAATTGTCAAAAGACATGTAAAATTTTAAAGTATATTTAGAAATTACCACTTTAACATTAATTTGCTTTTCAAATTGATTGTAAGTTCGTCTAATAATTTTAGATGAAATATGAGTATTTCCTTCAGAGGATGTTGCTGTAGCGCCAGAAATGCATTCTGCACCTAAATCAATTTTTCGAACGTTGACCCTGTCCTCGTTTAATTTCGCCTCATGTTCATCAAAATTACGAACCTAGAAAAAATATTTTTGTTTTCAAAAAAATATTTAAAAAAACAAACAATATTATCTACAAGTCTGTCATTGACGGAAATAATTTGTGTAATATCCTCCAAAGAAGAGTCATTTATTTTTAATGATTTAAGTCCAGCTTCACTTGAAATTTTACGCATACTATAAGAAAATAAATTACTACAAATTTAAATAAAAACATACACATTAATTATTCTATTTCGTTGAGTAGCCATAAATTGGTTAAATTGTGGAAATGTAGCGTATAATTCAAAACCATCACCAATTAATGGCATTTGATTACTTGCTTTGACAAGAGAAGCCGTTGATGATTGAAGTTTCTAAAATAAAATATTTCAATAATTATTTCAATTTTTATTAACTTTAATTGTATTTCCAATATCTTCTGAATCCACCGGCTTCATCTCACTCATTATAATTGTTTAAATATTTATCTAAATTTAAAATATATTATTTGTGATATTCTACTAAATAGAAGTAGATGTGAGTTTACAACTCTTGATAAACAAAAATACAAAAAAATAAACTTCAATTTTAACCTTACCGGAAAAGTCGAATCCCGAACAATTAGGACATTTGACAATTTGATTTTTCATAGATGCAATTATTACAAAATATCTAACTTAAAAGTGTCAACCACTGAGAAATATTACATTTCGTCTAATGTTTTATTTGCGACAATAACAATGCAAAAATTCAGTAGTACATAAGTTGTTTTTTTTTATTTAGAGACTTCCTTCTAAACTTTATAAAATGCATCGACCTTCTGCTACTCAACAACAAAATCCTTCTACGCCACAACAAACACGATATGTTAATGGTAGTCAACAACCACAAACAAATTTTCCTCGCCGCCCAATTTTTCAACAAGCACAATTAACACAGCAATCTGGCCGTCAACAAATGTCAAATTTTCTTTCAGGCACGCGGAAAAGGCGCCGTCTGGTTGACAGAGTAATTATGCCAGAAGTATGTTTGTCGATCTTTTGAGATTTTTAAATTCTTTTATTCTAAGATTCGTCAGTTAGTTCCTGAGGCAGACGCTTACTCATGTTTGTTAACTTATGAGCAAAAGCTGGACGCCCTTATAGCAAGAAAACGTTTAGAAATTCAAGAAGCACTTAAGCGTCCGTTGAAGATAAAGCGCAAACTTCGTATTTATGTTTCACATTCATTTATCCATGGAAAAGAACCCGAGGTTTGTTCATAAATATATTAAGAGATCTATTTTTGTTTTACAAGATTTTTATTTTAAAGCATGAAGGTGATGAAGGTATTATTCCAATGTGGGAATTACGTGTTGAAGGTCGCCTTCTAGATGAAACTCCTTCAATCCCACAAAATTCTACTGCTTCTTTCAATACTTCTGTTTCATCAATTCCAGCTTTAGGTCGAAGTGGAGGTTCCTTTTCATCTTCGGCCTCTTCTTCCACAGCTGTTCCTCCTCCGCTTACTGCCGTTCAGAGAGGAACAACAGCTTGCACAAATTCATCGCTTATTATCCAACATAAACGCAAATTTAGTTCTTTTTTCAAAAGTTTGGTTATTGAATTGGATAAAAATATATATGGGCCAGACAATCATTTGGTTGAATGGCATCGAACACCGCAAACTGGGGAGACAGATGGATTTCAAGTGAAAAAAGAGATTATTTTAAATTAATTGAGATTTATTTAAAGGTTAAACGTCCAGGAAATATGGATGTAAAATGTACAATTCTTTTACTTCTTGATCATCAACCTATGAAATTTAAATTACATCCACGATTGGCTAAACTGTTGGGAATTTCTGTAGAATCACGTATGCGTATAATTGAGGCCCTTTGGCAATATATTAAAACACATAAACTTCAAGTTTTTAATTTTTTTTAATAAATTATTATTTTTTTTAATTTTCAGGATGCTACAGATCATGATGTAATTAATTGTGATCATTATCTTGAACAAGTTTTTAACTGCACAAAAATGCGTTTCATGGAAGTCCCGCAAAGGTTGCAGCAATTATTACAACAACCAGATCCATTAGTAATTCATCACGTTATAAAATGGGATGGTTCTTCTGTTAGTGATAATAAAAATACTGCTTGTTATGATGTAAGTTTATTTTTTTGACCTGAAAATTTTTGAAGTGAAATTTAAGAAAAATAGAACCTGAAAGTTTGGTTCTCATACTTGCAATTTTATTAAGTAGACGTGGTTCTTTTACAGTTTATTAGCCCACTCGAAGTATAAGAGTTTTCCTCGCAGTTCCGACATTGAAAACCTTCCAGTTCCTGGCTTTTAAAATTTTCGGCATTCCAAACTTTTTATAAATTTTGAGGTTTTGCTCTAAATTAAATATTTTTTAAATAGATTGATGTTGAATTAGATGATCCTGTTAAACAATTACAATCAACATTTCTTCAGTCAAACTCAAATTATCAAGACATAATGGCTTACGATCAAAAGGTTTATTTTGACTAAACTAAAAAAATATTTTTTAATTTTTAAAGATTCACGAAATTGTTGATAATATAAATGAATTAAAACATAAAAGAGATTTTTTTGCTGGATTTTCCGAAAATCCTCAACAATTTGTTCAAGATTGGTTAATTTCACAAAGCAATGATCTTAGAGTTAGTTTTTTTTTAATTTTTCATAATTTTTTCTTTTATTCCAGACTTTGGCCGGAGCTTCTATTAATGATAATGAATTAGAACGTCGAGTGGAAAAATATTTGCAACCCGATACGCAAGAAGGCGTCTATCGTTATATGTATTTTTTTATAAACTAATATTATATATAATTTTTCATAATTTAGTTATGGAAAAGTGCAACAAAAACGCTTTGAATTAGAATGCACATTGGGTGTTCGAAATAATTAAAAACATGGGGATGTTTCCCTATTTTGTTCCTTACTTTCTTTTATTAACTTTGAACTGTTACATAATTTCAATTAGAGAAGATAACAAAGGACGGTTGATGAGATTGTTGGAGTGTCTGGATTTTCTTAAGTTTTTGATATCTAAATACTCTAAAAATCCTTTGAAAACATAATTTCCATTTAATTATTTTGAAATAAAATTTAATCAAAAAAATATTAATTCGATAACCTAATTTTTATAAAAAAATATTAGTGCTTTATGTTAAATCTTTTCTTTCATTAAAATTGCATTGAAAAAATCTACATTCCTTCTATTTAATTCTTCTTCATTAACAACCATATATAAAATATCAGAAAAAACTTGTTCTATTTGCATTTGATTAGGTCTTTCACTCATTGGTTTAACATTACCATTTTTGACACATTCTGGAATTCTTCGAAAAATTGGTCCAAAATTTAGTCGAACACGTGCAGAGTGAAATAAAGAAACGGCAGGAAAGTAATGGCCAGTAAATATATTTTGAAAAGCTACTCCACAACTTTGCCCATTTAAAAAAAACTCAATCTTTAATTAAAATAATTATTTATATTTATTTATATTTTTTACTTTAGAATTTGGAAGAGGCTGTAATTTTTGAATTTCTTGTTGTATTTCTTCTTTTTCTTCAAAAAAATAATTTTGTTTAAATTTAATTAAATCACAGTCTTTCCAAGAAGGAGGCAAAATATCGGAAATTTTGATTGATGTAGCAACATTATTATCCTTTCCAACATCCAAAGAAGGTAAATCAATTAAACAACCTTTTTTTAAATTTAAAAAATAAATTATTTAACATTAAACAATTACCGATAATATCCCCTTGTTTAAATCCTCGTTGATAATACCTACGACCATAACCTTTAAAAAGTATTTTTTAATCATCTCTTAATTTTCGTTTCGAAATATCGAGAATTTTGTTACTACAGAGTTAAACTTCTGAATATCAAAAGGACCGAAATTTAGAATCGTTCTCGAAAAATATCCTCCCCATGCCCCCCCCCCCTTACCATCATTAAAAACAGTTCCTCGTTTACTTCTCCAGCTATAACTAAATTTAGAATATCCAATACAAGCTTGTAATGGAGCTAAAAAATAAAAGAGAAATTATTTTTTACTTAAATAATATTTACAAAAAGCTTGGGCCCATCCAACGCGAACATGTGAATCTCCGGGTTGACTTAAAAATTCCATCTGTTAACAAAAAGAAGGAAATTAACAAAAGTTTTTTTTCAAAATTTACCTCAAAATACCACTTTCCATGACCAACAGAATGTGTTGCCCTAACAGAAGAATAACCTTTAAATAAACAAAAAAATATTTATTTAAAATTAATTATTTTCTAACCATCACATCCAGTTAAAGTTAAATTGTCTGCATCCAAAATTAACTTAAAATATTTCTTTTTTATTTTTTCAAAAAATCTTTTTCAACAAACTTGATTAGCCCTATCATTTGGTGAAAGTGTTACTATTTGGGGAATCTAAAAAAAATATTTTAAAAAATTAAATAAAAAAACAATTACATACAACAATTCTGTGAATATGTGAAGGGATTTGGACAGCTCTAGTATTATTTACTTCTTCTCTGTCAAAACGATCTCTAAAAAATATTATTTATTTTTCAAATCAAAAAATTTAAAAAGAACCTATTTAAAATATTTGGATCTTTTTCTACCAAATAATAACGATATCCTTCTCTATTAAAAGGAAAATCAATTCCTGATTGTCCATTAATTGTAACTGTTGCAAATTCAGAAGCCCTAAAAATAATTTTTTTAATAAAATTTTTTTAATTTTTTTTACATTTTTGCTTTTTTCTGTAAAGGAATATTTAAATTAATTTTTGTATCCAATCCTTCTCCATTATTTGAAGTAGCTGCTTTTCTTTTACTTGCTCCTCTTGTTTTTGGCCCTTCACTAAAATTTTCTAAATTTAATGAATGATAAATTTGTTGTTCAGAAATTTGTAAAGAATTTGCTTCTCTTTCTGCGGCATCTCGACCTCTTTTAAATATCTTTAAAAAAATAATTATAAATAAGAAAAGAAAGAAAAACCTGTAAAATAGATTCATGCATTGGACCAATCCGTAAAAGATCTTTTTCTTTCAAAGCAAAAGAACACCCCTTAGAATCTTGTATAAAAAGTTCAGTTTCTTTTTGTAAAATTTTCAAAATTGTTTGGTGCCAAGTTTTCTTTTGACGTTTTGGCGTTGTTGATAAATATTCCTTTTATTTTTAATTTAAGAAAAATTTTTTTAAAAAAATTCTACCCAATTTTTGTCCATATATTGCACAATTTCTTGATCAATTGAAAAGAAAGGATTAGGGCCTTTGATTGAAGAAATATTTGAAAGGCCATATTGTTTTATAAAATATTCAAGTGTCATGTTAGCTAATGCCATTACAGCCATTGAAGAATAACCTAAAAAAATATTTTTTATTTTTTACAAAAATTAATTCAACTAGGCGTTAAATGGGATATTACTTGTTATTAGTTCATTTAATGTCGAAGACGTTTTATTGAAGGGGGAGAGAGGTTGAGTATACTAACCAAACCTTCTTTACTTTATTTTTTTAAATTAATTTACTTGTGCTACGAATATTCCATTTCTCCTTGTTTTCAGGTGAACAACCTCTGCAACAAAACATATAAGAAACCATAAATGGAAGACCACCACTTTAAAATTAAAATTAAAAAAGGAAATTTCTGTTAAACAAACAAATTTTCCAAATCTTTGAAACATTCTTGATGAAACCATCTTTTACATCCAGAACATTGTACTTCCAAACCTCCAAGTTTACGCTCTCCATTACTTTAAAAAATTAAATTTAAAATTTAACAAAAAAATAAAAAATAACCAGTAACAAACTGTTGTCGAAATATCAGAAGGGGAACAAAGAGAATCATTAAAATTTGTTGATGGTTCTTGTTTTGGTTCTTTTAATGGAGTATTTGATTCTGAATTTAACGTTTTTTGTTGTAAATTTTGGCTTGAGGCTCTTGACCTCATCTAAAAATGAAAATTATAAATTGAAATTTAAAAGAATTGTATTTATTGTTAATTATTAATTTTTGGATAAAAATCGGAACAAAATTCAGAAAATGATTACGGTGAAAAGTGTCAACACTCTAGTATCGGCACTATGATGACCCAACCAAAACCGATTTGGGTCAGATAAACGCCGCCAACTGAGTTCGAGCAACTGAGCGACAGTTTGTTTGTTGAGGTATTGACTTTAGTGAACGACATATCTACGTTTTCGTCGATTCGCGGCGAATAACTACTTTTATTCGCGAACGACTTTTTTTTAATACAAAACGCCAGAACTACGTAAATATCGATGTTTTGCGCCAAACGATTGCGAAACGACTGGGACACGCCCGAAACGGCGCGGGCCAAAACGGCGCGACCGAAACGGCGCGACCGAAACGACGCAGGCCGAAACGGCGCAAGGCCAAAACGGCGCACGGCCCAAAACGGCGCAAAAATTTCCCATAAGCTACATATTGTTACGTGAGGTTTAGCTCGAATGGTGATCGTATCTTTTGGTGGAACAAAAAATAGCAGATGAAAGGTCGCATTTGGACAACACCTTGTGATAACAGAGTGATAACAAAAATTAAGAGTGATAACAAAACTATTTAGATCGTATACTTACTAGTAAGTATAACTGCGAGAAATAACTGCGGGATTCAGATAGTTCCAATACTACTAGTTAGTTTCCCCTATAACTACATATATTACTAGTTAGTTCCCCTAGAACTATATAGTTATCCCCATATTACTACTGTAACCATCTAGACTTTAGTTATTTTTTATTCTGGTCGTTGCTGTCGGAACAGCCTTCACCGTTGTTGTAACAACTTTTCTCAACGTCTGAACGATCTTCCACAGTGTTGGAACAATTTTCCCGTAATGCGCAAAACCTTATTGCAGATTTTAAATAATTCGAAGGTGCAGTGTTAGTGCAGTTAGGGTTGTATCACTGTGCAGCGTTTAGGGTTTGCGCCGTTTTGGGCCGTGCGCCGTTTTGGCCTTGCGCCGTTTCGGCCTGCGTCGTTTCGGTCGCGCCGTTTCGGTCGCGCCGTTTTGGCCCGCGCCGTAATGGGCTGTACCCGAAACGACTTTTTTGTGTCTCTTTTTCTCTAATTTCACATTATATTTCCTTTCTCTTTTTCTATTAATTTTCGTTCAGTGCAGTCTCTCAATTTGTAAGGAGGTTTTTTGTAAATTGGATTTCATTTTTTTTATTTTTAGGGGTTACAAAAGTTTTTTTAAGGCTTTGGAGGTAGGAAAGGAAATTTGAAGGAAAATTGCAGAAAAATTGAAATTTTGAAGCTGTAGAATTAATGCCTGTCTCATTAGCCTCCTAGTACAACATTTGGAAGTCTTATTGTTAATGGTAGTAGTGAATTTTCAGAAGCAAACACTTACCATCAACGACATTTGGAGCAGCAACCATTATCAGGTTATTTTGTTTTTCGGTGCATTATAATTTGTGGGTAAATTACTTTCCGGGTTAAATTACACTTCCCGAACCGAATTTCGCACCCTGAAACTCGAATGAGCTATCGTTTGTATAAACTTTTTTACTCCAAAAAACCGCCCCTTTGATGTGTGTCGAACTCCATCCTACGGCTGCAACAATGGGGAAACAATAGGAGGGGTTGTTTTTTAAATCTTATTTTTTTGGAATTTTTTAAAATTTTTTCAATTTTTTAATTCATTTTTCTAAGTGTTACAACGACGTGCTCGGGCGATTTGCTGTTGAAGTGATTCTGCCTGGCAACCTTTGAATTGCAGTCTTAGATGGAATAGAAGCGCCACAACCCAAACGGCCCTCTTTAGGGCCACAAATCTAATGAGTGAAACGAGACATTGGCTTTTAGTTTTTTTTGATAAATTATTGTTTATTTGTCTCATTTTTTTATTGAAATTTTGTTTTTAACTTCCCCCTAAGCCCGAAAAAGCCCAAGAAAAGCCTAGAGTCAAGATTCGACTACATTTGAAAATGTTCTTTAGAAAATGTTCAACAGAATCTTCGCTGGAAAATCTGTGGGAATATACTAAAGCGACCCCAAATCAAGTAGATGATAATTTTTTTATCAATTCTTCGTTTTTTTTTCTATTGTTTTCTTTTAATTATTCAAAACATACAAAATTGGTATGTTTTGTAAGTTTGATGTTTCATTCGATGGAGCTTTTCGAGCTGTTTCGAATGGTGCCAAAAATAATTCGAACAGACAAAAATAAAGGAAGTTATGGCCCTACAAAGTTTTTGGATTCCAAGAAAAATGGACTGCACAAAACAAGAGAGACGAAAATTAATAGAAAAAGAGAAAGGAAATATAATGAAAAATTAGAGAAAAAGAGATACAAAAAAGTCGTTTCGCAATCGTTTGGCGTAAAACATCGATATTTACGTAGTTCTGGCGTTTTGTTTATTAAAAAAAGTCGTTCGCGAATAATTGTAGATTTTTTTAAAACGACTTTTTTTCCTTAAGAAAAAGTCGATATGTCGTTCACTAATTGACTTGCAGTATTTTATTGATTCTGCAAGCAGTAACGCAAGACAAACTGCTCATAGGTTCTGGAATTCCCAAAAAATCTTGGTATCATAAAATTCCTGACGTTTCTATAAATAAAAATTTCCCGTTTACAATTCACTGTATTTAACTAATTTATTTTCAAAGATTTAAGGAATGGACTATTTTGAACAATTTTATAGTGACTTAAAGTTTACGGAGAAACGTGATGCCAATCTTACGTCTGAGCAACAAATTGATCGAATTCTTCGTCCAGGTTCTACTTATTTGAACTTAAATCCGTTTGAAGTATTACAACTTGAACCTGAATCAAATGTTGACGATGCCAGAAAAAAATATAAAAAACTTTCTTTGCTTATTCACCCCGACAAAAATCCTGACAATCGAGAACGTGCAGAAAGGGCTTTTGATGCTTTGAAAAAAGCTTTATCGTTGCTTGAAGATCCTGATGAAGTAGCGCGATGTAGAGAAATGTATGAAGAAGCAAAAGCTCGATTGGCTGTGCAAATTAGTGAAAAGAAACGAAAATTGCGAAAAGTTTATAAATTTGTATAGATTAATTTCTAATTTAATCTTTCTTAAAGGAAGGAAGGCCTGACACAGTTGAGGAAGATACTCCAGCAGGATATGCACGGGCTTTGTGGGTAACTGTTACAAAAGTATGTTTTAAAATTATATTTTTGAACGTTTTTTTTGTATTTTTAGTGTTTTGCTGACAGAGAAAAGAAACGAAAAATGTTGGAGGAAAGAGCTAATGATGAAAAACGTCGTCTGGCTGAAGCTGTACAAACAGCTTCTGAGAAACGTCAATTAGAAGAAGAATATAGGAAGAATTATGAAGAAAGTCGAGATGAAAGACGGTGTTCTTGGAGAGAATTTATGAAGAAAAAAGAGAAAAAACTTGAGAAATTTAGAGGAGCTAATTTTAAGCCTCCGCCTCCAAAATTGGAAGTTTCTAAAGAAATTACAAAACCCAAACCACAATTTTGATTTTTTTCTGACAATAAAATATTATTAAAAATATTTTGTTTTAATTTTCGGTTTATTTCCGAATTGTTTTTTTTGTTTATAATTATTTAATCTTTTTTTTTTAATTTCTTTTAAACAGTCTTAAATATAATAAAGAAATAAAAAGAAATGGGTCGTCCAGGATTTATGTCTCGTGGTGGTGGAGGTGGTCGCGGAGGTGGAGGAGGTTAGTTTGATATATTTGAATTAGTCTAAATAATTAATTTTCAGGTTTTCGTCCTAGAGGTGATGGTGGTGGTGGAGGTTTTCGTGGTCGTGGTGGAGGAGGAGGAAGAGGGGGAGGTAGTGGAGGCTTCCGTGGTGGTAGCGGTGGAAGAGGAGGGGGACAAATGAATGGATTTGGTAGCGGTGATAGGCGATCAAGTGGAGGTGGTGGAAGCTTTCGTGGAAGTCCTCGTGGTTCTCCACGCGGAAGAGGAGGAGGAGGCCGCGGAGGAAGAGGGGGTAGTGGAATGAAAGGAGGAAAAAAAGTAATTATTGAACCTCACCGTTTAAAAGGTTTTTTTAAATAAAAATAATTATATTTATTTAAAAATTTAGGAGTTTTCATTGTAAAAGGCAAAGAAGATGCTTTAGTAACAAAAAATATGGTGCCTGGTGAGTCAGTTTATGGAGAAAAACGAGTCTCTATTCAAAACGAACACTCAAATGATACTGGTAAATTTGTTTATTTTTATAAAAAAATAATTTAATATTTAAAAAAGATGAACAAAAAACAACAACAGAATATCGCGTTTGGAATCCTTTCCGTTCTAAATTAGCGGCTGCTATAATGGCAGGAGTTGAAGATGCACACATCTTTCCTGGTGCTCGAGTTCTTTATTTGGGCGCTGCTTCTGGTACTTCTGTTTCGCACGTTTCTGATATTGTTGGACCGGTAAAAAAGAAATTTTAGGGAAATATTTTTAAATGTAAATTCTTAAGGAAGGAATTGTTTATGCCGTGGAATTCTCACATAGAAGTGGTCGTGATCTTTTGGGAATGGCCAAAAAACGACCAAATGTTGTTCCAATCGTGGATGATGCTCGACATCCACACAAATATGCAATGATGGTGAGAAAATAAATTTTTATTTATTTTATAATTTTTATATAGGTAGGGATTGTTGATACAATCTTTTCTGATGTTGCACAACCTGATCAAGCAAGAATTGTGGCTCATAATGCACACAAATTTTTGAAAAACAATGGACATGTTGTGATCTCAATAAAAGCAAATTGTGTTGACAGCACAGCTGAGCCAGAGGCAGTTTTTGCTGGGGAAGTGAACAAATTACGCGAAGAACAGTTTAAACCGATTGAACAGGTATGGAATTTCCAAATTTGGAGGGTAATGCTTTTATATTAGGTGACACTTGAACCTTATGAACGTGATCACGCTGTGGTTGTTGCTGAATATAGAGCATCAAAGAAAGTGAAAAAGGAAAAGAAGGAAACTAAAACGGAGGAAATGGAAAGCTGATCATCTCAAGTTTCCTGGCAATCTTGATTTATTTTTCAATTTGAGAGAAATATGATTCCTTTTTTGTTATTTGTTGAATTTTATTTAAATAAACATTTACAAACTTAACAAATTCATTTAAAATTATCTTTTCCATAGTTTAAGCACTTTATCTTTCCCGCCGCTTGCCACGCATTCACTATTTGGGCTCCAATCTACTGCAAACACCTCGTCACCATGCCCAGGCAAATCTTGCCCTAGTTTTCTTTTTTGCATGTTCCAAACCTATGATAAGAAAATATTCAATAAATGGAGACTAAAAACATTAAATCCACCTTTAGTGTTGAATCTGCTGAACCAGAAACTAGAAGTCGACTGTCAGATGACCAAGCAATTTGATAAACAGGCCCCACATGACCTCGTAACGAAGTTTGAAATTTACCGGTCCACCCATCCCAAAGTTTTATTGATTTGTCAAAAGAGGCAGAAGCAATTGTACGCCCATCAGGTGAAAACTGAACCTGGTTAATTAATTGTTGGTGACCAGTAAGTCTGGCAATTGGCTGTTTTTTAATGGCAGGCTCCCATAGAAATAACTAGAAAAATATAAATTTTAAATTTATATGTATCTCCATACAGTAAAATCATCTGAACCGGAGACTAGTCTTTCGGGGTGACAGTTTAACATTTTTTCATATTGTTTCTTTGCGATTTTTTGTGCCTAAAAATAAACTATGACTAAACAAAAAAGCTATTATAGTATATAAAAAAACTGGGCCACACTTTAGAATTTTATTTTTGTATCAAAAACAATTTCTGGAAGTTCAAAAAAGTTCGACGAGCCGATACGAACTGAATTTGATAAAAATTTAAATTATAGCCCAGACTTTTTATGATTGCAAATACATAAATCAAAAAAATTTACAAACTTCCAGAGGCTGAGTGTTTGAAATTGATATTTGTTTTTGTTTACTATCCTCTTCGGGGGAAAATGATCCAATACGTAAAACATAATCAACATTTGAAGCTAAAGTATTTATCCAATGAGCATGGCCTTCAAGTGTTCGACACAATACACCATCATTCGTTCTCCAAACTTTTATTGTTCTATCCTTTAATTATTAAATAAAAAAGAGTTTTTTGATTGAAAATTACCTGTGACCCAGAATATATTAAATCATTTCCACTCCATCGAATATCTGTTACCTTAAAAATAAAATTTTCAAATATAATTTAAAAGCACTAACAGAAGCAGTGTGACCGCTAAGCACGAATAAAGTTTGTGATTTAATTACATCCCAAATACGAATCGACGCATCTCGACCTGCACTTGCTAACAATCTTTAAAATTCAGAATAATTAAAAATAATTTTAATCAAGAAGACCTAGAAGGGGCTTCAAGATGAAGAGGACGCCACACAAGTCTTTAATGTTTTAAAATGTGATTAATGAAAATTTTTGAGAATTTACGCATTGATCCATTGCTTATGACCTGTCAACTTTTTGAATAATCGAAATTTGTTGGTATCACTGTCATATTCCCAAATAAGAATCTAATAAAAAAGTAAAATCAAAAAATTATTTTTATTCTAACAAGCACAATAAAATATTTAACTAACTATTCCTTGTTTACAAGCTGATGCAACTTTATTTCCATCATGTGACCAAGCAATACATAATACCCAATGTTGGTGACCGGTAAGTGTTTGCTAAATTTAAAATAAAATAAGCATAAAATAAAAAAATATACCAGAGGAAGTTGTGATTTTGTATCCCATAGGCGGACCTTAATTATAAAAAAAGCATTTTTCATTTTTATTTACAGTTTTGTCGCCAGAACCAGAAGCAAGTGTTGACCCATTTGGACTGAATTTTACACTGATTAAAGGTTCACCTAGAAGAAAAAAGTTGTAAATGCCATTAGTAAATACTTAGAGATCGGGACAAGAAGAGATTTCGTTCAAAAATCTCGCTTATAAAGAAACCTCAAAAGTCCGATCTCTAATACTGACCATGACCAGGCAATGAAGCAGCGCCTAAAAAAGAAAGTAATATTCATAATAAAAATTAACACAATACATCTTGTAACAGGCCTGACGCGAAATACAGCCTGAGGCAGACAAAACAATTCAATAGGCTAAAACCAAAATTATCATTTAAACTATTAGATAAGAAAACCTTTTCAGTAACTAAACATTCAGAGGGAAGAGAAACACCCAAAGTATCGACAATATCTATCCAACCCCCATCTTCCGACCTCTCCGCTACACGAAAATGAACTGGTGGTTGTTCTTCTTCCAAGTCGATATCCAAAAGGCTATAATAAAGTTGTTCCAACTGATCGACTTTTGTTGTTGAAGGTAGCTAAACATAAAATGTTAATAAAGTTAAAAAATTTACCACAATTGGAGCATTACTTAATTCTTTATTATCTTCAGAAAAGAGACGAACAGAAATATTTAAACGCGACTTGTCTAAATTCATCGGAAAATGCCCCTCTTTGGGTTGATTAATATTTGTTTCAAAATCAACATGCATTTAAACTTCTAATATAACGAGACAATCACTTTCAATATACAAATTCAAATTATTAATCTTAAAAGAAATTGAGGCGAATTAATTGATCGTCTTTAACAACTGATAATTGAGAAAATAAATTTAAATTTTATCTTTATGCGCAATATCCGCAGAGTAAAAGAGATAGAAACGGAAAGATGGATGAGGGAGAGAGAAAAATTATCACCAATACACACTCAAGTACAAACAAAAAAATATTTCTCTATACTTCCCCAAAATCCATCAAGATAGAAAAATGTTGGTGGTATGTCAATTACTTTTTGCCTTTCCAGGAAGCAATAAATTCTAAAATATATTTATATCACTAGCGCTTTCTATTTGTTCCTGGTAGTGCTGGAGGAACTGAATCAATCTCACCAGCATTCACACGATTTGGATCTGGCACAGCACGAAAACCCAGAGTGGCGGGATCCAAAACCTTTAAATTATACTTTTAAAATAATTATATAACAGAAAATATAAACCTTTTGCTGCTTCTGTTTCTTCTTTTTAACGGAGGATGCATTATTTGCGGTCATAGTAACATTTTGTTTGGAATGTGTTAACGCAGTGTTGACAGACTTAGAATGCTCTGCTACATCTGCAGTTAAAGCTGCCGCTGGTCCAGACAAATCCTTAAAGTTCATTTAATTAGCATACGATTAAATATTCTATCAATCAAAGGTGTATCCAGGGGGTTTAAAAATGAGAGGGGAGGGTGCAGAATTTTGGCGTTCCGAACTGTTTTTAGCCCTTTCCAAAGACTCAAAATTTGGTTTTTCGATTCGGTTTCGGTTATCCGAACTATTTCCAGGAACCGACAACCCTATTTACCACCCATCCGATTCCAGTCCACAACTTATGGAAATTTTTCCTGGATACACCTTTCAAATATAAAACAAACATCTTTTCGTGGCTGTTGTACTCTAGGACGTAATTCAATCCGCTTATTAAGAAACTCACGATGAAAGTCTTTAATAATTTTATTATCACCCAAATAACCGATTATGTAGTCTTCAGCCTATTAAATAAATTAAAAAATTATGATAAACAAAAACGGTACTTTATGGATATGTCACCCCCCTCCTATTTTGAGTCTCAGAGTTTTCCTTAAACGTAGAAAATGGTCAGAGATTATTTTCTTCTCCATGTCAATCATTTTTCTTTCTTCAAGAAAAATAAGTGAAATATGGTAAATGCAGAAACAAAATGAGTGAAATGTAAGTACAAAATATGTGAAAAGGCAAAATAAACAAGCAAAATACTTGAAGAAGAAAAAAATGATTGACATGGAGAAGAAAATAATCTCTGACCATTCTCTACGTTTAAGGAAAACTCTGAGACTCAAAATAGGAGGGGGGTGACATATCCATAAAGTACCACAAAAACAAAATACCTCATCAGGAGAGTCTACTTGTGCAATAAAATTGGCAAAAACTTCAGCATCAACTGATGAATTTAACTCTTTAACACGATTAATAATCCATTGGGTGAATTTGTCAGCCACTACTGGCTGAAAAATAAAATGTATTCTTGTAAACCTAAAATTCAATTACTTGTTGCTTTGGCGATTTAGTTTTTGTGTCATTAACTTTCTTTTGCTGGGAATGTTTCTTAGCTCCGACGGACTGCTGTTGCTGATTTGTTATAGCAGCGTTCGCTCCTCCACTTCCTTTCCCAATAACTGGAGGAATAGGTGCAGGTTTTGGCATTTGTACTTGCTGCCATCCTCGACGCTCACGATCAGAAGTAGTAGATGACGTTTTATTTGTAGCTGAAGTTTGCTGCTGATTGTGAGTTACTGGCGGAACAATATTCATCTGAATGGGTTTTGTAACCTGAGGAATAGTTTGCCATGCAACCTTTGCTGTGTGTTGTTGATCTGCTGTTTGCTGTTCTGCATAACGATCCCTTTAAATTTTTAAATTTATATAAAATAATAACAAGTACTTGATCCTTTGTTGTTCCGCTTTTGCCGCCGCTTCGGCTCGCGCGGCGATTTCCTGTTGTCGAATGCGTTCAGCATGTGCCTCCTCAAATGCTTGCTGCTGTTGGCGCTGTTGTTCTTTAATAAGACGTCGACGCTGCTCTTCATCTGCTTTTTTGGCTTGTTCTTGCTCGAGCTAAAAAGATTAAATTATCTTATCGAACAAGATCAGTTGAGTAAAATTACCTCTTTAGTATGCTGGGCTGCTTGGAGTGCCAGATTCATGCGAGCTTCCTCCTCCTCCCGCTTGCGTTTAGTTTCGGCTTCTAACATATGACGCTGACGTTCCTTCTCACGTGATAAAATTTCTTGAAGTTCTTTAGCTCTGCGACGATTATCTTCCTCCTAAAATTTACAACTTACGTAAAAATCTCCAAAATTACAAAAAAAAATTGTAAAAATAGTGAAAAGCTACAACAAACCATTCGTAGCTGCTGTCTCTGTTGTTCATTAAGTATCCTTTGTTCTAGCGCCGCTAATTCTTCACGTTTCTTACGTTCATATTCAGCCATTTGCTGGCACCTCTTATCAAATTCATCATCCTTTTCACGCGCAATCCGGTTGAGCTCACTTTGTTTGCGTTTAAGAACTTCCTCCATTTCTTGCATTTTTCGCTCTCTCTCAGAGCGCTCTTCTTCGTCTCGTCGAAGCTGCTCCTCTTTTTCGCGTAACTTTTGCTGCTCTTCTTCAATTAGTGCTTCACGCGTTTGAAGAGTCTAGAACAGAAAATAACCAAAATAATTGGAAGAAAAAAACCTTTTCCAATTCATACTCTCTAAGGTGCTGTGAAAATGCAGAATGGGCGAAACCACTAGTAGACATGGAAGTTTTTGTCATATCGGCAACAGCAGTTCTGCCATCAAATATTTTTGCTTTTGACAGAGTGTCTGATGAAATAGCCACTCCGTCGTCGAGTGGTGTAGTACCCCAAATTCTCTCCACGTCAGCCAATCCGAGAGTTGGGCCAGAGGTCGAATTGGAAGCCGTCATAGCACTAAGGAGGTCAGAAGGACTAATTCTAAAATATAAGTAACAATTTATCCTAATATGTTAATGTTTTTGCCTTTGTTCTATAGGTCTCTGAGAATTTGCAATAGTCGGACTTTTGCCTCCAGTATGTTTTGAGATGAAAGGAGTATGTTCACCGTTGATAAGAAACAAATCACCTGGTGTAGGAAAATAAGTATGAATTAAATAAAGATGAACAAAAAACCCAATTTCTGGTAGTTAGAATCGCCAAGTCTGCAAACTTGAAGAGAAGTCGTAAAATAACCACTTGCAAACCAGGCCTGCATTTGCTGACAATCAAAAGGCCCTCTCTGTACCTAAAAGTGAAAGTGTTTAAGAATTTAAACTTAATGATATGCATATAAACTAGGGGTGGACACAATCAATTTTAAACCAAAAATTATATTTTTTGCCAAAAAATTTTTGAAAATGAGGGATTAAAAAACTAAAACTGAAAACAGAAGACAGGGTTTTTTAAAATTTGGATTAACTGAAGTACCTGATATGTAACAAAAGGTTGTGATCTAACCTAGTACTATAAAAGGTAGCATTAGGAGTAGGTTCGAAAGGTTATTTTGAAACAAAGAACTTTCAAATTACAATTCACATTTACGGAAAAAGATGTTAGTAAAAAAATTCTTACACCGCTAGGATCTAGATAATTCCATTTATCCGGCTGCTGAACGGGTTGAACAACTGTCCCAGTAGCTTCAATAGGATCAATTTTTGAAATCGCAGCAGTATTCGTGGGGAAAGAATCAAATTGTCCAGGAGAGATATTTTTTGTAGACGATGAATGGTCGAAATGCTCAACACGCTTGTCTTCTGTAAATTAATAAAAACCATTTTAAAAAATTTAATTTTTACTTTGTTCACTGAGAGAAACCGATTCACTGGTTCTTTTATTCTGATCTGTTGCTTGACCGATTGTTGATCCCTGATGATTCTTTTTGCTTCCAATGGTATTCAGTCCTTCGAATTGATTAATTGCACCAGGTTTTTCATGAAAACTTTGCTGCTCAATATTTCCAGCTAGATTTCCACCGCTACTTCCACTAGGCGCATTTTTCCAAGATTGTTGTCGTTGAGGAGGTGGACCACCAGTGTTTGATGAATTAAGAGCGCTCCAACGATTTGGAACTTTGGTGTCAGAATTTTGGTATCTACGAGATGGAGCAGTAAAAGATGTAGACCCAGAACCTGATCGACCTAAAATAATATCTTTATTAAAAGACATAACAATTTAAAATGACCAGTTGAAGTCCAAGCACCTCCACCAACGGCCATCTCGCCTCCGCTATTTGCCTCATTGTGCCCTTGAGTTCGGTTATATGCACTTAGTGCTTTGCTCGAATTTACGTTTTGTTGGAGACGCTGGTGAAAATAAATTAAAAAAATAAACTTATAAAAAGAAAACCATTTCTATTTCGGTTAACGGCAAAAGAACAACAGGAGTCAGTGAGGACTCAACAAAGAACGGGCATTTCTCGATTCCAGAAGGTGGTTTTACTCCGTCCTTTCCTCTCATCGCTAAGAGATCCTCACGCCCATAACTGCAAAGTGATTACAAAATTATTGAAAAACCTACTAGAAAACTTTTGATACTAGAAGCCATGTTTAGATTAATTTTAAAAAGAAAAACCTATGTTTCGCAAAGATTGGGTCACATGGCTGTAAATAAATAAGTTTAGTACAACAGCAAAATGCAAAAATAAACCTCCTCAGCATTAACAGGTTTCTGTTGATTTGATATAACAGATCGAGTAGACGGCATCGTTTGTTGCATCCTTTAATTACAAAATTATACAGGGCAAGAAAAAAAAAAAAACCAAGAAGGATTGAAGTTAGTAGACACCTGCTGGACGATGTTAGATCCAGAATTGTTGTTTGACGAAGAAATTGCCGCCATTTGAACGCTTTTTTTTAAAGATTATATAAAGATTTGTTTGTCTAAAAATTTTAATTTTAAGAAAAAATAGTGAATTTCTTTTGGTTCTTAAAAACATAAAAAAGCAAAGAATTCGACTCAACGTGCTACAGTATAAACTACCGAATTCACACTTTTACTATAACAGTCATCAAATTCCCTTTACACGTTTTTACTGTTTCACGCGATTATTTGGGGTAGACCCTCAATTGTTGAAGGTTGCCAATTATGTAAATCGAACTAAAAGCTTAATTTAATGTTTAGTTTTCTTCTATTTTAGGAGTAGAGTTAAACAATTTAAAAGGCATGTTTTGTGTCACACCTCGTTTGGGGCGCAGGGTTGGCCGCACCCGATTAGGCGCGAAAAGTTTGGGCGTCAGTTATCGACTTTTCCCCAAAATAAAATTTTATTATTGTTTTTATTTTGGGTTTCACTTTTAAACTCCAGTTTTCTAGGTCTGCGACAGCATCATTTTTTTTTGCCTCGATGGGTAAAAGTTTACTTAAATAGTTAAGTCATCTATGAAGCAATAAATCCGCTTTATTAGCTGAGCAGGCGAACATTTTAGGATCTTGGCAGATATTTTTTAATATTCTGACAATGAGTCCACTTTTGAAAAAATTTTAATATTTTCCTGCGCCCAATAAAATTTTTAGTTCAAGTAATCTAATCAATCCACAATACATTCTGATCAATTCAGTCACAGTATATTTTATTTTATTACCTTCTGGATTTCTAGCAATAAGTATTTTAATCATTGTTGATTCATTAATTGTTTTGCTTCAGAAAATGTCATCAACTACGAAATCAAAAAATGTTTCAATTTCGGAATTTAAAACGCCCGGTTATATTAAGTTTTTGTTTGGTGGTCTGTCAGGTATGGGTGCAACTTTATTTGTTCAACCGTTGGATCTAGTGAAAAATAGGTTGGTTTTCATTAAACTTAATAATAATATTTGGATTCGGAAGGATAGGATGCAATTGTCAGGAATGCAAGGCAAACGTGAGTATTCTTCAACTTTTCATGCAGTTCGTTCAATTGTCAGAAATGAGGGGTTTATTGCATTGTACAATGGTGAAATTCACCCACGTGTTTTTTATGTTCCTAACATTTTTAGGCCTTTCTGCTGGTTTGGCTCGTCAAGCAATATATACGACAACAAGACTTGGGTTATATACCTGGCTTTTAGAATTTTGCAGCCACGAAGGAAGGAGTCCATCATTTGCAATAAAGGCTGGTCTTGGTATGACATCTGGTGGCATTGCTTCCCTTTTTGGGTTTGTCTTTATTGTGTCTTTATTGTGATTTAAAAATCACTCGTTCAGAAATCCAATGGAATTAGCACTAGTTCGAATGACCGCTGATGGACGTTTGCCTATAAACGAGAGGAGAAATTATAAAAATGTATTAGATGCACTTGTCAGAGTTACTCGAGAGGAAGGAATAGTCACTTTGTGGAGGGTGAAGATAAAAATTTGCAATTAATTAAAATTACTTTTTAGGGATGTACTCCTACAGGTATTTTTGGATAATTCTAAAAGTCAATAATTTGCGGTACCGCAAATGCGATGGGACAATTATAGCGAGGAAATTGGCAACATTTTTGCGTGAATAATGAAATAATATACTTCCCAATGATCTAAATTCAGCGAGTAATTGCAAGGGGTCCGATTATAGGAGGTTAAAGTGGTGGGGTGCGCCAAAATTTTGGAATTTACTTTGGCGTTCCGAACGATTTTCTGTATATATATTTATTTTTTCAGCGCCACAAGAGAAAATTTTTAATTTGGGAGACCATATTTCTCCCAATTTTTATCTCTTTCTCCAATTTTTTGGGGTATGGGCTCTAGAACCACCCCACCTCCCAGCACCCCTGGATACGGCATCCACATCCCATCCACAACACAAACATTCAAAATCCGTTTTTATCAGTTGTAAGGGCAATGGTTGTAAACGCGGCGCAGCTTGCCACATATTCACAAGCTAAACAATATCTCATGTCAGCTGGCCTTAAGGAAGGAATTCAACTACATTTTTGTGCATCAATGTGAGTAATTTAGTTGTAAAAGTATGGAATTTTTGATTTCTAAAAATAAAATTAATAGGATAAGTGGACTCGCTACTACGGCAGCAAGTATGCCTGTTGACATAATCAAAACAAGGTACTTATAAAACAAATATTCTAAATCTACAAATATTTTAAGGATACAGAATATGCGAGTTATTAATGGTAAACCTGAATTTACTGGAATTTCTGATGTTGTTGGACGGGTACTCAAAAATGAAGGATTTTTTGCGCTTTGGAAAGGATTTTTACCATATTATATGCGACTTGGACCTCACACTGTAATTTTTAATAGTAACAATTTTTTAACAAATTCGACCTTTAGAAATTACTAAACTGAATTTTTCTAATTTTTAATATTTTTAGGTGTTAACATTCATCATTCTTGAGCAACTAAATGGGTTTTACAACTTGTTTAATGCAGGAGCTAATGTGAATCAAAAAACGTGATAGGAAAAACCTTTTTCTCTTTATCCTTTTAATAATTTAAAGATATTTATCGGGCAAAATTTCGTTAAATATCCCACTTTTCAGCTAATTATGTTTTTTGTATAGGATTCTTGGTTCTTTTCTGTTATATTACTTTCTGTTATACCCTTATCTGTACATTAAAGTGAGAATAGGAAAAAAATTAGAGGAGCCAATTATTTTAAAATTATTTCTGGGTTTAATTTTATTAATTATTACCATTAAACAATTAATTACCCGTTGAAATATGGGTACTTTATTAATATCCCGCCCCCTCCTATTTGAGTCAGATTAATTTTCCTTTTATACCCAAAGGTCTAGAATGGGAAAAGTATTGCACTAAACCCAAAAATAATTTTAAATATGCCAAATTTTTTATTACACGATTTGTACACTTTATCTTTGATTTGTAATTTTTATGTATTCAACAGAAAAGAACCGGCTTCTTTTAAAAGATATAGCCTTTTATTTAATCTGGTAGCTATTTTATCTTTCGCCTAGTGTTTTTGAAAAGAATTGTCTATGCTAATTATACTTGCGGTGCTGATTATAATATTTTTACCGCATAAAGTTCAAATAAAATGAAGTTTTTAACTTTTTTTTTAAATATTAACAATTAGTTTACTTTAAACACTATTTTATTTTTCACCTTCCTTAATATTCCTTTCCTCGATAACTCGTGCAAATGTTCTGGCAACAATAAGAGGGAAAACTAATGTTGCATCGGCATTAACTTTCACAGTCCTTGCATCACTTTTTACTTTTCCCCAGCTCACAGCTTCGTCTGGTTCCGCCCCAGAATCTGAACCATCAAATTCCTTAAAAAATTTTTAAAGTACCGGAAAAACAAAATTCAAATTTTTTAACCTGTCCAGTATTAACATAAACTGTATAATCGGAACCATTCCTCATCAAATTAGCATTGTTTATGTGGTGTTTGACAACTCCGCCTCCCAAGATTATTACTCCACTTTTAAATGACATAACTGCCATTGAATTAATATGACAAAGATCCTTTTAAAAATAAAAAAAATATTTTTACAAATAAAAAACCTCAACAATATCAATTATTAAACCATCCATTTGATTCTTCATTGAATGAAAATATAGCATATCTCCTAAAGAGCCATCAGTTAATGCTGGACAATAAATTGGTATATTATTACGCCATGCCCAATAACAAATTGAATTTTTATCGTTAATTTCTTTTCCGAGTCTGTTGATAAGCTTAAATAATTTTTAGAAAAAAATAATTTCTAAAGAAAAACTTTTGAAGGTGTCCAACGAAATCCTTTTTGTTTTTGTTCATTTAAACAAGTGTCCAAAATAGGCATTAACCATTCCTCAAATTTGCAATAATTTTCATTTGGAATAAGTAAATTTCCTGCTCTATTAATGCCATTAGAGCGTAACCAAGCACCGGACATTTTAAATGAACCTGAAAATTTAAATAACGTTTAATGGAAGTATTTAAATGAGACATACCAAAGGGGAAAGGCTAGAACGGAAAAGGAAAAAAATGTTGGGAATCATCAGAAATAAAAATTTTCTGCTGTGGTTCTACCCATGTCTCATATAGCTGTTACCACTATATAAGCAGGCGGCTCAAGATAATGTCAATAAGACACCCCGATGTGTTATCCTCTTGATAATAACGTTAATGTAAATAAATATACCCAAATATGTTGGATGAATACATTTAATTAAATCCTCCTCAACACCTCCAGCACTTGTGACGACACAATCAACCAAATTATGTTCTAATAGATATCGAAAAATCTTTTTTAATGTATAAAATATATTAAAAATAACAAACATCTCTCAATCCTGAAGTGACCAAGTTAGAAGTAAAACCAAGAAAAAGCGTCAATGATGGTCGCAAACGGCCTGGAGGGTATTTAAAATATTGATCTATATCCGGGTCTATCTTAACAGGTCTTAATCTTTCTTCCAACATTGAGTTGATCTCCTTTGAATTTTAGAAAAATTTTAAGGGTAATTGTGAAGATTATTGGTCCCCAGAAAAAAGCAGTGCTCTTTCGATATTCTGATATAATCTTTAACTATTTCCCAGTAATCTTCACTACTACAATTTTAAGTTGTGTAAAACAGAAAGAAACAAACTTTAACTGCAATTCCTAAATTTGTTGATTGAAATCCTGTATTTGTAAAAGAATCCAATAAAGCCTGCCAATCAATACCTCTGTTAAAGTCATAACCTTTAACTATTTGATCCAAACAAGACAGTTTAGTGGATTGAAAAAGTACTGCATCTCTCTCAATTTTTAGATCTTCGTTAACATTATTGCCATTAATAGACATTTAGCTAGATTTAAATAGTTTAAGTTAAACGTAGATGTATACCCTGAACCTCGTTTTCAGCGATTTTTCTGAAATGACCGCGCTAAAAACAAGGATTTCTGTCCCATGATGATATAAATTTATTTTAAAGATACCCACTCCGAAGTTCAGAGTACAACTCTAAGAAAGGAATATTTTAAAATATTTAAGCTTTGATAAAACATTATCAAAAATTAAATTTAAAAATAAACTTTTATTGTAAAACAAAACAAAAAACTAAAATCATTCTTCATCCAAAAGTGAAAACGTATTTGACATCTTTCTTGGAATTACATTAAAAGTCAATTTATAAATATTTTCATAATTTCTATAAAATATTTTGAAAAAAAAGTTTAAAAAAATTAAAAACCTATAGCCGTAGAGATCCTCCATCAATTTAATATTTGGATCAGGATTACAATCTTCACGAGTTATTAAAACAGTTCCATCACAATTAGCTTTTAACATATGCCTACCATTAAAAGAATGCCATCGGACCTGTTTAAAATTTTATTTAAATTTTTAAAAAATCCAAAAACAAACGTTGGCTCCTGGATGATAATTCATACTTTTTTGATAAACTAATAAATCATCCTTTCTACATATTTCACCATTGGTCCTGTAAATACCCAAATATGGAATATTTGTTGGTGGTTTAAATATTGTCCTGGCAGATATGTTAAATAAAGGCGAAAATAAAGCTTTTGATTGTAAAAATAAATTCTTCATCAATAACAATGCTGAAATTTAAATATGTTAAAATTTGTATTACTTAAGCCAATTAAAAGTATCATCCCAAAAATTTGAAAAATATTTAAAATAAACCATTTTTGCTACTTCAGCATCTTTAACTGACTGTTTAGTTTTCTAAAAATTTAAAAACAAGTTATAAGTATGTATATTTGGATCCTAGCTAATTGCGGTAGATCAACACAAGAAAAAAACTTTTACTTATACATAGTTAATAAAAATGCCTCAATCACGAGATCCCGCATAATGTTTATGCGGGAATTGCCGGACGGGATCCCGCGAAATTAATCACGCGGGATCCCGTGCTCTTCCGATAAATTCTCCCGCCTCTCTTCATTTTCAGCTTAAACGTTTTATTCTTTAAAAAATGGATGATTCTGTAGCAAATACTGTGCAGATTGTGCTTCCTAATGGTATTAAAAAAGTCATCAATCGCCCAGAAAAAGTTTTAGATGTGCTTAAAGCAAATTGTGATGATGAAAATTATGAAAATTTTGGTAAATTAATTATGTACATGTATGCTAATATTTATTTTTACTTTTAGCTTTAGTATTCTTCGGGCGTAAATTGGCTCTCGATCAAAAACTCGAAACAATTCAACATTTAAATGAAAATCGTCCTCTCTATATTATTTGTCAAAAAGAAAATAATCAAAAATTAAAAGAAAATAAAGAAGAAATTAATAAAAAGTTGCAGGCTTGTCGGGCTTCTTATCGAGCATTAATAGAAGATGCACTTCCTCAAGTTTCTGCAGAAGCTTTCAAATTGGTAATTTCTTTTTTAAATTAATTACCTAATTTTATTTTAAAAGCTTTTGTCTTATATGCATGAAAATAAATGTGAAAATTACAAGCAAGTTTTGAAAGATTATCCAAATTTTGTTTATGATCAGATTGGAGATGCTGCAATTTGTGATTTTCGTCTTCTTATCCAGTTTATTTTGAAGGTTTTTATTAATTTATTTAAAAACATTTTTACTTCTTTAAAGAATAATGAGTTTGCACACAAACACCCGGATTGTTTATCTGTGTTCAAAAAAGCACTGGATAATGTTTCTGCTAAGTTTTCCTCTACTTCTACATCTGTTCGGTTTCCAAGTGCATTAATGGGCGGTGATTTAGCTATGCCAATGCAAAATAATCCTTCTACAGGAACTCAACTTATTACACAACAAATGCTTAGTCAAGCCTTTGCCGTTGCTTTAGGTTATCTTTAAATTTATATTATAAAAAGGAAGGGAGACCCAGTTGGCTCGAATTTAAAATGCTTACTAGGTATAAAAAATAACTCAGGATGTAGCAGAATTGATGCTTGCCCACGGCTAAACTTTTACTTCTCACTTATTAAATATTTCAATGATTTAAGGCGAGACACCAGCTCAACCAACATCTAATTCACAGCAAGGTTCATCTATCCAACAAACAAGCACATCACAAAATGAGGGAGAAAACAACGATCCAAGGGCCAACTTTGCCACACAACTTCAACAAATGCATGAATTTGGTTTTACTGATGATAATGAAAATATTCAAGCACTTTTATTAACTAATGGAGATGTTGAGCAAGCATTACAAATTATAATTGCGATGAGAGAATAAAAGAAAAAATATTTTTTTTATTTTTATGTTTTTTATAAAGTGTAAGAAATTGGGGAAAATTATTGAGATTTTTTTTGTTATTTTCAAATAAAAATATTTTAAATTATTTTAACATTTTTAATATTCTTTTAGTTACAAAAATGTGTCCTTAACTAAAATTAAATGGAATACAAAGATGATATAAAGCTTATAACAGAGAAGTACAACCCAAAAGAAGATTTAAGATTTTTTGAACATTGCTGGAGAAAAAGGTGGGTGAAATAAATAATTTTTGTTTGGCCAATTGTGTAAAATTAAATTGTGGGAGATTAAAATATGGGGATTATAAATAGATTAGTCGATTATTTCTCATTAAAATTTCTCTCCAAAACTTAAATTTGTTTTCCTTTTTTTTGATCTTCGATTACCTTTTATGATAACCAAAAGAACGTAAAACTTGTTCTAAATAGTTTCTTCTTACGCGTTCCACTTTTTTGCCGTTTATTAAAATGTTTGCGTGAGAGTTAAAAACTTTTAAAATAATAACTGAATACAATTCTTTAAAATACTATTTAATTTTTATTATTTTTTTATTAGGGATGGTCATTGCTTTTGTGATTTTCCAATAAGCTGTATAAGTGTTTTTCTCATTTTCTGTCCAATGATTATTTTTACTTTTTTTATTTATTATGGTTTGTTTATTTTTTTATTAAAATTTACATTTCTTTTTAGGCATTTCATCTGCAAATGGTATCGATATAAATCCAAATGAGAAATCAGACATTACTTATTATAATGCTTCAAAGTACTTTTTTTAATTTTTTTAAAATTTATCTGTTTTTTAGAGCTCAATTAATTGTTGATAAACTTTGTAATTCGTGGAATCAAGGAATCTATGCTGGGGATTTTTGTGAAATTTTGTGTGCAAAGAATTGGACTTTAGTTGATTATTTTGAAGGTGGAAATAAAAAAGTATTTAAAATACATTTGAATGGAGCTGATATAATTGTGAAGGTAATTATTTATTTATTTTTAGAAAAAATTTTTAATTTTAAGATGCAACACCCATTTATGGATCAATATGATTTACAATTAGATTTTAATTCGGCTTCAGATGAGCAATTTATGGATATGGTTTTTATTTTATTTTTTTTATTTTAATTGTTTAAAGGTTCTCGATATTGTAAATGACCATCTTCGATTAGATTGGCCAAGGAGATACAAAAAACATTTAATTCGTAAATTATGGCCAAATTATAAAGATGGTTTAAAATTGAAAGAATCAGAAAAAAGAAGTATTTGGACATTAATACAACAAAATGAATATATTAATCAAGCAGTTCTTCAAATGAGTAGAGTTACACCAAAAGTATTTTTTTAATTTATGGATTATTTTAATTTATTTTTTTAAGATTTTAGGGGTGTGTGGACATTCTTATCAATCTGAACAGCTTATTCCTTTTCGAATGAAGCCTTATTATTTAAATTTAAAAGCAAAAATTTTAGTTCATTTAATGGGAACTTTAAAACTTTTTTATGAATTTTTGAATGAACCGTTACAATGGTGTGATGTTAAATTTGAGAATTTGGGATTGTCTGCTTCATATCCAAAAAGGTTTTTTTTCTTTTCTTTTTTTCCTTAAATTTAAATAAAATTTAATAGATTTGTAATGATGGATAATGATATGTTATATACAGAAACTAAATTAACTGAAATATTAACTAGTCAAAGTTGTTTAAATGACTCTGATTGTGGACTTTTTGATTGTGAAAGTCGTTGTAATATAGAAAGCGGTAAATATTTTGTTATTAAAGAAAATAATAAAAAAAATTTAGGATTCTGTTCGGCAAGAACCAACGACAACGTTGATGTTTTTAATTTTTTAGACTTTTTTAAAAAATATATATTTTTAAAGGTTTTTTGTAAAAAATTGGTTAATCAGCAACTTTTTGGGACTTTTTGGTCAAAATCAAATAAATATTTAGCTGCATGCCATCAAGATCCAGTAAATGCTTCTCAAAGGCTTAATGAACTTCGGTTAGTTTGGAGTTGGACTCTTTCAGATGTTTGAATTAAATCGTTGATTCTTTTATGATTTTTTTGTTTAAGTTTAACCTCATATTTTTTGTATAATTAGCATTTATTTACTCTTAAAATAATGCATAATTTTAGTCTTGCCTTTATTTCCCAAAAATATATCTCTCCAATATTTGTCAGATATCTATTTAAAAATATTATTGTACTTAATATTATTTTTACTCCATTTTAATTGAAATATTTCCTATAATAATTTGTATCGATAAAAATGTATATGTATTATATTTAATCTTTTAAATGCCTTTTTTGGCCAAATAATTTTTATGTAAATTTTTATTTAAAACTTTTTAAGTTAATTAGTTGTCATTTAAATATTGCTAAATATGAGTTTTGTGTCAAAAAATTTACTTGAAAATCTTCCAATTCCAAATTCACATGTTGAACAAATTATTGAAAGATTAGTGAAGGGTGATATGAAATTTGTTGATTTTATAGAATCTTTGAGGTAATTATATTTTATTTAAATATATTAATTTTTGTTTATTATAGAGATAAATTGACAGCAAGAGAGGCAGAGGTTAGAAGTGAAGGGGTTGGTGAACTCTGCTCTGTCTTTCTAAATTTGACTAAAACAAATGGTTCTGCATTGGAATTTGGAGATTATGAATATTTACTTAACTTTTTGCTTTCTAAGGTTTTATTTAAAAATTAATTTTGGCCCATTCTGACACCCCAAAACGACCCCAAAACGAGAAATGGCTAAAAATATTGGGCAAAATACCCAAAATGAGGCATTTAAAAAATAAAACCTTCAAGAATAGCATTAATTTTTTCGCCAGCATAGGAATTAGCAATGACACCCTATTTGAAATCAAAATATTTTTAATAGGTGGAAGACTCTGCCCACTTGGTAGACGCACTTATAACGACAATCTACATTTTAGTAATTTAAACGAATTTCTACTAATTTTAGTGTTATTTTCAGTTAATACAGTATTCTGATAGCCAGAAAAAACAAATTCAGACGGATTTATTGGAACGTTTGTTAACTCAACTTTTTGAAAATAATGGAGTGCAAAGCTACAGTCGGGTATTTTTTAAAGATTTTTTTAAAGAAATAATTTTATTTTAATTTTAGAAAGATCGACTTCTTCTTTTTGCAATTTTTGAATATATTTTGAATTTAACTCTTGAATCGCTTATTTTTAGTCAAAAAAGATTAATTCTTGCATTTATACATTCAGCACAAGGGGAAAGAGATCCTCAAGTTCTTCTTGGAGTTTTAAAAATTCATCAAATTTTGACTATCCAATTAAATGGTTAAATATTTTTAAAAAATATTTAAAAGAATTTTTTAGATCCATTACTTGTTGAAGATATGTTTGAACTTGTTGCTTGTTATTTTCCAATTGATTATGAACCGGTTAATTTTTTAAGAAAAAATTTTATATTTTTTTAGTCAGAAAATGATGACAATTCAATTACTTCTTTAATGCTTAAACATGCTCTTGAACTTTGTATGACATCAAATGAATTATTTGTTTCTTTCTTTTTTCAATTTATTGTTGAAAAATTGGTGGAAAGCGATGCTGATGCAGTTGGTGGTGGTGGTGAGGGTGGTGATTGTGAATTACTTGACAAACAATTGGAAATTTGTGAATTTTTTGTAAAAAAGTTTTTTTTTATTTTTAAAATAAAAAAATTCAAAAAAAGGTTTTTGCTTGTGAACGTTTTAATTCAATATCTAATGCAATTGATACAAATTCTGTTGATGATTTGTTGACAGCTTTTCGTTTAATTTTTATGAATCCTTCTCAAAATTCTATTTATTTAACAAAAAGTACAAAAATTGTTAAACAAATTATTTTTGTTTTAAATAAAGAATTTACTAAAAATGGAATTGAAAAAGTAAAAGAATTAACTAAACAAATGGTTAATTCTACTTTGGAAAGTATTTTTTAAATTATTTTTAAAAACTTTTATTTTTTTTAAAAGATATTGAACCTTTTATTCTTCAAGCAGAAATGGGAACAATGGAAAAAAGTTTTTGTCTTTTAGAATGTTTGGTTGAAGCAAGTTTGGATTTATTTGACTCTATAATTACTAAAATATTTTATTGGATAAATATTTTAATTGAAGGTATTTTATTTCGAAGAATTTGAAAAAAATCTTTTTTTAAAGGTAAAACTCTCAGAGCTAAACAAAATTGGATTGAAATAGCTTGTGAAGCAATTAATTTACTTCCTTATTGGCTAAATTTATGTGTTGGTTTTATCCCTCAAAATTCATTTATTAATTATTCTCCTTCGAAAGAAAGAGTTGAGGAAATTGTTACAAATTCAATAATTCCTTTAATTTCTGCTATTTTTTCATTAGATTCTGAAGATATTCAAATTTTTATAGGAAAATGTAATTTACTTTCTGTAAGTTTTTTAAAATATTAGAAAGAATTTCTTTTTAATTAAAGATTCTTCTTTTACCAATTTGCACAGAATCCTCAAAAGATTTGCCTTGCTTAAAATTATTTGGTAATTCATTATCAACAAATAAACTTTTTAACAATTATTGTTTACAACATTTTAATAATATTCTTTTAACTTCTGATTTTTCAATTTTTGATAAACAAAAGTATTTTTTAAATTTAATAATTAATTAATTAATTTTTTTTAAAGAAATAATTTAATCAAAAAATTTATTTCACTTTTTGTTGTTTACAAAAAAATTAATTTTGATAATTTGGATTGTTTTAATAATTATGAGAATTTTAATAACAAAATTATTTTTTTGTCTTCTTTTGTTTATCCACAATTGGAGAAAGAAAGGAAATTAATTAAAACTTTAATTAATTACAATAATATTAAAAATTATTTTACAAAAATTATTTCAAATATTTTTGAACAAATTAATTTTGAAGAGAAAAATTTAATAAATAAATATTGCTGGGCTATTGAAGAAATTTTTGAAAAATTAATTGAAAATAATTGGGATGATTGTTTAGAAGAAGAATTTTTGGAAGAAATAAAGAAGGGAATTTTAATTTTGGAAAATAAAGTAAGTTTGGATATTTAAAAATTAAAGATAAGATTTTAGAAAATAAATTTAATTGAAATTAGTGATTTGGAGTCTTTTTCTAATTTATTTAAAAATATTGGAAGTTTACTTTACAAAAATAACAAAAAAGATTTACATTTAAAATTAATTAATTGGTTGTTGGAAATAATTAAAAATAATAATGAAGATGAAGAAATAAATAAAATAAGAATATTTTTATTTTCAAAAATTTTTTTGTTTTTATTTTTACAAACTGAAGAGAAGGTTTTTTTGTTTTTAAATTTACAAAAAATAAATTTAAATTTTAAGAAATTATTAAATTCTTTTACAAAAATATTATTTTCTTTAAATTATTCTGAGGAAAATAATTGGTTAATTGAATGTTTATTTAAAATATATTCTCAATTTGTTTTTAATTGTTTATTAAATAATGAAGAGGAGGAGGAGAATTTGGAGAAATTACGTTTATTGTTTTTTGAAAATATTTTTAAATTAAAAGAGAAGGAGGAGAAACAATTATTTGATAAGGTAGGGGAAGAAGGGGTGTTGATCAAATAATTTTTTAAAATTTTTTAGTTAATTAATTTTCGTTTGGAATTATTAGAAACTCGTTCATTTCTTTTTTTAAATAAAAAAGAAAGTCAAATTAAATTAAATAAATTATTAGAACAAATTGTTAATTTAACTGAAGATGAAGCTAGAATATTTGTTTTTAATGCAAAAATTGAAGAATTATTAAATTTTGATTTGTAAATATTTTAATTTAATTTTATTTTAATTTTTTTAAAGAAAAGAAGGATTATTTAAATTATCAATTTTTGCTAAACAAAGGTTTTTTAAAAGTTTTAAAAAATTTTTTTAAATTAATTTTCAGAATATTTTGTGAATTTTCTTCTATTTATTTAAATATTTACAAACAAATTAAAGATCAAAATGAAAAAAAATTAATTCTTTTATGTTTGTTAGGCCCTTTATTGAAATTAATTGAAAATATTTCAACAGAATGTTTATTTAATGAATTTAATAAAGTTTGTAGGAGGAGGGGGGGGGGTAAATTTAAAAATAATTTTTTTAAATTTTTTAGTTAGCCCCTTTAATTAGCGATGCTCTTCCAATTATTTTTTTACAAAAAAATTTTTCTTCAATAAATGAATGTATTTTAAATAGTGTTAAATTAATTATACAAAAATTGCCTTTTACTAAAAAGAATTCTTCTCTTTTACATTCAATTATTTTTAATTTAACAGAAATACCTCCAAAAGGATTTTTAATTGTAAAAATTTTAAAATAAATTTTAATTATTTTTTTTCAGAAAAATTATTTAATTATTTTTGAATGTTTGGAATTAGTTGCTAAAAATTCTTTTAATTTAATTAACACAAAAGAACAATTTTTGGCTTCTCTTTATTGGCGTGTTGTTAGAGTATGTACACGGGCTATTAACGAAAATCCAAAAAGATTGGTGCGTCAAAGGGCGGCTTCGGCTAGAAATTTGTGGGAATTGTTATTTTGATAAATTTAAAAGAAATATTTATCTATTTAAATCTCCAAAATAAAAAGATTATTATTATTTTTCAATTTAATTGTTTTTTGTTTAGCTATGGGAATTAAATATATAAAACATTTTTTATTAAACATTTTTTTATTATTAATATTTTCCCCTTTTTTTCTTCCAATTAAAAATAATTTTATTTTTTTATTAGGTCAAAGCAAGATATTTTCCTCTCTGAAGACTTATTGACCTCTAAGATTTTAACTTTTTAAAGGAAATATCAAAAGGGAATTTTGAGGGATTAAGGCGATATCGATGGATTTGGGGTGGTTGAGGGGGAGGGGATAGATAAATTATGTTGTGGGAATTGTTATTTTTGTGTTGTTATTTCTCTAATTATCCAGAATTATGTTACACACTCACAATGCAGCACCTTAGGTTCTAAAATACAGAATTGGGTACTTATTTTCATAGAGCCCCCATATTTATCTCCTTAATCCCTCTAAGTCCTTCGGTATTCCCCTTTTCAAAAATCTTCAGGGTTGTCCCCATTTTTTAAAAAATATTTTTAAATAAATACACAATTATTTTTCGACATTTGATTTTATTTATTTAGTTAAAAATATCCACCAAAACTTTCAACACAATTTGTTCCAAAAAAATATTCTTTTCTTTTTTTCCTTTCTTTAAATTTCTTTTCTTTACCTTGGCTTCTTTCACTTTTTTTCCTTTTAAAAAATTTCCGCAGATTTTAACTCAATTCATGTTTTGGCTTTTTCTTCCATTTATTGTTAAAATATATATTTATTTATTTATAACAAAAAAACAACAAACAAAAAAATCTATCGAATATTTATTTTTAAATTTATTTTTATCCTTTTTTTCTTTAGTTGCCTAGCAGCTTTTAAATTAAAAAACAAATATTTATTTTTCCATTCATTTATTACCTTATAATTTAGGCAATTTTGTTTTTTGTGTAAAGATAGGAAAAAGAAGTTATTTTTATTTTATTTATTTTTTAAAAAAGTTATTTTTAATAATTTTCTATTTTGTTTCTTTATTTAAAATAAAAAAAAAATATTTTTTTATAAAAAATAAAATTAATTAATTTTTAAAAGTGTCAAATTGCTTCCTCTTCTCATTACTTTCTTTAAAAACATTTTCTTTTTTTCAAAATATTCAAATTACAAAATAACGTGTCTTTTTATTTAAATTTGAAACTAATTTATTTTTATTTTAAAAACAATCCTTTTTTTTAACGTTCACAATAAATATTTATTTAAATAATAATTATTTTTTGGATTTATTCTGTAAAGCTTTCAGGCGTTAATATTAATCGCCTTCTTTTCATTCAATATTTAAAAACAAAAGAAAGTCCATTCATTTTAAATAAAATACCTAAAAAAATTTTTAAATTTTTTTAGTAAATTAAAAATGTAAAGTAATTAATTTAACATGCAAATAATAATAATTAAATATTCTCCATTATTTTCTTTAAATTTAAAAACTTTTTTATTTTTTTATATTAATTTATTTATTAAAATTTTTTGTCTTTTTTGTTTGTTAAATAATGCTCAAACTAAAAGTTTGTTTAAGTAAATTAAAAAAAATAATAAATATTTTTTTAAAGCTTTTAACAATAATAATCAACAATTAAAACAAAGAATGTGTTTTCAAGTAATTTTTATTTTAAATTTAAATTTTTAAATTCCAAAAAAGTGTCATATGCCAATTCAATGCAAATCAGGATTTTGTTTTGGTGATTATTGTGTTAAAAGTATTGTTGCAAATAAATATGTTAGTAAAGGATGTGAAAATAAAACAAAAAATGGAGGAAATTATTTTGAAGGAAGGGGAAATGAAGGGAGGGGGGATATTCTAGTACAACAACAAAATTTTGGGGAGTCTTTTTATGGTTATTTTATTTTGGAATATTTAAAAATAATTATTTTTTTAAAGTTTCTGTCAGATCATTAGAAGAAGAAAAAGAGAATCAATTAATTAAATCCTCTACTAAATATCCAAATAAATCTAATAGCAATAAAATGACTTCATTGGGAGTTGCTGTGCCTAATGGATGTATTAAAGTATTTAATGATTTGAAGAATAATTTTAAATTAATTTTTGTGGAGATATTTGAAATTTTAGTTTTAACAATAAGGGATGTGCGCCAAAATTTTCACGTGGCGCGCCAAACATCAATATTTCAAAATTTTTGAATAACGCCAAATGCAAAACGTCAAAAATAACGCCAAAATTTTTAAAATACAAAAAGGCCTAAAACCCAGAGTTTATCTTCTTTGCTACGCAGGCGAAAATTTTGAGAATTGTGGAAGAATGTATACAGAAAAATTATTATTATATTTTCCATTTATTTTAAAAAATTTCCATCATTAGGGGTGTATATTTTGGCGTTTGGCGCGCAAAAAAACGAAAATCACGCAAAACACCAAAAATCAGCCAATAACACCAAACGCATTGCCGCACATTTTTGTTGACAATAAAAATTAAAAAATACAATTTTACTAAATAGAAATTTAAATAATTTTTAATTAATTAATCATAGATGAATGTATTTGGACAGCCAAATATAATTTGTTATTGTAATGATGCTGATTACTGTAATGGAGGAGGGGGAGGAGGAGGAAGAGATTTGAAAAAACAAACTAAAATTTTTATTCTAATAATTATTTTTATTTTTTTAATAAATATTTAATTTAAAAATAAATTAGTTTATTATTTTTGTCTTTTCATTTTTCTCCAAATATTACAATTGGTGTAAAAGGCTTATAATTGTTAAGAGATTAAATTAATTATTTAATTTTTGTTCTTTAGGGATTAAAAAAGTCATCAAGAGATTAAAGGGATTTAGGCAAGGTGTCGGAGCGGAATTTAAAAGATGTGAAAAAACACAAAATTTGTGCAATTTGACACGAAATTAAGTATTGAAAATTAGGTTAAGTGACGATATCGCAAATTAAACTTGTCATTTTGAAGTATTGTACTCTGATGTTTTTATTTTTGACTATTTTTTGGATTGATAATGAATGAAAGAATAAAAGAATTTTCATCATTGTAAATATAAACAAAAGAAATTTTTTTCTTAATTTTTATTGTGTAGTAAATAATTATTTAGGAGACCACATTAATTAATTATAATTAAATTTTGTTAAATAAATTTATTTTCTATTTATTTTAAATTTAACAAATAAAATTAATTAAAATCTTTTTTATTTATTTAAAGGAATTAATTCGTGCCACATAGCTATTGGAGTATCTTTAAAATAAAAAAATAAAATTAATTAAATAATTTAAGTTAAAAAACTTGGTTGTTTAATCATTTGTTTCCAATGGATATTTCCTTTAGAAATACTTCCTGAAGGCCCAATTAATAAATAATAACCACCAAAATTTTCAAATAAAATATTAATATTTAATTGACAAAAAGGTAAACGTAAATAATTTGGAGATTTTAAAAGGAATGATTGCCCCAATAAATATTCTTCTTCTTCTTTTTCTTCCAAAATTTCTTCTTCTTTTTGTTGTTTTGAAGAAGAAGAAGAAATTATTTTTTTACTAAAATAAATTATGTATTTTTAAGAAAAGAAAAGGGGAAAACCTTTTACTAAAATTAAATAACCGTTCATCAACAATTTTAGAAGAATCAAATAAACGTAAATTAACAACAATATCTTTAATTAATTTAAATTTATTTTTAAAATAACTTTAAAAGAAAAACCTTTTTCTTTTTCTAAATTCCAAAAACCTTTTAAAGTTTTTAAAGTTAAACTTAAAAAATCGAAATGTTCCCCCAAAGTTAAAATAATTAAAATATTTTTTGGAAATAATTCTTTTTGTTGTTGTTTTGTTTTATTTTTATTTAAAGAAGATTGGGGAGGTGGGGGTAATGGTCTTTTTGAATAATTTATCTAAAAATAAAAATTTATTAATTTTTAATTATTCCCCCCTCCCCCTCTCCCCCTCTCTTTTCCCCTTCTTTCTTTCTTTTCTCCAAAAAATTTGGATTTTTGTAGAAAATCCAAAAAATTACATCAACAATACTAACTCAGTTTCGGCTTTGTCAATTTTAAATAGGTACTTCTCTAAATTTTTGGTTTAACCTAATATACACAAAAAATTTTTTAGAACCAATAACCCAAATTTTTTTACTTTTAATAACTTTTTTTGGAGAGAAAGAAAACACAAAATTCTAATTCTATAACCAACCAATTTTTGTTTTTGAAAATTATTTAAAGACGGGCCTGGACCTATAATTGCTGTTGCTGCAACAGAAAGCCCTCCACAATTATTTTCTTCCCTTCCAATAAAATCTTTTTCTTTTTCAATCCAATTTTCCTTTAAATAAATATTTTCAAAAAAATATTTAATTTAATTAAATTTACTGTGTGGGGAATTATCTTTTCTGAACGTAATTCTAAAATTAAATAAATTAATTTTAAATCCACCCCCCCTCTCCCTCTCATTACCTCCATGCCTTTCTCCCCAATTTCTAAATTCTAATTTACTCGGCCTTCCATGTCGATGACTTCCCGTCCTTTGATCTCCCCTGAGAAATTAAAAATAAAAATCTTTTCTTTTTAAATTTACCCATGATAACCCCGATTAGCACGAGCAGCGGGCGCTGCATGATTTTTGCCTGAAACATGTAAATCCTTTGGGGCCCAAGCGGCACTGGGATCACAGCCAGCTTGGGAAGGGGGCTTGAAAAAATAGAAATAAATTAGTTTTTAAATATTTTTGTAACCATTTTATGCATTTGAACGGCTGTATGGGGTAAATTAATAACTGATTGGTAATCAAAAAAATGTTTTGCAAGAAAATTCATTTTAAAATTTAAATAATTTTTTGGATGGAACTAAAAAAGGAAGTTTTTTAAAGAAATTAATTTATAAAAAAAAGTAAAAAGAGGTTTTGAGTTTGTTTGTGTGTATATATTTATGTAATTGGATTTAGCTATATATATTCTCCTCCTTTATTATTAGCTTTTTTTCAACCATCTGTCTTTTAAGTTAATTTTATTTATTCAAATTGCCTGAAAAAGTGACTGAAATAATTAAATAAAGAAAAAAATAAATGTCTAAAAAATATTTCTTTTTAAATTAAAAAAATAAAAAGAAGAAATTTAAAGCCAATTTAATTAAAAAATAAAAAATATAAAATAAATAAATATGTAAAACATATATGTAAAACATCCATATGACAAAAACAATGTTGGAATATTTAAATAAAAAATATTAATTAAAAAATGAGGGATTAAATTAATAAACAAAAAACGAAGTTTGGGTATTTTGTGGGTTATCTTCTAAAACAATTATGTTGATAGTTAATTAGTAAGCACAATATCCGTCAAAACTTGTTTAGAAACCCCCACAAATACCTTTCTGAATTTCAAATGTGAAAAAATTTTTTTGCATTTTCATATTTAATGAAATTTAAATTTGATATGTAAAAAAAAAGAAAAAAAGTGCCAAATACCCCCACCCACCCATTCTTCTTTAAAATATATTTTAAGTCAAAAAGAGAAGGCAACTCATCAAAAAAAAGGGAAAAAAATGAAAATTTAGGCGGCGACAAATAATAAAAAATAAAGAAAGAAAGACTCTACTACTAATAAAAAAAACAGACAATACCAACAAACAACAACAAGAAAGGCATTCACGTTTAAATTACTCTCTTGAGAGGAAAATAAAAAAAAGGCACAAAGTTATTTAGACAAAATTGGATAAAACGAGGCGCTATGTAGTCCCTTCAGAACAAAATTTCGATAAATGCTTATTCAAGGGTTTACAGGGGACGATGGGAAATCCTCTTCTAAAAAATAAATTCTCTAAAAATCGAGATTCCTCATTACCGATTAGATCTTTTTCTTTGATCCCCCCCCCCCCCCCAAATTTAAAAAACAAAAGTTTAATCATTGTCATTTAATAAGCTCTTATAACGAAACTGATCTTTGACAAAACTAAAGGAAACGTGAAAAATCCTTTTTTTTAATTAAAATATTTTTCAAAAAAAAGTCAATGTATTTATTTATTAAAAAAATAAACTTATGAGAATATACTGCATATTATTTGCCTTTTTAAAGAACCTTCACACCATATCACAAATCCATAAATGCATCAAAAATTTATAAAGGCACGCATAGTGGAAAGGGGTAATAGTGAATAATTTAAAGAATTTTTAAAAATAAAAAAGGTTGGGATTTGTAAGTAGCAAAAAATTAATTAAAAAGCGAGTCTGAAATTTATTACAAAATAAATAAACATCATTATCTTCATTTCACTTATTGGCCGTTTGAGGTAAGGGATTTTAATCAACGCTTTTACTCTCTCCAAAACTAACTACATAATTCTCGTCAGGCAGAATTATCTCATCTAGGCAACCCATTTGAAATCTTCATTAACAACCCCTAGAAAAAATCCAAACACTATCGAATTGGTAGCAATAAATTAAAAATTCTAAAAAATTACAAAATAAATCTCGCCTTGGGATATGTTTCTAGAACTCTGTTCAGTATTTACAAAATTGGTAAAAATCTAAAAAATTAATAAAAAAATTAAATTTCGTCGAATAATTGTTATTGTTTTGCTAATTGTTTGATACTGATATCAAGAACAAAACATTTATTGCTTGTATTCTGAATCGTTCCTTTTGTTTTTAGACAGAAACAGGGCTGTTTTCGTGCGGAGGCCAACCATCAATATTCCAAATTCTTAAAACCGCCAAACGTCATAATGCCAAAATCGACCAAATGTATGCCAAAATTCTAAAACATAAATTTAAGAAGAATATCAGAGGAGTTGGGGGTGTTAAGAGGAATATCATAGGAACCCAGTAAGCCAGATTTCTTCCATTTTCAGCGCCGCAGGCGAAAATTTTGAGAATTTTGGAAGAACCAAAATAGTAAAAACACGCCAAACGCCATGGCGCACAGACTTGGACTGAGCCGGCTATTCGCAATCAGCGATAATGAATTAGGCTTTACTAGAACTTAACAAAATTTATTTTTATTTATTTTTTTAATATTTATGTATGTATTTTGATGTTATACTAGGTTTGTTTATTAAAAATATTATACGTTTATTAAAAAAATTTTTTTCGATTTTTAATGATTTCTCCATAAATCCGCTATAATTTATTCTCTATACTTTTCTTTTTACTTTTCTACTTTAATTTTATAATTTAAAAATAATTTAATTAATAAAATCAAAATAAACCAAAATAAATCCAAAAAAATACTTAAATTTTAATAATCTGTACATATATTTTTACAAAAATTTTGAAACAAAAGATAACTATTTATTAATGATTTAGCATTTGCTCTTAACTAGAGTATTCTTTTTTTCTTTTCTAGCCAATTCATTTCTTTAAATTCTAATGGCCGACATATTCTAAATATATAAAAAATTTGTTTTTTTTTTTCAATTTATTTTGTATTTTTTTAACTAAATTTTAATTATTTTTTAGTGTTTTTTGTTTATTTTTAATCACATTATTATATGTACAATGCCTACAACAATAAATAAGAATTTTCAAGCAATTGCGCCAATCCCAGATGGAATAAGTCCAAATACTGAAGTTTTCTATCATCCTTCTACAAATGAAGTTTTTGAGAATTATGAGTATAATTTTATTTAATTTTCTGTTTTTTTTTAATTTCTTTTAATTTTTAGGGACTATTTTGAGCGGATGATTCAATTAAACAGCTCTTGTTGGTCATGTACAATGACTGGAAGGAATGGATTGACTTATGATGAAGCATTGCAATCTGAAGCTGATGCAATGGTTTAAAAACTTTTTTTATTTAATAAAAATATTTTTAAAAATAGGAGCAAATCAATAAATTTCCTTCCTTTCTGGAGACTCCAATTCTTTATTTAATTCATCACTATACATGTCGTGCGCGCGTTGATGAACTTGTTAGCGATATTATGTTATTTATGCGTGACAGATATTTTATTGTATGGTTTTTTTAATTTTAAAATAATGAAGTATTTCTATAGAATGAAGATGTTTTGTATCGAGTAGGCTCTAAAAAGAGATTGCCGGCTCGGATTGTTTCTGTTAATTACCAACCACCAAATGATTTACAAAATAATAACGCCGGAACTTCAGCTACGGAAACTCAAATGACTAAAGTTTCAGAATCACCACAACAAAATGGCGTCATTACAAAAGCTTCATTAAAACCAACTAAATCAAAATCGCCAAATAAAAAAGAGTTTGTTTAATTTTTTAAAATTTACTTTCATCTTTTATAGTGGAGAACAATCTGCTGGATTTGAATTTTGCCATCCCGAATGTTTTACTTATTCTATTCAAATTATTGATAAAGAATCCGAATCAGACTCTGATGCTTCTAGCATTGTTGATGACAAGAAGAACGGATGTGATGCAAAAGGCGAATTGCTAAATAACATTACACATCAACAAATTTTGTTTGTTTTTGAATTCTTTTTTTAAAAATTATTTAAAAAATAATTCACCGTAAAATTTCAGTCGCAGCAAATATTCCTATGCAACTCGACCACGGATCAAGCTCTTTATCAAGTTAATTTTAATTTAATTTAAATATATTTTTTTCTCCTAGGTACTACACAGAAATGTTTGATGGACGTTTTGTAGTGAAACCGAATAGTGTTGCTGATTTTCATTTGGACCGGCTTCGTTTTGGGCAGTTATTTGCTGATTGTCCGCCTCCAAAGTTTCCACAAACTCGTTCACTTAAAAAACAAAGTTTATTTTTTCCATTTATAAAATTATTTCTCTTCTTTTTAGAAGATCGAAATACTTCTTTTTCTGACAGCGACAAACTTTTCCCCTCCACAATGAAAATGTTAATGGAGGAGAATTATTCACGTCCGAGTACTTCAGCACAGCTTTCATCGAGTAATGGATCAATGAAGAAGGCAGGAGTCAGCAAAGCAGATATTCGCCGCAAAAGGGTTTTTTAAATAAATGTTTTTTCTATTTCTTTTTAAGATTATTGAGCAGCAAATGCAACTTTGACCTTTATTCGAAACAGCCGAAAATCATGGTGTTGAGAATGTCGAACGTTGGCGGCAAACATTTCAAGTACTCTCGGATGAAGATATCCAAGAATTGAGAAATGCTATTGCAATAGCGAAAGCTGCTGAAAAAGCGGCTGAGAAGGCTGAACTTCGTAAACAACAAATTGAACAGCGTCGAAAACAAAGAGAGTTATTAGCTGAGTGGCGAAAACCAAGGTTGTAATTATCTTTTCTTTTATTCATAACTACATTTATTTTTAGAGATGATCTACTCTGTGATGATCTTCAGGTTTTTCTATTTGATTTTTGTCTTTCTATTTTCTCTTTTTTCAGCCCTTTCCTTCTGGCTTCAGAGAACTACGTTGGCCAGATTGGGTTCCTCGCGAATTATATTGGGAAATTTTGTCAGTTCAAAGCTTTTTTCAAAATTTTGCTGAAGTACTCTTTCATGACGGAAAAAATCCTTTTACTCTTGCAAATATTGCCACTGCAATTGGTTATTTTAATCTATATTATTTAAATTCTTTATTTTTAGTTTCCCGTCAAACAACTGAGAATACACAATTTTACCAAATTTTGGATTGGTTAATGACTGCAATGAATAAAAGTATCGAAGAAGATGAAGGAGATCCCGGTAATTGAATATATTTAAAATTAAATTTTATTCTCTAGCTGATTTGGCCAAACCTGAGCACATTGGCAATGAAGCTGTTAAAGATTTTGATCATCCTGTTCACGGAGATCGTATTCGTAAAATCAATAAAGAATGTGAACGTCAAAAAAGAATTCATGGTTTTTAATTTTGTTTTTAAATTTTTAAAATTATAAAACTAAATAGGAGTACATATTCGTGCCTTAATTCGTGACAATAGAGACATTACAGAAATAATTCGACTTCATTTGAAAACTTCAGGTAGCTAAAATTTTAAACATTTAATGTAAGCCTTAAATTGTTTAGGTTATTACACTCAATACCGTCGCCAATTACGTGGTTCTATGCATTGCTATGAGGATGATGGGTATATTTTTTCTCATTCTGAAACTGAAATAATGGAATTGTTGAAAAAGGTTTGCTTTGAATGTTTTATTTTAAATATTTTACTTTAGTCGAGTGTTTATGCTTTAAATCCTCATCAACGTGTTAAATTGTTTAATGTTTTAATCAATCAGTTACTTAGTCATCGACGATGTCGGACTCTTATTACTAAACGAACGGAAGAGATGAATGAATTAAAGCGTGAATTGAGACATTTAAAGGCTATTGATCAACAGGTATTTTTCTTTATTTTTATGTTAGTAGTTTTGTTATTTTTTTGCGTCAGTTTTTATCAGCGAATATATATTAATTTATTTTAAGCATGAAAGGGAATCACGCGAAGCATACCAATTATTGTCTCAACAAAAAACTTCTGAATCGGTAATTAATGTCTTTTGATTTATTAGTAGTAGCGTCTCATGTCCACACAATGAGTCGTGTATGCCCTATATCCCACCATTTTTTTGTAAAATATTTAAATATTTTTTCGACTCTGATATATTTTTCTTTGCTCCACTCATTGTGAAGTAGAAATTTTAACACGTTGATTATCTTTATTAAGGGCGAAAAGTCGCAGGCATCAAAATCGTCATCTAAACAACTATCAAATTTGCGCAGAGCTCTTGTTCAATTGAATGAGTATTTTTTAATTTAATTTAAATTGTATATTTTCAATTTAGAGGCCGTAGGATACAAAATATATCAGAGATCAAGGAGCGATTATTAGATGAAAAAAATCCATTGCCGTGGGCACAAATGGAAAATATTACTGAAGTACTTGAATTCAGAGCTGTACAACGAAATTTTCACTCTGATAGAGTGCAAGAATTGTTGCAAAAAATATTTGAATTACATGGTTAAATATATTTAAATTTTACTTTAATTTTATTTTAGGTAAAATGGGTTTATACTTTCTTGGTAGAGATCGTGCTTTTCGTAGCTATTATGTATGTAAATATATTTTTTGAATAATTTATTTTTTGTCGCTTTAAGTATATGTGCTCAACTTTTGTAATTCAATGCCCTTCAATTGAAGACTGTGGAAAATGTGAAGAATCAACTCCAAATCCAACTCAGTTATCGGCCGACGAAGATGATGACATTCAAATTCTTGATTCCTATGGAGTGGCTGTATCAGGCATGTCAGAAAATAACAAAGTACATGAAAAGCCATTAGTGATTGAAGGAAGCAATAATGTTAATAAATGGTATTTTGAATTTTGGGGTAAATATAACTAATTTTGTTTTAAGTACTGAGTCGTTATCTAACGGTGAGAAATTGAATACTGTTGAACAGGAAGAACACAAAGATCAGAATGATGTGATTGATGACGAAGGTTTTGCTGATGTTGATCCTCTAATGGCTTGTACTAGTAAAAAAGGTTGTCCTGTGCATAATCCCTCAAGTGGACGTCTTTTATATTACATTGAAAGGGATGCTGTTAAAAAGGTAAAAAATTAATATTTTAAAAATAAATCATATTTTAGATATTGAATTCATTAAATCCTCGTGGTTTTCGTGAATCTGAGCTTTCTGAAAATATTTCTTTTTTCAAAGAAATTTATACAAAAGAGATGAATGATTTTTTGGATGTTTGGAAGGATCGTCATTCTGTTCGACCACTTTCTTTAAAATTATTTGGTTTTAGTTCAAGTAATCCTAAAGAATTGGGAGGTGGTAAAGAAGAAGTCAAAATCGAGCAAAGTCCAAGCATTTCTGATGCTTTGTATAGGGACATGATCTCACACTTGCTTCAATTAGAAGAATTTGTATTATTTTCTTTATTTCTTTAGTTAAATTTAATTTTTAAGGTCCATGAAAGACGATTTGGTTACCCTCGTTGCACAGTTGACCGTGAAAAATGGCGACAAGCATTGGAAGCAGATGGTGATACTACACCATTCTGTGTTGATAATCGTGTTTCTGTTCTTCATTCTTCACACTCAGATATTCTGTTTACTCCTAGTTCATTGTTTGGCAAAGAAATTTTTAATATAACTCCCGTCGAGAAGTATAAATTAAATAAATATTTATTTTTACCATCCCTTTGATTTTAAGGCTTGCCGTTGCTTTACTTCAGTTAGCTCAGGGCGTTAAATTGGAATGTCTGCAATCGCCATTCATCACTGAAACAAAAAGAAATGGATTAGGCATGTTTAATTTAATTCTTTTTTGAAAAAATATTTTTTGAAGTTGTTAAAAGAACACCGTCACAAACATTTATTGATTGGCAACGTGCTATAAAATTTTGTCAAAGCCCTTCAGCAGTAGCTCTTTTCGCTACAACATTTGAATATTCTGTCAATTGGGATTATGAATCTCCTTTAGAGAAAGAAAAGAGAAAAAAAGTGCATATTTTAAATTGTTTTTTTTAATTATTATTTTTTAAGAACACTGTTGCTAATAATTTGGTTAATTCACAAAATCAACCGTTGGCAAACAATAATCGTGCATGTACTGTTCTTGTAAAGCCCCGTCGTGAGGCACGGGTTCTTCTAGCAGATGCCGCTGATTTGTTGGTCAGTGGGCCGCGCCAACGACGTCCTGTTACAAAATATGGTGAATGCGAGATGGATTTAGATAAAATTGATTTTGGAGATGAAAAATTGAGTGAATCTGAAGGAACCGATAAAGAAACGGAAACTGAGGAAGAAATGGAGAACAGAATTCTTGATGTGAATGATGACATTGGTATGTTTGATATATTTAATTATAAATTAATTGAAGATATTTTTAGGGGAATCTAGCGAAGGAGATGTGGAGGTTAGGAGAGACGACTTTTCAGACGACGATGATGAAGATTTGAAATCAAAAAAGAATCGGCGTCGGTCTCATCTTCATCATTTTGACGGGTTTGGTGCTCTTCGATATGAAGGTTTAGGAAGGAAGAGGAAGGCAGTAACCCATTTTGACCCTTCCAATTATGCCGGAACAAGTGGTTATTCTGATGATCAAGGGACTTCTACTTCGTATGGACAACATATGGATTTAGAAGAATTTGAAAATAAAGATGATGGAGGAAGTGATAATGTTGATAATGAATGGTTAATAGATGACGATCAAATGAATGATGAAACTGGACAACAACAACAAGTACAAACAAATGAAGGTATTTTGTTGGAAGAATGGCAACAACTTGGATAATAAATTTAAATCATTTTTTATTGTTTATGAAAAATGATTTAATTGCTTCACTTCCGTTTGTTGTCTTTTTTTGCTAACTGACAATACACTGCAATTTCTGTTTTTTTTTAAATATATTTTTCATTATTTTATCAAAATATGCCTGAATCTGAACTTTAATGTTTTATGGGTTTTATGCCATTATCTCTACATAATTATTAAATTCATTAAATTTTATAGAATGACAATAAAGTTTAGAAATTAATTTTTAAAAATAATTGCTTTTAAAGTTTCTCCTTTTAAAATTTTCTAAACTTTATTTTTTGTCATCTTGTGACCAACAATTTTCTTTTTACCAACCAATACCCTCATAATTATATAGATTAACCAATTCTGTACCTATTTGAGGATACCGGTTTTGTTTTTTTAGTTTTCCCCTTCCATTTCGTCTTTTATATATTGAATGCATTAACATAAATATATAATTTTGATTTTTTAGTTGTAAATGCCGTAAATAAAAAAGTTGCAATTTTTAAATATTTTAAAGTAATTGTTTTTTTAATTATTTTTTATATTTTAAACTTCAATTTATTTTAAAGATGTTTAATAATTATACACGATTATTTGCACGGTTTTTTTCTACACGACAAACAACTTCTTTATTATGTTCTTTAAAAGAAGAATTTAAAATTTATGGAAAGTCACATCGTCCAAGGAGTTCAATTCCTTCTGAAATTAATGGAAATGTTTTGTCTGGTAATGAAGGAGAACCATTTACTCGTTCTTTAGGTTTTTAATTTATTTTTTGGTTTAAATACATTTTTTAAAAAGTTGGGGTAATTCTTAAAAATTCTTTGGAAGAAAATAAATTTGAAAATGGTGCCGTGAATAACTGGGCAGAATTTCTTGTTTATCAAAATAATAAAGCATCGTTTAATACAATTATAAGATTACAGGCAGATGGGTTTTAATTAAAATTATTTTGATTAAAATTAAAATTTATTTAGAATGCTCTCTTGTGTCCCTGCAGGCTCTTGGTTAAGAGTAATTTTAACAAATCCAGTAAACTATAAATCTTTGAAATTAAATACTATTTTGGTGCCTAAAAAAGTTGTATTTTGTCAGCATCGCATTTTAACTTCATGTTTTGATGGAAAAGTTTCTGTAAGATTTTTCTTTAATTTACTCTTCTCCCATATTTTCTTTTTTGGATAGAATTCTTTAAGAAAGCACCTAATTTCTAAATACCTTCGTGACAAAATTTTGTTTTAAAATTACAAAATTGACTAAATATGTTTTTACAAACTAATTAATATTTTTTTAGTTTTTTGTAACAGCTACACTTCGAAGGGATATTATTTCTGGAGATAAAAATAAATTAGTTTATCATTCTCGTTTGTGTAATTTATTTATTGACAAAGAAGAATTAATTGATCCTTTAATAAAAATGTTTGGAAATAATTCTGAAAAAGAAGAAAATGATATTCCAATAAAAATTCGTCTTTGGTTTGTTTTGAAATTTTTTATTTTATTTTAATTTTTTTTGAAGGTGTTTTCCTTTTATTCAAAATAATAATTGTCAATTAGAATTTAAATTAAAACAAATTGATGAAAGATATTATGTAAATTTTGGTTTAATTTTTTTTTCTAAAATTTTCTTTTTTTAAAAAAGGCTAAAATAAATTCAACAGAAAATGAAGAAGAATCAAATGATGAAAATTCAAATATTGGAGAACAACAATTATTATTTTCTACAAATTTTTGTAATTGGTTTAGTGAATGTATTGAAAGGTTTTATATAAAAAATAAAATGAATAATGACAAAAAAATTAAAATGGACAAATTTGTTAATTTATTAAATAAAAAATTGAAAAATAATTTGGATTTGCCTGATGAAGCTAAATTAATTTTGTTTGGTTCGGCAATTTCTGGTTTTGGAAGTAATGACTGTGATTTGGATATTTGTTTAATTAATTGTGGAATTGATTCTTCTTTAAATGTTTGTTTGGAGGGAGGGGGGGGGTTTAAATTAATTTTTTTTAATTTTTAGCCTTCAATATTTATTGATATAAGATTAAATATTTTAACTGAAATAGGCAGTTTATTACGAAAAGATGATGAATTTGGAGACGTAATTTTACTTGGACACGCCAGAACGCCTATTCTCAAATTTAAACATTTACCAACAAATTTTAATTGCGAGTGGGTTGGATTTTATTTTTAAATAAATTTTGCTTTAAAATTAACAAAATTTCGTTTTCGGCGTTTAAAAAATAAGAATCACAATTTGACATTAGTTAAATTCGACACCCCTTCTGTAACATCTATTTGCAAGTACAGACTAATTAAATATTGCCAATCAACAAAAACCCCCTCTTTTTCGGACCACAAATTTTTTTATAAAAATATTAATTTTAGTATTTGTATTGAACATCAATTAGCAATACACAATTCAGAATTATTAAAATTATATCAAGAATTTGATGAAAGAGTAGCCCCTTTGGGGTTTGCAATAAAATGTTGGGCAAAACTTTATGGAATAAATGATGCATCAAAAGGATCTATATCTTCATATGCTTATATTATAATGCTTATTTATTATCTTCAACGTTGTTCTCCTCCAATACTTCCTTTTCTTCAACAAGAAGAAAAAGAAGAAGACAATAATTCTTTTCTTAAAATTGTTGAAGGATGGAAAGTTTATTATACAAAAGATATTAATTTAATTAAACAAAAATTTCAATCAAAATTTACTCCAAATAAACAAACTTTGGCTGAATTATTTTTAAATTTTCTTCATTTTTATGGTTATAAATTTTGTATTCATTCAAATATTGTTCAAATTCGTGTTAATGGTATTTATGATAAAATACAAGCAAAAGTGCCTATTAAAAGAAGAATTTATGTTGAAGATCCTTTTGATTTAAATCATAATTTAACTGCCGGTGTTTATTCAGAAAGTAAATTTTTAAGAAAAATTAATTAATTAAAATCTCTTTATAGATTTAAATTATTTTATTAAATGTTGCCAAAAACCTATAATTGGATTACGTCAATTAGATAAAGAAATTTTCTTTTTAAATGAAGTAAATGATCAAATAGACAACAACAATAAATTACAAAAAGAAAAATTAAAAATGGTAAATTAAAAATTATTTTTGTAGATTAATTTATTCTCAAAATTTAATTTTCAGGACTTTACTTCAATAATTTCTATGTACAGACCTACAGAAAAGAATCAAAAATATCCAAATAGAGAAGAATTTCAACAAATACTTTAGATTTATTTTCTTTATATAAAGTTTTTATTTAAAAAATCTGAATTATTTTTGTTATTTATATTAAAGTATCTGTATGTAGTTGGGTTGTTTGGTAAAACGAGACTGTACCCAAAGTTTCCGTCCAAACCAGGATTTTACCAGGCAGAGTATTGCTGGTATTTCTATTTTAGGTTTAACCCTTTTTAAATCCTACACCAGCTCCGGCCTTTCAGAATCATGTCTTCTACTCAAGCTCGAGAGAAGAGTTTTGCGCCAAAATCGGCTAAAATTAAGCTAAAACTAAATATTTTGGCCAAAATCGACCAAAATATTTACGCTGCAAGTGAACACATTTTTATATTTTCACAAGGTCAAGAAGCCAGAATTCATCCTTTTCAAGCCCCTCAAGTAAAAATTTTGGAACTTTCAGAAGGCCTAGAGTAAGAAATCACTGGTAAATGTCCAGCTAGTTCTCCTTAGGCAATTTTCCTTAGGCAATCAAGTGATAACAATTATTTTTCCTTTTAAACCTTCTTTACATTTACTGTATTTGTTCGACGAGATTCTTCTTCAAAAGCCCACATCACTCGTCGAACTTTGTTCATAAGCAATAGGCCTACTATTTGTTACTAATGCAATCTAAAAGGAACAATCTAACTCAAAATTCAAGTGCAAACAAAGTAAGCAAGCGACGAAAATAAGTATGAGGCAACTTAAATCCAAAAGCTCAAACTATGGGAAGCAGCTTAAATACTAAAAGGCTCAAAACGATGTCAGAAAGAATCAAAAACAAAAAAATTTTTACAAATTTATTTATCATACATTCAACAAACATACATATATACAAAAAATAACAAATAGAAAAGGGTTACAACAAAATATGAACAATTATGATGGGAAATTAGGGAAATTAGGACACATTACAAAAAGTTTGGGGAATATACATATCACAATCCTATGAGTTTCTGTTATTGCCCACATCACTCGTCGAACTTCTGTCCTGGCTTCGGTTTGCGACACAGCACCAAGAATTTGTGGACGGCTGGTCCCTCGAAGCGCTCGTCCTTGCCAGCGACGACAGCCGATGCACGCTCGTTACGGATGTCCGCTTTGCCGAGTGCCTCCTTGCCATTTGGTAGAGTTAGCAGGCATGGCGAGATGTTTCCTGAAAAGATTAATAAATTTTAGGGGTATCTCAAAGTATGAGAGGATCGAACCTTTCACATGGTCCACGTGTACTGGATAGTACACTCGGGAGTTCTTGTCATAGACGGCAGCATCACTCCACGGGCGCCAAAGGTAGTCGTAGCCGCGAACTTGCTCAGGAAGGTCGACGAGGACTTGAATGGAGCCAATATTGTCGGTGAAGGCCTTGCCGTTCCAGCCAAATGCAGCAGCGACCTGTTTTAAAAAAAAGATAAAAACGATCTTATTGATTTATAATAACTATCACCTTTCCACCATTGTTCCAGATGCGGCCCATCACAGGTTCACCGTGCACGTACCACAAGGCCACATGCTGCTCAGCAGAGTCTCCAGCCGTTGCGTTCAGCGTCTTGTCACCAGCTCTCACCGTCCTATATCCTGGCCATGGGTCTCCCATCCTGATGTCTGCCCACTCGTTCAGCATGATGAGCACTGGCGGCGGTCCCTTAGGGCAGCTGGCGCACACACATCCTGGAGGGCCTCCTTTCAGATTTCTAAAAATGGGATAAATTTTAAAGACGCACCTAAACATCTAAACGTACCGAATAATGATCATCATTTCCGAGAGCGGTTTTCCAACGACGCATTCTGCCTTGCCAGCTTGTGAAAAGTAGGCTTCTTCTGTCTTCATGTTCAAGTAGCCGAGCAGTGTTCCACCAGGACGATTAACCCATAGAATGGGCATCGAGTCGCCGCACCGAACCAGTTGACGTTCATCTGTCTTCTCGAAACGGTCCTTGTACTTGATCCACTCGTACCAATAGCCGAGCGAGTTGTGGTCTCCTTTGTACTGCAGCACCTTAAAGAAAGAGAAAACGGTTATAAATTAGATTACTAAAAAAAGACTCAACGCACCTGAATCATGCCGCCAAGATCGACTTTCCCTGTGAGCTCAGCCTTGCCGTACGGAAATGAAGCTTGTACAACGCCACCGTCGTTCCATGCGTAGCCGTGCACCGGCTTTCCGTTCTTGTACCACAGTGCGACGTACATGTTCTGCTGGCCCAGCACTTTGACAGGATTGTCCGGAAATGGCGACCCGATCGGATTGAACGCCCACGTATCCTCCTTCGGTGCAGGGTTTGGCATTGCGGCTTGCGTTGACGTAACTTGCGATGATGATGTGATGGACGAGATGAGTTGTTGACGGTGAGGAGTGATCAAAAACCGTCGTTTTTATAGTTATTTTGATTTGCACAATGCCACCTACAATGAAAGGTAATAACTATAAAAACGACGGTTTTTGATCACTCCTCACCGTCAACAACTCATCTCGTCCATCACATCATCATCGCAAGTTACGTCAACGCAAGCCGCAATGCCAAACCCTGCACCGAAGGAGGATACGTGGGCGTTCAATCCGATCGGGTCGCCATTTCCGGACAATCCTGTCAAAGTGCTGGGCCAGCAGAACATGTACGTCGCACTGTGGTACAAGAACGGAAAGCCGGTGCACGGCTACGCATGGAACGACGGTGGCGTTGTACAAGCTTCATTTCCGTACGGCAAGGCTGAGCTCACAGGGAAAGTCGATCTTGGCGGCATGATTCAGGTGCGTTGAGTCTTTTTTTAGTAATCTAATTTATAACCGTTTTCTCTTTCTTTAAGGTGCTGCAGTACAAAGGAGACCACAACTCGCTCGGCTATTGGTACGAGTGGATCAAGTACAAGGACCGTTTCGAGAAGACAGATGAACGTCAACTGGTTCGGTGCGGCGACTCGATGCCCATTCTATGGGTTAATCGTCCTGGTGGAACACTGCTCGGCTACTTGAACATGAAGACAGAAGAAGCCTACTTTTCACAAGCTGGCAAGGCAGAATGCGTCGTTGGAAAACCGCTCTCGGAAATGATGATCATTATTCGGTACGTTTAGATGTTTAGGTGCGTCTTTAAAATTTATCCCATTTTTAGAAATCTGAAAGGAGGCCCTCCAGGATGTGTGTGCGCCAGCTGCCCTAAGGGACCGCCGCCAGTGCTCATCATGCTGAACGAGTGGGCAGACATCAGGATGGGAGACCCATGGCCAGGATATAGGACGGTGAGAGCTGGTGACAAGACGCTGAACGCAACGGCTGGAGACTCTGCTGAGCAGCATGTGGCCTTGTGGTACGTGCACGGTGAACCTGTGATGGGCCGCATCTGGAACAATGGTGGAAAGGTGATAGTTATTATAAATCAATAAGATCGTTTTTATCTTTTTTTTAAAACAGGTCGCTGCTGCATTTGGCTGGAACGGCAAGGCCTTCACCGACAATATTGGCTCCATTCAAGTCCTCGTCGACCTTCCTGAGCAAGTTCGCGGCTACGACTACCTTTGGCGCCCGTGGAGTGATGCTGCCGTCTATGACAAGAACTCCCGAGTGTACTATCCAGTACACGTGGACCATGTGAAAGGTTCGATCCTCTCATACTTTGAGATACCCCTAAAATTTATTAATCTTTTCAGGAAACATCTCGCCATGCCTGCTAACTCTACCAAATGGCAAGGAGGCACTCGGCAAAGCGGACATCCGTAACGAGCGTGCATCGGCTGTCGTCGCTGGCAAGGACGAGCGCTTCGAGGGACCAGCCGTCCACAAATTCTTGGTGCTGTGTCGCAAACCGAAGCCAGGACAGAAGTTCGACGAGTGATGTGGGCAATAACAGAAACTCATAGGATTGTGATATGTATATTCCCCAAACTTTTTGTAATGTGTCCTAATTTCCCTAATTTCCCATCATAATTGTTCATATTTTGTTGTAACCCTTTTCTATTTGTTATTTTTTGTATATATGTATGTTTGTTGAATGTATGATAAATAAATTTGTAAATTGCTAGTGTTTGTGTTGAGTCAAAATTTAAGGATAGGATTCTCCTAGGTTCTCTTTGAAAGCCCTTATTTTTAGCTGAAAATTTTCAATTTCCATTAGAGCTTCGAGTTCTCCCCTTTGAAAACTTTTTCTTTTTTCTTGTTTAGTTTGTTTGCACTTGAATTCTTAATTAGATTACTCCTTTGAGATTGCATTAGTTACAAATAGTGGGCCTATTGCCTTGAACGTGTAGCAGCTTTTGAAGAAGAATTTCGTCGAACAAATACAGTAAATGTTGTAAAGAAGGTAAAAGGAAAAAATATAAAATTTGGTTTACATGGGAAAAATCGTTTAGCTCTCTATCGTTTAGCTCTCTAATCTTGAAATTTAATTTATTTACCTAAATGAACTTGAATTTTTCAAAATTGGGGGCATCACTTAGCTCTCTTCAAGCACCTAATGTCCGAACAAACTTTAGTTGTTTGTTCGGCCTGTTTTTGAAAATTTAAATTTTAAGGTAATTTTTGATGAAAATTGGGATTCTAATGAAATACTAATAAAAGTGTTTGCTTAATAAATTCCATAAAATGCAAGAAGTACGTTTATTCTTCATTAAATAATTTAAAATAATTAGGGTACAAATTTAATGATACAGAGCATAAAATTAATGGCGAAAAGTGAATGAAGCCTCAAATCTTCCATTTACAAGTTCCATTTTCATTTGTTATTTCCAAAATGGAAAGTCAAATATTGAGATCTAGGATCCCTCGATCTTTATAATTATAATACATATAATTCAGTAAAAGATTCATTCGATGGTATAAAATTCATTCTAATTGGATAATTCCTAAACAACAATCTTTATAATTCCAAAATAATTTACACAAAGTTAGTTATTAAATAACAATATAGTAACACATATATAAATTAATTTCCTAAACTTTATCTATCTATTCTAATTCTCTAATGAATCTTTTGATGGCAATTCTTTCTTCGGCTTCGTCTTTTTCTTTTTCGGCTCAGTCACCCGTCTAGGGCGATATATTAACAGTAATGTGGAAAAGTCCTGGAAATTTTTTAAATTCAATTAAATCTCAAAAAATGTTCTTATTTCTAATGAAACCAAAAATGAACAGACCTCAAATCCCCAAAGCATTATTTAAATTTTTAAAAATCAGTGGGGAGAAGGGGGTAATTGTTTTCAAAATATACTTTCAGTACTGTATTAATTTTAAAATTCTATTTTATACACAGTAAAATTAAGTTTTATTAGTTCAATCAAAGTTTATGAGTACAAAACAACTCTAATTGTTTTGTACGTATATTTAGCTAAAATTCTAGAAGGCTAAAAAGTTTTTTTCAAAAATAATGACCGTCATTAGGTGTAAATTAATGAAAGAGGGAAAAAATGAAAGGCGGAAACACTATATTTGGTGTGATCCTTGGAGTGTACTATTTCGGCACTTAATTTGGGTGGACGTATAAAATGGCAAAACCCCCTAATTTTTCGTTGTTAAATTTATGAAAGTGTATTAGTTTTTATGTTTACAAACCATTTTTAATTTTTCTTTTTGTAATTTATTGTTGTTGTCTATTTGATCATTTACTTCATTTAAAAAGAAAATTTCTTTATCTAATTGACGTAATCCAATTATAGGTTTTTGGCAACATTTAATAAAATAATTTAAATCTATAAAGAGATTTTAATTAATTAATTTTTCTTAAAAATTTACTTTCTGAATAAACACCGGCAGTTAAATTATGATTTAAATCAAAAGGATCTTCAACATAAATTCTTCTTTTAATAGGCACTTTTGCTTGTATTTTATCATAAATACCATTAACACGAATTTGAACAATATTTGAATGAATACAAAATTTATAACCATAAAAATGAAGAAAATTTAAAAATAATTCAGCCAAAGTTTGTTTATTTGGAGTAAATTTTGATTGAAATTTTTGTTTAATTAAATTAATATCTTTTGTATAATAAACTTTCCATCCTTCAACAATTTTAAGAAAAGAATTATTGTCTTCTTCTTTTTCTTCTTGTTGAAGAAAAGGAAGTATTGGAGGAGAACAACGTTGAAGATAATAAATAAGCATTATAATATAAGCATATGAAGATATAGATCCTTTTGATGCATCATTTATTCCATAAAGTTTTGCCCAACATTTTATTGCAAACCCCAAAGGGGCTACTCTTTCATCAAATTCTTGATATAATTTTAATAATTCTGAATTGTGTATTGCTAATGTATTATCAACACTCAAACTACAAATAAATAAAGATTATTTAGGATAAAAAATAAATATCAAGGTGTTTTCGAAACTGAAAAACTAAGGATGGGGAATAATCTCAATTTAGGCGGAAAACCAATTTTATTAAAACAGTCCCCATTAGAGACCGGACTTGAGTGATCGATCGATAATATCTGTATCGTTTATCGATAATATCGAGTATATCGTCGATATTTTTCGATATTTTTTCCCGACGGGGGAAGTTGTACAAATGATGGAAGAAGTTGTATCGATCGATAATATCGGTATCGATATCGAAAAGTATCGATAATATCGACATCGATATATCGATATTTTTTCGATAGTCCCCATCTTTTTCCAAAAAAATTTCTTATTAAAAAACATACTCTCCATTAAATCCAGTTGGTAAATGTTCAAATTTAACAATCGGTGTTCGGGCATCCAAAACTGCTGTTATTTGCATAAATTCGTCATCTTTGCGTAGAATATTTGCAATTTGAGATAAAATTATTCTTTTTATTGGGAAAGATTTGGAAGGCTAAAAATTAATTTTTAAATTAAATGAAAAGTTATTAGTTAATAAACTAAAATTTAGAAAGTCTTTTAAAAACTCTGAAGGACTTTTAAAGTTTATAACCTAATTAAACCCTCCCCTTCCCCCCTCCCTCCAAACAAACATTTAAAGAAGAATCAATTCCACAATTAATTAAACAAATATCCAAATCACAGTCATTACTTCCAAAACCAGAAATTGCCGAACCAAACAAAATTAATTTAGCTTCATCAGGCAAATCCAAATTATTTTTCAATTTTTTATTTAATAAATTAACAAATTTGTCCATTTTAATTTTTTTGTCATTATTCATTTTATTTTTTATATAAAACCTTTCAATACATTCACTAAACCAATTACAAAAATTTGTAGAAAATAATAATTGTTGTTCTCCAATATTTGAATTTTCATCATTTGATTCTTCTTCATTTTCTGTTGAATTTATTTTAGCCTTTTTTAAAAAAAGAAAATTTTAGAAAAAAAAATTAAACCAAAATTTACATAATATCTTTCATCAATTTGTTTTAATTTAAATTCTAATTGACAATTATTATTTTGAATAAAAGGAAAACACCTTCAAAAAAATTAAATAAAAATTTTTCAAAAACAAACCAAAGACGAATTTTTATTGGAATATCATTTTCTTCCTTTTCAGAATTATTTCCAAACATTTTTATTAAAGGATCAATTAATTCTTCTTTGTCAATAAATAAATTACACAAACGAGAATGGTAAACAAATTTATTTTTATCCTCAGAAATAATATCCCTTCGAAGTGTAGCTGTTACAAAAAACTTTAAAAATTTTTTAAATTTGTTAGTTTGTAGAAATATATTTAGTCAATTTTGTAATTTTAAAACAAAATTTTGGCACGGAGAAGATACTTAGAAATTACTAGATATTTTCTTATAAAATTATAGACATACATATATAAAAAAGGATTCCAATATTCAAAAAAGGGAAATAAGGGAGAATTAAAGTCGGGTATGAAGCGAAAACAGCGAGTAGGGTCTCCAAAATTCTCATCAGGTAATTTCGGGTAGATCGAAGAACGGAACATTTTAAAAACAAAATATTTTGTCTAAATCTGTTTTATATAGCATTTAATTTAAAAAAATAAATTTAAATTCACAAAATTTAAATAAACCCTTACAGAAACTTGCCCATCAGAAAATGAAGTCATAAAATGACGTTGATAAAATAAAACCTTTTTTGGTACCAAAATAGTATCAAAATTTAATTTTTTATAGTTAACTGGATTTGTTAAAATTACTCGTCGCCAAGAGCCTGGAGGAGAACAAGAAAGCATTCTAAAAAGAAAAAAAAACAAAAATTTTAATTAAAAACAATTCAAACCCATAATCTGTCTGTAACCGAACAATTGAATTAAATGTTGCCTTGCTGTCTTGATAAACAAGAAATTCTGCCCAGTTATTCACAGCATCATTTTTAAATTTATTTTCCTCCAAAGAATTTTTAAGAATTACTCCAACTTTTTTTAAAAAATATATTTAAATCAAAAAATAAATTAAAAACCTAAAGAACGAGTAAAAACCTCTTCAATAACAGACAAAGTATTTCCATTAATTTCAGCAGGAATTGAACTCCTTAGACGATGTCTTCTTCTTCTTGGAGGACAATTTACATCTGGTGGAATGACAGGTGAAGAGTTAAATTGACCTAATAAAAAGAATAAGAATTAAAAGGTTTAACGTTCTAAAAATACAAATTAATTCCCTTGTTAAATGGGTGAGGGGCAAAATAAGGAATGCCAAAACACGGAGCAGACAAAATATAAAAAGACATCCGGAACGACCAAAACATGGTCCAGAGAATATTTTTCAAAATCATAATTTTTAAGGATTATTTTTAAATTCTGTTTTTTAAATAAATTCTGATTTAAAAAATATTGTCCGTTCCAGTTTTAGCCCGACACGTGTTAAATAACTTCTTAAAAAAATTAAAAAAAAATTAACCATATAATAAAGGTTTAAATTCACTAGACTTTCCATCAATTTTAAGTTCTTCTTTTAAAGGACGTAATAAAGGAGTTGGACTTTGTCTCATCAAAGGACGATTATTTTGAATATTTTTGTTGAAATGAGATCCATTTTGATTGCTAATAAAATTTAAAAAATATTCAAAAAAATCATAAAATAAACCTGTATTTATTCTGATTATTTATTTTCCCTCCATTTTGTTGTTGAAATTGTTTTGAATTTTTCCTGATACTGGATACGATTTTTGTTTCATCTTTTTGTAAATATTTATTAAATATTTTATTTTCTTTTTGTTGTCTAGTTGGTGTAATTACTTTAATATTTTTTGAAGGAGTCCTTGGAGATGAAGAACAGACACCAAGAAATTTATTTGAAAAAGCTTCATGAATATATTTCTTAAAAATAAAAATGAGTAGCAAAATATTTAAAAAATAATCATTTAATCTTTAAACCAAAAAAATACAAAAAATCCCCTCAAATAAATTAACCTTTTCCACAATATCCATTCTCTGAGCATATTCCCCATTTTTATTGCCTTCCAAAATTTTTTGAGAATTTTCATTTTGTTTTCGTTGTTTTGATGGTCGAAAGTTTCTGGAATTATTGCCATTTTCTTTGTCGTTTTTTGAAGTATTATTAGATGAGTGTGACATTTGAATAAAAGAGAATATTTTTTAAAAATAATTTTTTTAAATATAAAAATCCCTGAAACAACTAAAAAAAATTTTTTGTAAAGTCTTTTATTTAAGTAGAGAAAATAAAAATAAAATTAATACATCAATCAAATAAATGGGAAAGAATAATTAATTAATTAATTAATGAAAGCGTTAAATTAAGAAATGTCTCTAACAAAAGTACACACAACACATTTAAATAATTTAATCAATTAACTAAAATCAAACAAAAATTAAGTTTAATTTAAAGTTTTTTAACAATTAAATAAAAGGCAAGGCTCAAAAATTTTTGTGAAACATAAACATGAAAAAAGCAATAAACAATACAATTCAACGAGTGTTGATGGTCCCTCCAACACATTTTACAGTTAAAGTAAATTTAATTTTTAAATAAAAATTAAATTAAAAAAAGTACTCAATAAATCCGTGGATGAACGAAAAAATAAAAGTAGACAAACAAAAAGCAATGGAACAATGGAATTTACTTAAAGAATCAATTGAAAAGGAAGGGGTAAAAGTTGTGACATTAAATCAAGTGGAAGGACAACCAGATATGGTTTTTGCTTGTAATAGTGGTAGGAAATAAATAAAAAAATAAAAATATAACAAAAAAAGGACTTGTTCACAATAACAAAATTTTTCTTTCAAAATATCGACATAAAGAAAGGACTGGAGAACAAAAATATTTTGCTGCTTTTTATAAACAATTGGGCCTCCAATTATTTGGAGAAGATTACCCAGAATTTTTTGAAGGTGGTGGGGATGCTGTATTTTCTGATAAAAATACTTTGTGGGCAGGTTGGGGTGGACCTCGGACAGACAAAAAAGTTTTTTTTAAAATTTTGGAAAAAAGAAAATATTTTCTTTGTTAGGCATATGACAATATACGTTTAATGGGGGGAAATGATTTTGAAATTATTTTTTGTGAATTAATTGATCAACGTTTTTATCATTTGGATACTTGTTTTTGCCCTGTTGGGGAAAATTCAGCTTTGTGGTTTCCACCCGCATTTTCAATTGAAACTAGAGAAAAAGTATTTTTAATAAATATTTTAAAAGAAAAAATATTTAAAAAGATAAAATCAAAACTTCCTCAAGCAATTACTGTTAGCGAGGAAGATGCATTAAATTTTGTCTGTAATGCTATAAATATTCGGAAAAAAGTAATTTCACCAAAAGGTGTTTCAAAACAAACTTTGGAGGCTTTGACTTGTTTGGGTTATTCTCTTGAAGAAGTTGAAATGAGTGAATTTATGAAGGTTATTTTTAAAAAGAAAAATAATTTAAAAAATTATTTTTTAGTCTGGAGGGGCTTGTCAATGTCTTGTAATGAAATTATGAAATTAATAAAAGAAAAAAAAGATATTTAAAAATTAAAGATATTTTTTTTAAATAAATTTATTTAATTTTCTAATATTTATCATTTTATTAACTAAATAATAAAAACAATTTTTCGCCTTTTTAAATTATTTAAATCCCTAATGTCCAGACTTTTTATGTTCGGCCCAAATGCCTCCCCAACTTGTATGTCCATACTTAAATATTTTTTTGAATAAAATTTAATTAAAAAAACTTACAACTAATTTACTATATAATTCCTCCATAGCAACAACAGTTCCTTTAAAATAATTAAAAATATATAAAAATATTTCAAAACTAACCAGCAATTGCCATCCCCGGTTTAATTCCAATTGACATTTTCTTTTTAAAAAAATTAGAAAATCTATCTAAATTTAATAATTACCTTCCAAGCCCCAAAAAGCAACCAACGTCTTCCTCTCCTTCTAATACCGGTCTTTGATGGATCGAAAGTCGGCCAGAAATTTCTTTTAAGAAATTAAAATATAATTATTTATTTTAATTAATTAATTACCTAATCCACGGGTCTTTAAGTCCAAGACGGGCAAGTCGATTATGATAATCGAGCAAATCAGGTGAAGAACGCCAATTTGAATGAGTAGTCCAATGACTTTAAAAATATTTAATTTTTTAATAAAAATAAAATTACTTACGGAATTTTATACGGCTCGTGATGTTCTCCACCCATTTTTATCAGAAAAAAATAAAATATCTGAAAGATTTTAAATAATTGAAATTTAAAATTAAAAAATAAATAATTGGATAAAATCCATTAAAAATTAAATAATAATTCTTTTTAAACATATTTATATACAAATTAATATGCAAAAGATATAAAATAAGGATTTTAAAACAAAAAATATTCGTAGAATAATTCTCTTAAAATACCACCCAAAAATATGCACTAAAATAACTCAAAACAATTTAAGTGAATATAAAGAAATAATAAATCCATTAAAACTTTAAATTGTTTGAAAGTTTTTGTTCAAAAAATATTTTTTAAATTATTTAAATTCTTCGTTTTTGGAAATATCGTAATCAAAATTTTGAACAAAAAATTACAAGAAAATAAATGAAAATGATTTAATATTAAAAATATATACGTAATTATAGAGTGTAATGGACATTGAATTTTTAATTTAAAGAAAAATTACCCATAAAAAATCAGGCATATGTAACTCTTAAAACAAAATTAACATATAAACAAATTCTCAAAAAAACGAAAAATCTAAAAAATTAATTAATACAAATTATCACAGAATCTTTTTTTAATCATCTTTCGAAGCATCCTCACTATCATCCTCCTCACATTTTTCCTCTGAAATTTCTTTCGTCTTTTTACTATTTTCTAGTTCTTCTTCTTGTTCGTCTTGCTCTTCAGATATCAATATAGAAAATGGAGCTTTTCTCTTTTTTCTTTTATTTTTATTTTTACTTTTCTGATTTTTTTCATTATTTACTACCAAATTTGTTGTTGATTCTTCTTTTTTATTTAAATTATTTTCATTTTCTTCAGATATTTTCAAAATTGGACTAATTTGTTGTTTAATAATTGGAGGAGGTGGAATTGATGGATCAAATGAAACTTGAAGTTGGGATTTTAAAGTTGTTGAAGCAAAAACAGACAGTTGTTGTTGTTGTTGTGACACAATTTGAATTTGTTTAGAAACAATATTTCCATCAGAACGCCAATTTGTTGGACTAACACTTCTCCTTTCTTTCATCCACGAAGTAAAAAGTATCGTCTGTTCATGCTCATAAAAATCTCTGAGTTGATTTGGAGAATAATAATTTTTAAAAACACTTTCATTTCCAATACAAGCCAAAGACATAAATGAATGCATTAATAACTTTAAAAAAATTTAAATTAAGATAAAAATATTTTTTTGAGAAAACCATTGGGAAGCGTGTTGTAAAATAAGATAAATAATCAACTGGAATTGCACCTAACAATGAACGAAGTTCAAGAGGAAGTTCCTTAATAAAATATAAAAATTTATTTAATTTAAATATATTTGCCTGATAATGATGTTTTTTATTTCTAATCGCGCGGAGTAAATCACGAACATTATTCATATACTGACGTTGTTTAAGCAAATCTATAAATTATTTCTCTTATAAATATAAGAAAATTAACAACAAAAAATACCTAAACGAAGGGGTTCATCCAATTGATCTAACCAATTTGTAAAAACAAGATTACGCCTCCACTCCAACCGACGCATTACTGGATCTCTAGGTTCTTTCTTTTCAATCCAATCACTAACTTCCATAAGAAATTGTAATTGTTTTGAAGGTTCCCAAAAAAGAGGATGTGCAGCTATAGCAGAAGCAGTAGGTCGACGTCCTGCCTCTGGTCGTAACATTGAACTTATCAAGGTTAGACTAGTATATTCAGCTAAAAAATTAGAATAAAAAAGTTTTTTTTAAATTTCCAAACCATGTTCATCCAAATGGTTCAGAAAGTGATTTCCAGACAAAATATTAGACATTCTGGATAGTGAATCTCCAAAGGGGTGTTTTCCCTCCGTAAGAGTATAATAAAATACACAACCAAGAGAGAAAACATCAACAGCATATGTCTAGAAAGAATTGTTAGCTTTAAAGCTTTCATTTAAATAAAATTACCACAGAGGCATCAGCGTCAAACAATTCAGGTGCCATCCATCCTTCAGTCCCTACTGCGCCAGATACTTTAGAAATTGAGTTGTGCCCAATTTTTACACTTTTGCATAATCCAAAATCAGAAATTTTCACACGTACACGAGAAAAATGTCCATTATTAGGAGTTGTTAGTAACCCAGTCATTAATATATTTTTTGGTTTAACATCTCGATGAACTGGAAATTTTTGGTAAAATTATTATTTAAATTCGATTTAAATTAAATATCAATTTTTAGTTTATTTAAAAGTGTCGTAGTGAAATTTAATTTTATTCTAAAAAAGAAGCCTAGATTATAAATTCATTATATAACATAAAAACAAAACCAACTTATATTAATGTGGTGTAAATGAGCAATGCCATCGGTTGCTTGCTTCATCAAGTCCAACTTTGTCGCTTTGTCTAGACTACCTGCATATCGTTGGATATAGTCCGAGAGACTCAAATCACATAATTCTAACGCAATATAATGAAAATAACGATCAGCTTCCTAAATGGAATTAAAAAAATTTTGTTTGACAAGAATAAAAACAAACCGAACAGAAATATCTAATAACATTTGGATGAGAATCACTCTGTCTAAGGTGCATAACTTCACGTTCAATTTGTTGTCTAAAATTTCGATCCAAATTGGAAGACACAATTCGTTTGACAGCAACCGTTCTATCGTCAAATTTACCCCTAAAAAATAACAAATAAAACAAAATTGTTTAATAAAATACATGTAAACAACTGTCCCATCACAGCCTCGTCCTAAAATCTCTGCAGAATTATAGCTAAGAGCTGAATTATTGACTCGATGCCAGCCCAAAGGGCCATCTTCCTCTGGAGGTTCATAAGCTGTAAATACACTACTTCCTTGACTTGAGCGACTTCCTCTTTCAGGATTAGCTATTTCTGAACCTTGTAATGTCCTGTTAGAACTATAACTCCATGAACGACTCCTGGTCAAAGCACTCTTAAAAAAATAAAGTTTAAAAAAAATTAAATAAACAACCTGTTTCCCAAGCAGCCAAGAGGAAACAATTACAAGTGCAATCATTATAGAGAAAATAACGCTCATTTGGTATGGATGTCTTAACGCAAAATGAAGCATTTCAACAATAAATGGGCCAGATGTGTCAACACTCAGATATGCATTTTGTTGTTGATTATGGTCATCAACTTGCAAAACACGAACATTTGAGTCAATGTTGTTACTTTTGACTTGTTGACGACTAACAAGTGAAAGATCATGTCCGAAAGGGTTATTAGTTAAAGAAAAAATATGTCCAACGCCAGAAATAGCAATTTTTGGAACTTCATGGTAACCTAAAGGTTAAGAATATAGTAAAACTAAACTTAATGAGAAATCAAACCCAATATCAAAAATTCGCCATCTTCAGTTGTGTAAGTCGTACCAACAGTGTCAGAAGGTAATACTTTACGCGTTTTTAATTTAGGAGTTGTTGGTTCATCATGGTGAACATTGTCCTGAGACAATTAAGATATATTCATACTAATTGTTAGAATTCAATTACCTCAAATTTTGGCCCTTCCAAAAGAGGAGGCCCCAAATATTTTGGTGAAATCCTATTTGTTCGTTCATCTACATATGCAGGAAGTGCATAGAGACCACCGGCACGCGTTGATTCACCAACATACAATGTAGGAAAAAGACGATTAGGAAATTGAGCAGGGACATGGAGCAAAGGATTAAGTGCAGCGTTCTGAAATAGATAGTCAATTTAAAATAAAAGTAAATTTACAAAAATTTAAGTGAAACAATTAAATGTAAAAAATATCGTTATTATTAGATTTCGACAAGACAACTAAAAGAAGCAAACAGGAATTCAAGCAGAAGCATTATTCGAAGTTCTCCTATGGATTTATCAAGAATACATGAACCTTTGGTGAAAATTTTTTGTAATAATCCTTCTCTTAAAAAATCCCAACTAAAAATATGTAAGTCTAATAGAATAGTAATACTTATGAGTAACTATGTATAATTTACAAAAATTAATCCAAACATAGCGTCTATCTTTAACGAGTAAATAATGTTTCCTTTAAAACAACGAAAATTTGCAAAAAAGGAAAATTTGCTACCCACCAAATTATTTTTAACCCTTTACATATTAATTCCATTCCATCATCCCATTAAAATTAAAATAATAATAAAAACACAATGTTGATCCATTATAATTTTAAACATTCTTCCCTTATTTTCTTAGCAAGGTAAAAAAACGGGAGCATTTCGTCGCCTCTCACGTTTAAAAAAATTCGAAACAACTGCTTAATGTTAAAATAGAAATGAAAATTGAAGGATACGTAATGGCAATCAGACGTGGGCGAAACGTTTCGTTTCGTTTCGTTGTTTCGTATGTTTCGTATGATTTTTACTGTTTCGTCTCGTTTCGTTACGAAACACTTTTAAATTTGTTTCGTTTCGTTTCGTTACGAAACACCTGTGATTTTTCAACGAAACGAAACAATTTTTTAAGCCTAAACTAAGGCCAAAATCTATAAAATTTACCATCTTTTATTGAAAATTTAAAAAATTTTCGCCTGCGGCGCTGAAAAAAAAAGAATTTCGGCTTCTTGGCTTTCCCAAATTGTCAAAATTTTCGCCTGCGGCGCTGAAAAAGGAAGATAGCAATTACTTATATACTACAAATCCGTTTATACTCCACTCCCTAATCCACATATACATATTACTTAATCGACGACAAATTCTATTACCGGACTCGCATCATAATTTAAAAATTGCGGATTGCGAGTTGCGGAAATACTGGAACCGGAACTTCCGGCGAAGCACTAGCTTATATCGCCTTCCTCTCGAAATGGAGATATGGAGACAATTTGGGTAGGCAATGGAGCAAGATGGTGAATTTTTTGGCCTACGGCCTTTCAAAATTTTAAAATTTTTCGTCTGCGGCGCTTAAAATAAAATTTTACTTGAAAAATATTCAATTTTATTTAAAAAAAAGCGTCGCCAAAAATTTGGCTTCGAAAATGATTGACCCCCCCCCCCCTTCCCCGAAAATTTTCCTTGCTACGGGCCTGGCTTATGGGACACAATTGTTGTAAATAAACCAATAACTAAATCATTTATAAGTCATAGTCGACTAATAACGTATTTGAGGTCGAATAATTTCGAAATAAATGCAGTTTTGAAAATTTTTTGAATATTAAAATGTTTCGTTTTGTTTCGTTTCGTTTCGTAAGATTTTGGTTGTTTCGTTTCGTTTCGTTAACGAAACGATTTTTAAAAAATTTTGTTTCGTTTCGTTTCGTCAGAAAAAAATTTTGAGTTTCGCCCAGGTCTGATGGCAATGAACACTATTGAAGGGAAATCAAATAGGAAGAACACCCAAATCATAGCAAAATGGGGAGTTAGAGAAAATATATTTGCATCTAAAGCCAAGGGAAGACAGGCGCCATTTTTACAATCATGAACAATAACCTCGAAGAATTTGAGTTTAAATGAAACTTGGAGTAAAAATAAACGGATAATAATGCATGCACCTAGGCATGTGAAAACGTCACACCCACCCGCTTTCATTTTAAAATATTTAAGCTAAAAATATTAACAAATAAAACTGATCGATTGCAATATGAGATCAGTTTTAGAAGGTAGGCTTAACTAAACTCGTCACCTTTGAATTAATCATTCAAAGGTTTGAAAATATAAATCCCTTTTCGAATTTTGTTATCTTCTAGAACCTTTGTTCTCGTTTGAATAAAGAAAAAAATTTGAAATATTTTTTAAATTTATTACAAATCAATAAAAATTCAGTACTCACGTCAGATTAATAATGTTTAGAGGAAATAACTGAAATCATCAGAGGTTCTATTTCAGAAAAATGATATTAAGTGGAGAGAAAGAAGACTACCAACCTCCAGAAAATGAAAAATCTTCATCTCCATTAATCAGAGCTGATCCATCAACTTCCACTTTTGATGTAGCTCCGAAAAAAGACGAAGAAAAGGAAAAAACAAATGTTGGAAACAATCCTGTCAGAAGACCAAGGTCAATGGGGGGTAGCCGTCAAGTGAGCACAGAAGATGAAGACGTTGCTAGGAAAAAACAATCAGAATCTAGAAAAAGATCCACGGCATCTCAGGGTATGAAACATAAAAAAATGCATCCAGCTGAACGTAGAGCAGCATTTCTTATGGCAAATACTCCGACTACAGAGACAAATAGCGGATATAAGTTAAGAAAAATAATATCCTTAAAATAGTTATAGAATTGTCATAATTTTTTAGAAGGGACCGCATGCAGTTAATGCATTCCGTAGATTGTCGCGCGCCGAATTTCCTTTTAAAAGAGCAGGTAGATTAATATAAAGTTTTCTTTCCGCATATTTAAATAAAGGTGACAAAATGCATATGACTTCAATTAAAAAGATTATGGAAAAATTCGAAAGACATTCTACAATTCATGGAATATGTCATGCCTCGCTAGCTCCAAACAAACGCTGGCGAAGGTTTTGGTTAGGAGTGTTTACAGTGTGTTTCGTTATTATGGTTATTCAAGTTATATATCTAGTTCTCAAATATTTGCGCTTTCCAAAAACAGTTGATCTTGATGTAAGTTACACTAAAAGTCTAATAAATTGTCTAATATCCTTTTTAGCTCAAATTTGAAAATGCCCCATTTCCATCTGTTACTTTTTGCAATCTTAATCCGTACAAAGCCTCGGCCATAGGAGAAGATTCAAAGATTCAAGCAACGGTCAGTATCAAAACAAACTTGTTTGAATTTCGAATTAAAGTGTATCAATTTTTAGTTAGATGCATTCAAAGATAGAGAAAGAGAAACTGGTCACAAAGGAGGAATTGCAGCCTCTTTAAAGATCGAGAATGCTGCATGTATGTTAAGAAAATTAACATACACTCCTCCACAAAAGTATAAGGGCACCTGTTTTTTTCAATTTTTTACTTCCAATGATCCAAATTTTCTGAAAATTTAGATACACACCTTTTAGTGAATAACTAATAAGATGTGCATCGATTTTTGGCAGATTTTTTATTTTAAAAATTTTTAGACCAAAATTTGCATTTTCGGCCTCCACAAAAGTATAGAGGCACCTTCAAAAAAGATATTTCCAAGATTAGAAAAAATCTACAAAAATTCTAGCAAACATACATAACGATACTATGAAAAAATAAAAAAGAACTAGACCCATATCTTTACCCAGAGCCGAGATCCTGAGACACCGAAAATCAACGTAAATCAGGGGTAAGGCTTTTTTAAAAATTTTTCCGACCCCTTATGGAATGTTTTGAATTTTGATTTTGGACTCATTCGAAAGCCCTTGAAATTTGCTACAAGATAGTAATATTCATATATCTCAGAATCAATTCAATAGAGATATGCAAGACGTTATTCTTCCGTAGCTAATTTTATGGGGCATTAGGGCGTTTTTTGTGCCTTAGAAATTTAAACCTTAGGAACTTACTGAGATAATTTTTCTGAAAAATAAAACTTTTGCTATCTTGTAGCAAATTTCAAGGGCTTTCGAATGAGTCCAAAATCAAAATTCAAAACATTCCATAAGGGGTCGGAAAAATTTTTTAAAAAGCCTTACCCCTGATTTACGTTGATTTTCGGTGTCTAGGATCTCGGCTCTGGGTAAAGATATGGGTCTAGTTCTTTTTTATTCACTAAAAGGTGTGTATCTAAATTTTCAGAAAATTTGGATCATTGGAAGTAAAAAAATTGCAAAAAAAAAAAACAGGTGCCCTTATACTTTTGTGGAGGAGTGTAGATTCTCAAAAAATAAAATTTTAAATTTATTAAACTTTTAGTAATCAAGAGAAGAAGGCGAGAATTAGCTAGAAAAGCTAGACTAGAAGGCTTTGAACGTCGGTATTTACAAGTTTACGCACAATGCTATTGCGAAATAAATCGGCTTTCAGCAGAAAGAAAGCCAGGAAGGTGTGTAAATTGAATAAATAAAAAGTGTTATTTTTATATATTTTACATAGTTGCTTTGCCGCTTATAAAGGAAAAATTTCCCTTCTATTCGCAACTGGAAGTCAATTACAAAATTTTCATCCAACTAAATGTCTATGTCAAGTATTAAAATAATAAAAACAAAAATAAATATTTAAATATTTAGTTTGACTGGATTAGTAAAACATTGTGGCCCTGTTTTCCATGTAAAAATTTTGGAGAGTAAAAATAAAAAAGAAAACATTTTATTTCAGACAACACATGGAAAGAACATATTTGTACGGAATGTGTTGATCAGCTTGGGCATTGTCCAATGCGTTTCTACTCATATGATATTGTCGAATCAAACGGAAACGGCAGCAAAAATAAAGGCGCACAAAGAAATGATAAAAAAAGGAGGCAGAATGGTAAAAAGAAAAAACAAATCTAAAGAAAATAATCAAATTTACAGACCAAGACTCGAAATCAAAAAGGGATAAATTGAAATCAAATAATAAGCAAACTAATCGGGCAAAAGAAAAGTTAAACGAAACAAATATGGATGTATGCATTTGTCACCAAGAATACAATCATTGCGTGCAGAACAATATTAACGGAGAAATTCCTGACATTTTACCGAGTGAAGATCTTGAAGGCATCAACTTTACTGAAAGTTTCGCTACTCCATCGAATTATAGCCGAGATAGTGATTTTTTATTTAATCCAATAACAGAAACAACAACCACGACAACTACACGAGCACCAGACGTTGTTGAAGCGATGGGATATGAAGTAATTTGTTAAAATATTTAATCAGAAATATGAACAAATATTAAGTATTTAATAAAAAATATTTTTATTAAAAAGGAACTGGAAGACGAGATAGCAATAAGAAACAAGGCACAAGAGAATCTACGTTTTGCCATGGGAGAGAAACCAATAAATGAGCGAAAAACTATGTCACAATCAAAGGATGAGCTAATATTAAAATGTTCATTTAACCAAAGAGACTGTGATATTGAAAAGTTTGAGATATGAATTTTCAATAAAACTACAAAATATTTCTAGGGATTTTAAACAAATTTTTGATCCGACTTATGGAAATTGTTATACATTTAATTGGAATCGTAATGCAACAGTTACAGCATATAGAGCAGGAGCCAATTATGGTAAGAAAGTAAGAGTAAAAAAGTTACTTTTATTTGTTAGGATTAAAGGTTATGCTGTATGCGAATGTATCCGAGTATTTATCCATAACAGAAGCGGTTGGATTCCGAATTACTGTGCACGACAAATGGACGGTTCCATTCGCGGATGCTTTTGGATACAATGCTCCCACTGGTTTTATGTCTGCATTCGGTGTTAGAATGGTTGGTCATTTACAATTTTCAATTAAAATTTTTGAAAAAAAATTTCAGAAAAAATTTTTTCGACTTGAACCGCCTTATGGACATTGCAGCGAACGAGGAGATAATTCAAAAACATATATTTACAAGGATTACAGCTATAGCATTGAAGGATGTCATAGAAGTTGTACCCAACAAGAAGTGAAAAAAGAGAAAAATTTTAATGAAAATTTTTTTCATTAAGATAATCAGAATTTGTGGGTGTGCTGACCCTCTCTACCCAGTTCCTAACTCAGCTCATGCTTGTCCTGTAAGTGATCCTGATGCAAGAAGGTGTATAGATAATGCAACAAGAGAAATCAGTGATCTAATCTCACAAGATAAATTATTCAACTGCACATGCCCACAGCCTTGCAGGTATACAAGAAAAACAGCTATGTTACAATAAAAATTGGTTTAATTAGGGTTGTACCCTACCGAAGGAGGGGGGGGGGGGTTTCATTGGGATCAAAAAATTTTTTTATCGCCGAGGCAAAAATGTTAAGATTTCAAGTGTGCAGGAATCCTTGGTTTTATGAAGAACCATTAACCTCTGAACTGAAAAAAACAAACAGAAGGATCCTAAAATTCCCCTAATCTTCCAGACGAGAAAAAAATTTTAACAGGGAAACAGGTTACGAAGTAACTTATTCGGCCGCAAGATGGCCTTCAGGAACAACAAACGTAATGGAATGTAAAAGTAGCGACGATCTGTGCATGGAGAAGTATAGAACAAACGCAGCAATGATTCAAGTATTTTACGAAGAGCTCAACTATGAGACATTATCTGAAAGCCCGGCTTATGGATTGACTAGTTTAATCGCCGATTTGGGTGGTTTGACTGGTCTATGGATTGGAATATCAATTGTCAGCATTCTGGAAGTAGTCCAATTAATCTGGTTCTGTCTAGATTTCTACCACACCAAAAAGTATTAGGATAAAAATTGTGTTAATTATAATTTTTGTTTTTAGAGTACAACAAGTAAAACGTTCGAGTACGCCTCTTTCATCAGTTGGCACAGGTTCGATCTCAAAACTTAAAACAAGCAAAACGCCAAGTAACAATCCATCACTTGGCGGACGTTCTTCGAAGTCATCAAAATCATTGCCAAAAGATATAGCAGTCATAAAAGTAATCACACTATTTACTGATGAATATTACTATTTTTTTCCAGGAAGAGCGGGAAAGCCGGCAAAGTAAAAGTAGTTCTTCTTCTGCTTCGTCTGGTAGTAGAAAAGCAGAAAGATATTTGGGGCCAGGAGAAGAACTACCATGCACTTGTTTATATGGATCGCGAGGTCAAATAGTGTTTATGAAGCCGCTATGTCCCTTTCACGGGTAATATTAAAACAATGCTTTTACTTAAAAAAGTTTTTGAGACAAAAGATGCCGAAAATATCTGAAAATTGCCCCTTTTAAATTTAAGTTATATGGTGCGTCGTTGCAGTGATATGTACTCAAGTGACGAGGAGGGAAATGAAGAAGAAGACAATAAAGAGCATGCGGACAACATGTATGATTAAAAATAAAATAAATTTAAGTCATTTGTATAAAGATAAACAAAAAAATCCGAACAAAATGGCAAGTCAACACTTATGCTAACGCTAAAACATTCAGTAAAACGAGGACGCTAATCTGCAAAGACGTAGCAGAAGAATATCAATTTAAAGATAATAAACTTGGCACGCACGAGCCAGGTCATTGATTAAATTTTAAAACATTTTGGACTGGTCTAGAATGTAGAAAGCCTAAGAAAGCCAATCTCTCTTTTTCTGGACCAGATCCAATCAGATCTCTTTCGCTATACTTTTTGTTTGATATTGTACAAATAAAAATTTAAAATAAAATAAATACTACGCCAACCTGTAAAAGCAATTCAAATGTTTCTAATCCAATTGCAGTACTAGGTAGTCGATGCATTCCATCATCTTTGAGCAAATACATGTTTACTATTACGCTGTCAAAATCACGTTGCCAAAGTACCAAGCCGGAACGCGAGTCAACAGTAAGTACACGACCATCTGCAGAACTTGTAAGATGCTGTAGTGGATAATCTGCATCTTCTGAGAAAAAAATCGAACAATTGGGTTAATTTAAAAAATTCCTACCAGGCAAAAGATGCGAAGAGTAGTCAACAAATGTTGCATTCCAATGCCTGTCTCTTCGTTTGGTGTCCACCATTTGGATTTGATATTCAGTTTTTCCAATGTGAATTGCATGTGGATGGTTAGCTGGGCAAAATGAAGGCGAAATAGAGGTGGCAAGTATGTCGATGCGTTCGCCTGTTTCAGGATTTACGGATATCCAAACGTCTTTTTTGCTTCCTAGAGGGAATAAAAAAAATCAAAAAAATTTAATACGAAATTCTAGAAGTTAAAGGAGAGCTGTTGGCAAAAATAAAAAATTTTACAATTAAAAAAATGGGCAAAAACCACATGCCCATTTTTTCATTTTTCGGGTAAAAAATTCGAAAATACAAATGATAGCACATTCGAAAGGGCTCCCGAGCTAAGCTCTTTAGATTGACATAGTATAATTTTTTATATTTAAAAAACGTTAGTAAACTGCAGTTGAATTTTTCACTAAAAATAAAAACCTGCGTAGAAAATGCCTTCGGAACTTCGACAAGGAGAAACACGTACAAGATGAGGTATTGTGAAAGGTAATTTAGTAATACGACCCTCAATAACCAAATATAACTGTCCATCTCTTGGATCTGGGATAAACGTAAATCCTCGTTGAACATTTTTTGGTGATACAAGTAATGGACCTTTAAAAGAAAAATAAAATAATAATTACAAATTTTAGAAAACCTTCTTTGAAGCGCCATTTAATTACTCCAGTTTGTGCATCAACAGCCGTTAAATACCCGTCAATAGTTGAAATCAATAAAGTTTTTGAATTTTCAATTAATTTATCCTAAATTAATCTTTAATTATTAAAAAAAATATTTTTAAACATACACTTGTCAGTACAGGAAAAGTATCAGTGTCTTCACTAACAATTTTTGTAAATATTTGTAATAAAAAATAAAGAATAAAAATTGTTGATTTAATGTTGTTCATTTGCAAACTTTTCCCCTTTTAAAGGCAACAATGCCATCACAAACAATTTTGACAATAAAATATATAAATAAAAATATTATTCGTTGTTGTAACTTTTAAAAATATATTTTCTAATTTTTCTAAAGAATTTAAAATAAAAAAATTTGGCCCTAAAAAATTTAAAACGTGGAATCAATTAAATGGCTAGAATATTGATTTATTAGAAAAATAAATTTCAATAATAATGTTGCCTAATATTTGAGTCAAAATGTAAATCCATAAATGTTTTTAAATCTAAATATTGCAGAATCAAAAATATAAACAATAATATTAAATAAAGATTAAAATATTAATTGATTAAACAAAATTAATAAAAATAAAATTGAAAAAATAAATTTATTCAAAATGCGAATATTTAATAATTAATTAATTGTCAATATGGCAAGGCTATTTAAAAACCTAATTTTAAGTGATTTATAAAAAGAAAATCCTATTTAGTATCGCTTATAAGGCGAAATCTTGCATCCTTCATTCTTTTTTCTTCAAAACAATAGCTACTCTTGAAGGTATATAAGCAAAAAGATGATTTTGTCGACCGGCATAACTAAATAATAAAAAATGATAAAAAATATTCAAAAAAGAGACTTTACCCTTCTGCAAAAGTATGATATTCTTGATCTTCTTTTAAACGATTATGTCCTCCAAACTTCTCATTATCACTGTTTAATGCCAATTGATAACTAAAAGTAGTTTTTCAATATTATAAATTTAGATAAAAATCAACTAACACTCCGGCCTTTTCAATTCCAAATTTATAGTCACTAAAACTTTTTGTCGGATGAAAATTAAATATAAACAAAAGACCAGCACGCTCAAAGGCAATTATTTTATCAACTTCGTGCTTCCAAGAAACATACCCCTTAAAAACAAAAAAAATAAAAATTTTTAAACCAAAAACTAACCGGCCCTTTGCTAAGGAATCCAAAATTATTTTCAAGTTGATTCATTGAACGGTCCCAATCATTTAAAAATTTGTAGCGTAAATTATCATCCTTAAATCAAAAAGAATTTAATAAAATATATAAATTATAAAATACATCAGCTAAATTCCATTGTCGCCGACAATAATGATACGATTGATTATTTCCATGGCGAGGAAAATCCAACCATTCTGGATGGCCAAATTCATTACCTTTAAAACTTTTTTTTTAAATTTATTTATTAAAAAATTACCCATAAAATTAAGCCAAGCCTCGCCTCCCAAACCATAAGTAATCAAACGAATTAATTTGTGAAGTGCAATTCCTCGATCGATAACAGGAGTTAATTGAGAATGTATTAAAGACATATTTTCATACATTTCTACAAAAAAATTAAATTTTTATAAAATTATTTATACCTTTGTCCATTAACCAAAAAGCGATAGTTTTGTCGCCAACCAAAGCTTGATCATGAGATTCTGCATAAGCAATATGCCCCTCACCATATCTTCTATTTTCCAATGTATGGACCTAATTTTAATTTTAAGAAATTTTTATAATATAATTACAATTTCTCCTATCGGCCAATCCTCATCGCTGACATGCTTCAAAATTTTTATCCACAAATCAGGAATAGCCATTGCTAATCGAAAGTCTAAAAAAATAAAATATAAATTAGAGTACTTCTCTCATATAGCACCTAGTCTTCCTGGTGCTATATTAGAGAAAATAATGAATTGAAGAAAAAAGAAGATTTATTTAAAACTTAATTTAGGATAGGGGAAAGTATCAAAATTAAGTAAACGAATATACCAAATCCTTGTCCTCCTTCAGCCACCGGACGACAAAGAGCAGGCATTCCACTGACTTCCTTTATTTAAAAAATAATCGTTAAGAAAATACCAAAACCTCAGCAATTGTAATAATATCAGGAAACTTTAAAAGAATAATTATTTAGAGAAAACCTAAAATATAGTAAATATACATAAGAATGAAGCATATGATTGGCTAGCATTAAATAAACTAGGGACTCAGTGTCAACATTTAATCCAAAATAATCATCATAACTTCCAGGCCCAGGATCACCTTAAATAAAAATCGTTTCAAAATATTCAAATAAATGTGTTATCGATTTAGACAGAGGATGTCAAAATAAAAAATGAGTAAAGGGAGAAAAACGATAAAACTATTACTTTACACGTGAAACAAATCTCTTACTAATTAAGTGAGAATGATAAAGCATAGACGAAACACCATCAAATCTAAAACCATCAAAACCATATTCGTCAATCCACCAACGTAAATTAGAAAGTAAGAAGCGCAATGTCTCTATTCTAAAAATAAACAATTAAAAAATAATAAAAAGTAAAACAAACTCGGCATAATTGAATAAACGCGAGTCCTTAAAGAAAATTAGAAAAAATGATTTTTTTAAATTAAATACCCAAAGTTGATGAAATCCTCTGACATTATTGTGGAAATAACCCCCGTCAGTACCGTCCCAATGGTTAAGACCATCCTCAACATTTTTAGAAGCATGCGAGTGAACTACATCCAACAAAACAATTAAACCCAATTGATGAGCTCGATCTACAAGCATTTTAAGACCATCAGGAGTGCCGAAACGACTAAAAATAAAGTTGTTTAAAAATAAATATTTTAAACTAGGACCTTGAAGGAGCAAAAAAACTTGTTACTTGGTAGCCAAAAGAAGCGTAATAAGCATGTTCCATCACTGCCATTAATTGAATTGTATTATAACCTAAAAAATTAAAAATAAAACAGTTAAAATTTAAAAAACCTTGCTTTGCAATGCGTGGTAAAATATTTTCAGAAAAGTCCCGATAAGAATTAATTTTCCCTTCATTACCAGAAATGCCAACATGAGCTTCATAAATACGTAAAGACTTCGGTTTTTTCGGATGGGATGTTTTAATAGAATATTTGGTCGGTGGATTGTAAAATTGCTTAAAATAAAATTTTTTTGAAAAAATTAGAGATTCAAAGCAAAACTTGATGGAAAACAATACTGTCATTGGCACATGTAACATAATTGGCCCAAGGCGATAATTTATAGTTAAACTTCCCATTCTTTTTTACTGCCACTTTTAACACAGAATTATGCGCTATAGGGCAAGTCCCGTCAGCTTTCGGCTAAAATGTGATTTAGGTAAATGCTTTTATTTAAATAAAGTAACTCGATATATAAAAAATTAAATAAATTCTAACAAAACAATTTTATATTCGAGCTAACCTTTATTTTCAAACTCCATTTGCCAAAACCAATATTTTCGTAAATATTAGCATTAGTGTCCCAATTATCTAAAAAAAAGAATTTTTAAGGCTATATTATCCAAACTAAAAATTACGTGCAAAACCTAATTTTTAAAATGAAATTAAAACTTACTAAAATCACCGACCAAAGCCATTGATTCAGCTCCAGGCGCCCACTCAAGGCAACAAACAGAATTATCAGTCTCCACATGAATACCATAATGTTTGTAACTTTGTGTAAAGTTATCTAGACCTTCACACTAAAAAGAAAAAAGATAAGATCAGTCATACTCGAGATTCAGTAAGGTTTAAGAGCAAGAAAAACAACTGGCATTGAATTTACGTAATTTCAATCATGCAAAAACCATAAGCCATCTCTGCTTATACATATTACTCATACATAACAAAATATAATTTTAAATTTTAATTAATTACCTGTTGTTCAATAAAGCTTAATTTGTTATTAAATTCACGGTATCGTCGAAGAATTTCATTTTCGTAAGGCTTCAACCATGAATCTAATTTGAATAAATTGTCAAGTAATGGAGGTAATTCTACAAGCATATCTGTTAATTTATCTGTTAATTCAATGAAATAAAAATATTTTCCTAAAGACTTTATAAAAAATACATAAGAGTAAAAGGGAAAAGTAATAAATACGTGGAAATAAATATTTTGTCACTTTAAAATTTTAATGACAAGTAAAGTGAACAAGTAAAGTCTAAACTTATCAAAAAAGATTGCTACTGTGTACAAAAACTTGAAATCGTTGACTCTGCAGAACGCCGGTTCAGTATACTGTTAAAAGGGGACATTCAGTATGCGTAGAATGAATTTCCCTTATAATTGAAATCTACATTATACAGTTGATCTTATTGTTAGGCAGTCGTCTTATTGTTAGGCCGAAAAGGTATCTTAGCCTTTTTGGCAAAATATGGATTTGACAAAATATGGGAACTAGAGATCGGAACGGGATCGGGACCCGGTCCCGTTTCCCGGTTTCCCGGTCCTTTTTCCCGGCTTTTTTGAAGATGCCGGGATGAAACCGGGATCGGGAATTCCCGGTTTTCCCGGTCCGGGTCCCGGCCGGTTAATTTTCATTTCCCGTTTCCCGTTCCCGATCCCGGCTTTTTTTGGACCGGGAAACCGGGAAAAATTCTAGCAGCTAATTTTAAATATTTTTGCTTGGCGTTTTGATTTTTGACTTAAAAATATCGGAGATTTTACAAAAATTCTCAAAATTTTCGCCTGCGGCGCTGAAAACGGAAGAAATTTGGCTGTTTGGCCTTCCAAAATTCTCAAAATTTTCGCCTGCGGCGCTGAAAACGGAAGAAATTTGGCTGTTTGGCCTTCCAAAATTCTCAAAATTTTCGCGGAAGAATTTGGAACAAAGAAATTTGGAGGTATTATTGGAGGAAAAGTTGAGGGAAATTAGTGTATTTTATCAAGGGACCTGGTGATTAAGCCATCTTTATCCCTCTAAATCCATTAGATCTGCCTTAATCATATGATTTAATCATATGATATCATTGCCTTCCAATTAAAGGGATTTGAATAGATATCAGGTGATATAGGTGGTTGGAGGTCTTTCTCCATAATCTCTCTTAATGATCCCAACATCTCTTGATATCTCTTTTAATCCCTGATATCACTATTGCACAGAGAAGTTCAGAGTGGATTTTGAGGGATTAAATAAAAATTAAATAAATAAAAATTAAATCAGCATCAATGTGGATTAGGAGGGATTAAAGGGAATTAGATGAGGAATACATATAGGCGATATAAAAAAATTTGAGGAGGCTATCGAGAGATCTTAAACTCCAAAATCTCCTAATATCCCACAATTATTCTCTAGCCTCTCAAATCCCTTTAGCCCTACGTAATCCGCTTTATGTTTTACTTTATTGTAATTTACATTTGTTTTATTGATTTATTTTACTGATTTATTAAATTCTTCTATTTATAAATCAGATTTTTCAATAAATACTACTCCCATAACTTTTTAAAATTTTTAAATGCATTTCAAAATTTTTTAAAATTTCCCGGTTTCCCGGTCCGGGTCCCGGTCATTTTTGACCGGGATGAAACCGGGAACGGGAATTCCCGGTTTTCCCGGTCCGGGTCCCTCCCGGTCGACCTTCAGAACCCGTTTCCCGGTTCCCGGTCCCGGTTTTTTCAAAATTCCGATCTCTAATGGGAACCATTATAAAAAATACGGAACGCCAAATACAAAATTCGAGATTTTAAAACAATAAATGTGTACTATATAAATGATTTTTCCGTAGGCTTAATTTTTTAATTTCTAGTACTTTTTTAAATTTGTAAACAATTTTCAGATTGTAAATTGTATTTCAAGCAAAATAAAAATAAAAAATTAATAATGGGCAGAGTCGAACCTCTTAACCCTAAGCCATTTCTTAATTCGATGGTTGGCAAGAAAGTAGTCGTCAAACTCAAATGGGGCAACCGTTTTCGAGGAACTTTGATCTCTACTGATGATTGGATGAATTTGCATCTTATCAAAACCGAAGTTTAATTTTTCTATAAATCTTTAAAACAAATTTCAATTTTAGGAACTTGTTGGACCCGATCAAGGTGCAAAGATTGGTGAATTGATGATTCGGTACAACAATGTTATGTGGATTGCTAAATGTTAGTGGCCTCTTACTTTTGTTGATGATGCTAGATTATATTTAAAGAATTTGTAACGATGAATGTCTCTCAAAATTTATTTTATGTATTTATGTGTTTTACATTATTTTTGTCTTTTAATTGTGCCCAGTTCCAAATTAAACACATGGTCTCTTCGAATATCTTTTTGTTTTTATAAAAATAAATTTTTGATATAAAAATTGTTCCATTATCTGAATAATTTTGATTGACACTTTAAGTTTAAAGAATTTTATATTTAAAAATTAAAGTATTTTAATCATTTTTTGTATTTTAAGAATAATAATCGGGAGGAATCTAGCGAAAAAAACAAACATAAATATAAAAATATTTTTTACAAGTGTTCACATAAATATGCCTAAAAATTTTTTTTGTTTCAATTTTTGGTTCTGTGCACACTTTAATAAAAATCAAATAATAAACACCGTAAATCAAACAAAACACAGGCAAAATTTTGATTTAATATATATAAGTAATGCCAAATGAGCCATCGTTAAATATTTAAAATTTTGGGAGAAAAAAAGGCAAAATCACAAATATATATATTTTTTAAAAATAATTTATTGTCTAAAACGTTGTTCCATTCCATTTAACCAACCCATTAATCGTTTTGAAACATTTAATGGGTCTTGAGTACCACGACGGAAATTCTAAAAAAAATTAAATGTTAAAATAAAAATATTTTCTTTAACCAAATTTTGATTTCTTGTTTGTTCCAAAATAAGTTTACTTCTTTCAATACCTTCCTCATCTCTGAAAAAATTTTTAAAATATTTTTAAAAAATAATTATTATTGTAATATACTCTGCTTCCAAATCGCTTAATTTATGTGTCAATTCATCTTTAATATCCATAAATTCTTTCAATTCCATCAACATTTGATTACTATCTCTACGGCCATTAATTAAAATATTTTCTCCATCCACTATTAAATTTAAATTAAAAAAATTATTTTTTAAAAGAAAGTATATGCTGCAGTCTGGGAACTTCAAAGGTGTGAGAACTCCCTTTGAGAAAAGAAGGGGAAGTTTTTTCTTCTTGTTCTAGAACTCTCCCCCTTAAAATTCGATATAATCTCATTTACCTATTAACGTCAATCCCCTAAGGGACTAATATTTTTATTTAATAATACCTTCATTATTTAAATTTTCTTCATTTTCCCCAGCAGATGTTGCCAAAAGTTTACGTAAATTAATAATTTTAAAGTCAACTTCATATAATTCTAATTTAAAATTTAAATAATCTTGACGTCTTGACAGTTGTTCTTTTTCTCCTACAAGCCTTTGATGATGTTCAATAATTTCAATTTCTTGTTCACTACCTCTCTCTTATTTTTTTAAATAAATATAAAATAAATTTAAAATAAATAAGCTAACCATAATCCAAAGTTTTTAATTTAACTAATTCGTCTTGTTCTTCAATTTCTCCAATTTTTTGTTTAATTTGTTTTAATTCACTACTTATTTTCCTTCCCTCTTCAAGTAAAACATTTGAATCATTATCTATTGGAGGGGGTATTAAAACAACTTTTGGAGATTTTGCCGAAGAAGTTGTTGGAGTTTTGAATAAAACCATATCTTTTTTAAGAAAAAAATTATTTAAAATAAAAAGAATTTAAGAGAAACCTGGCCTTTTTGAAGCAATAAACCGGGCAGCAAGTGCTTGTACTTCAGCTTTATTTGGAGGTATTGGCCTTATAGAAGAACGATTATTTGTATATAAAATATTTTGTTGAGGGGTTGTAGTAGAAGAAGAAGGATGAGGAGAAGGATGTAGAGGAGGATGTGGAGGAGAAGTAGGTGGAAGAGTAAAAGAAGAAGAAGGAAGATTTTGAATTGTTGTTTTAAATTCTTTTTGTTCAAATAAATTATTTGTTTCATTAATTAATTGATAATGATTATTTTCAATAAATTTCCCATTTTGTTCAACACCGTTCTCTAAAAAATAAATGTGAAAAAAATTGTAGAAAATTTAAATTGTTTTAAAATTTAAATTTTTAATGTCCGGAAGTATCGATAAAAAATTCTTTGTTTTTAAAATTTAAATTTTAAATTGGGTGGAAGGGAGCAGAGGTCAAATAATATCAGAAATACGGAGGATTTCACCTTCCTTTTTTGAAGTTAGTTAAAACAAAAAATAAATTTACCACAAATTTCTTTAATATTCTCATTCTGATTAATTTCTTTGTTAACATTTTGTTTTTCATTAAATATTTCCAAAGATTTTGAAGAAATATTGTTGTTTTTAGTAATAATAATTGAAGGCTCTAAAGGAGTATTTTGAAAAGTTTTTTTAATATTTCCATCATCTTGATCGATATTTTGAATAAATTGTTGTTGTTTTTGTTGTTTTTGATTATTATCATCAACATATAAAGAAATATTTTTTTCTTCCAAAAGAATTTTTTGTGGAGAATTATTTAAAGAAGGGCTAAAAATAAAAGAAGAAAATATTTATTTTAGAAAAAATTCTTTTTAAAAAAACAAACACAATTGGAGTATTAAAATATTCTTCTTCAAAAGATCTAACAGTAATTAAAATCATTTCAAGTTTACAAAATTTAATCTTAACAAAAAAATTAAGAAATAAAAAAAATTAAGAAAAACCCCTTCTTGTAAAGGCCTCATTACAACATTAATTTCAGCTTTCATTCCTGGTTGACTAATTAGATTTTTCATATTTAATTCTGTTGAGGCCAAAGGTCTTTGTTTTAATTTAAATTTTTCTCCTCTTAATTTAGTCATAGAACCTTCCAAAATTAAAGTCCAAATCTTTTTAAAAAATTATTTTTTAATTAAAAAAATTTAAGAAAAGAAAACCTTGTCTTCAAATAAATCAGAATTTAAATTAAATAAAGTTGTTTCAAATTCAATTGGGTCTGGAGGCATTGATTCTGGCCATACAACAAGACGTCGACAAGCAATTGTACAGCTAGATTCTAATTTTCGTGGTTGTGAAGTAAAACGTTTATTTCTTTAAAAAATTATTAAAAATTCTTTCCCTTTAAAAAACAAACTTGTGTTGACAAACAAGAAATACTTGATCTGGATACCATTTATCATCGGTTTCAATAGTCATTTGTTGTGGTTCAATTCGAAATTTAAATTTTGTAGCCTTTTTGTTAAAACGTTCAATTTTCTTAATTATTTGTTTCATTTTAAAATAAAAAAATAATTTTATATTCTCTGAAAAAAATAATAAAATTTATTTTAAATAATTTTTATTTAAAAAAATGTCAATTAAAATAAAAAAATTATTAAATAGTTTCTCTGACACATTTATCTTTGCTTATTTATTTTCTTTACATTTTCTCATGTCTGTTCCCAGCTTTTTTTCTAAAACACTTGGACAGTTCGGAACATGCCATTGTTTGACAATTGGACAGTGGAACATTTGGACGGTAAGGTGTGATTGTGTTGGTTTGAAACGTCGCAAACTTTGCGGGCCCCACTTAACCCCCCATACCCATTTAGATCCCTTTAATCCGTCCGATCCACCAATATCCCTCATACTTCATCATCCCTCAAAATCCCTGATATTCCCGATATCTATTACGTAAAAATAATTTGAAATTGAGGTATAATTTACAATCTACTATAATTTACTAAAACAATGGAAAAATTCTCAAAATACACTATTTATTACAATGAAACAAAGATATACAATCAAATTATTAAAAAAAAAATTTTGATATTAATATACACAGATTTTAATTTTATATACTAAATACATACATAATTAATTTTGTACAATACATTTATCTCCTTAATTATTATTTCTTCTTTTTCTTCTTCAAATCCTCCTTTGGCATTATTGACTTTGTTGTCATACAAATTTCACTATTATAATTTGCATCAGTTTTCGTTGCAATAGAAGTTTTGCTTTGAGCATTAACAGTTGAAGTATCAGCATTATAATTAGAAGTTATTGTTGCCATTTCAGCTAAATTTAATTAATTTAACAGTTAAAAACAAATTAATTAATTAATTACATGTTTGGCCTTTTGGTTGTTCTTTTCCCTTTGTTTGTAACTTCTTCTTTCCTTCTCCCAAATCTTCTTTATTATTTTTCTTCTTATCTACTTTAATAGACCCAGTATCTATATCCCCAATAGCTACATATCCAGCTTCATCTTTCCCTCCTTCAGAACTTTCCTCCTCCTCCTCTTCCTCATCTTCATCAGAAGTTTCTTCTTCTTCTTCCGTTTCTTCTTTTTTAGGTGGAAGATTTCTTTCCATTTCTTCTTTTTCCTTTTGTTCTCTCTTCTTTACTCTAATATTTTTTATTTTATCTTTAAAAAAAATAATTATTTTTTATATTTTTCTAAAACTACTTATAACAAATTTAGCAACCCCAACAGTTTTCCTTTTCACTAAACCAGCAATTCTTCCAATGCGAGATGGCTTCTTTGCTTCTACTACTACTTCTTTTTCTGAGGAAGAACTTGAAGAAGATACAGATACAGACTTCCTTTCTTTCTCTCTTTTCTTCTTCTCCTTCTTCTTTTCTTTTTTCTTCTTTTCTTTATCTTTTTTCTTTTCTTCTTTTTTGTCTTTTTTTGTATCAGAAATTGAAGATTCAGAAGATTGTTGAACAGAAGAAGTACCAGGAGCAGTTTTATCTTTTTGTTGCTTTTTGTCATTTTTGGAAAGTTTTTGTTTTCTATCTTCCTTTAGCTGCTTCTTCTTTTCTTTGCCTTCTTTCTCTTTACCCTTTTCTTTTCCTCCCTTTTTGTCTTGTTTCGCTTCTTTATGTGTATCTCCTTCCTTATCTATTGTTGTAGCTCCAACTGTTTTGTCTAAACTATTATTTCCCTTTTCATGATCTTCAGCTGTTTTAGGTCCTTTGCCCTTTTTACCTTTTGCTCCTTTAAAAATTTTAAAAATTAAAATTAAAAAACATTATTTTACCTTTTCCTCCTTTTTTATCCCCTCCTTCCTTCTTCGTTTTATCCCCTCCTTCTTTCTTTTTGCCAATTCCTTCCTTCTTTTTGCCTTTTTCTGCTTTTGGTGCCTTCTTCTCCTTCAAATGTTTTCCACCATCCACAGCAGTCTTTGCACTTGGAGTTTTCTTCTTTCCAGCTTTTTTAATTTTACTTGACTTATCAGCTTTAGGAGCTTTCTCAATTTTTGTACCTTCTATTGCTGTCTTCCCTCCTCCAACCGCTGTTTTTCCACTAACTGCTGTTTTTGCACCCGCAGATGACTTTCCAACCTTTGGCTTCTTTCCCGCTTTAGAAACCGCCTTGGCCTTCTTCACTTTCCCTGCATTAACTTTTGGAGCTTTTTTAGGCTTTTTCGGAGCCGGAGATTTTTTCTTTCCTGGCGCTTTACCCTTAAAATCAAAAAAATTTTTAAAGCAAAAATTTTAAATACCTTCTTAACCATTGCAAACAACCCAATGAAACGATCGTATATATGCTTTATTAATGGAAGATTTTGAAGTGGGGGTGATTAAAAATTTGGCGGCTTTTATACACTCCATCGACATTCTTCAAAAAATTAAATTTTATTCCTCCACGGAAGTCAAAAATTTAAAACAAATATTTTATTTTTAATTTTATTAAACGATGACGAAATAATAAAAATAATAGCGCCATTGTTTTAACTAAATATTTGGTGAAAAATATGTCTTAAGGCAAGTTTTGGTATGAAACGAATAGGCGAGAGTGTGCACACTATGGGGAATATAAAATGGAGGTTGTACATAGATTAGAGGGAAAATAAAATTTAAAATTATTTTGATTAAAATATAAAAATGGAAATATGTATGTAGTAGGTATCTAAATCAGAAACAAAATTAAACTTATAAGAGATATATTTTGTATGAAGTAGGAGAAACTGGAAGTAGTAAGAAAGCATCAATATGAGCAAATATATGATAAGTATCGGAAAATTTATCTACGAGTATTTTCGGAAATTGGGAAAATCTTGGAGGAATTTCCAAAAAAATCTGGGGAAGAATATTCCAAAAATACTAGAAAAGAACTTTTCCGAAGAACTTCAAGACACCACAAATATGGCCTATACGATGTGGCAACAAATTAGCACAAATTAAGAATAGGATAATTGAATAAATGAATGTTGCATAATTAAATTATTAAAAATACGCATAACGATTTTTCAATTTACATTGAAAAATTATCAAACTAGAATTACGCAACTTTCCAATACCAAAGATTGCGGGTATTGTAAGGATAAAAAGGTAGAATGTGCGTCTCTCGCTAATAAAATATGTAAATAACTAATAATCGTAATGAAAAGACTAAATTATTGTCTCGATGTTAATTATCTGTCATCTGTAGAAGCACCTTCCTCTAATTGTGTAGTGGATGAACTGTGTCTATGGTGGGTGACAGCTCCTCTGCAAATGCTAATCTCACGGATAGTTGCCTTAAAATGTATGTAGAATTAATAATGGTACTTTTCGGTTCTTCATCGCTTTTTAAACTAACTAGAGTATACATATATTGTAATTCCAGCTATCATTTGGGCTTTTTTTTCAAATTTACTAGTTAGCTTGGTAGCACCCTTTCCATTATTCTCACCTGTGCCATCGATCCAAGCAATACTTCAGGGCAAGAAACAAAAACCAAATGTTCATTTCCATATTTTTTACACAAATCGTGAACCTAAATATAAGCAAAATAATTTTCAAATATTTTTAAATTCGATTTACTTGATTCCTCAACTGTATATTTTGTCCATTTACAACCCATACAGTATAAACATTCTGAAAATACATAATAATTTTTGTAATTAAAGTATCCTCACTTTTGGATTTTTAATAAGACAATATTCCAACATTGGAATGTCTGTAATTGAGTCACCACATACTAAAATAGTTCCTTCAGTTAAATCACATTTTAAGTGATTTATTAATAATTCTATTCCATTTCCTTTGTCAAAAATTCCTCCAAATTCAGTTTTAACAAATATTTTTATGTCTCTGTCATCAATCTAAAAAATAACAAATTAATTTAAAAATAAAAATATTTATTACTATAATTTCAAATAATTGATTGTTTGGATCAATATCCTCAACAATTGCATGAATTTTGTCATCAATTTTCTTTTTTAATTCGGTTGGTATTGTATTAGATGAATCTTGATGCGCTATGGTTACATGTCCAAAATGTTTTTGCAATCCTGAGCCTATCAAATTGAAGATTTTAAATTCCGAATCCTCAAGCAAATAAGCAATAGAATCAAAAACTAAATTAAGTTGTTGTAAATCATGTTCAGGAATTGATTGATCCTTTATAAATTAAAAAGAGAAATATTTACAGACTTTCAAAAATAAAAACCTTAAATTTATTGTCTGGATCAACATACCACTCTCGCCCAACAGATGCACCAATGTAATAATATCCTTCTGGGATTGTATTAACATCCAAAATTCCTACTTGCATCAATGGTGCCTTAAAAACAACATTAATAAATTATTAGAGAAAATATGTATATTACAGTTGTAACAATGGCACATGTTTGAGCACAACGCCTAGCAAACTGTGCTTGAATAACGCCTGAATAAGCAGGCTGGATTGAAGCAGGATAAGCACAACTGTAGGATTTAAGAGTCCCATCACGATCAGTAAAGAAATAATTAAAATGATCGGCATCAAAAAACATCTAAATTTATAGAAAAAAATTAAATAATTTGAAATTTAATATTAACATCAACAACAGCTGCAACTTCGTTTCTGAATCTTTCTTCAGAATCTGGATGATAAATTTGAAGAGAAGAAATAAATTGTTCAATCTAAAAAATAAAATTAAAAAAAAATATTTAAAAATTAATTCTTACATTAAAAACATCTTCACTCTGAATAAATTCCAAAAATTTTAAATCTTTTTCCAATTCTTCAATTTCATTTTTTATATAAAATTCTACAGTGTTGTTTTTATTTGAAACTGTTGCGTCTACACCTAATTTAATTATGAAATTAATTTATTTAAAAATGCAAAATTTTATGCAAAATTTTATTTACCAGATTGAAGTTCAATTTTAAAACTATCAGGTTTACAAGCTAATTCCAGTGATTCTTTTGCATTTTGTAGAGAAATTGCAAAATGTTGTCTAATAGGAATTCCTTTAAGAACACGTTCAACAATCGCTTTTCGGACATCTCGAGTACGAAGCATTATATTAAAGAAATCATCAAGTGTGGTAACATCTGTTTGACGAATGACAAGATGTGACCAACTCGGATCAAGAAATGTTTGACTCCACCTAAAATATAAATTTAATTTTTAAATAATAATTTTTAAATACCTTTCGATGTCATTTGCCATAATAAAATCATTAAGAACCTTTCCGTGCCGTTCTCGTTGTTCACGAATTTCTGTAAGAGCTTTATGAAAAACCTCAGCAAAAGCCTCAACATCAAATAAATCATCAACCTTTAAATACAAATAAGTATAATATTAAAGAATAAAATAAACTCTGTGATAGTTTGGATCCTGCTCTGAATGTAATCCGGCCATTGAAAATTGCATTTCCGAACCAGCACCAGTCGAGAGAATTAAACCAGCTGCATAATTACAAAGCATCATTTCTTTTGCAACCTTTGAATAAAAAATATTATTTAAAATTTATGAATAAAGCAAAACCAAATTCATTCCATCTTTTTTAGGTGTTACAACACCAACATCCATAGCCAAATAGTGAGCTATTAATTCACTACGTTGTAATCCGCTTGTTTGGAAAATTACAGGTAACCAATTCCCATATTTTTCTTCATCTTTAAATTGCTTATTTATTTGTTCAGCTAAATCAATAGATTCATCCTGAAAGATTTTTTTTTATTTTAAAAATAATTAAATAAAAAACCTGATAAACTCTATAAGTGTCAACACCGCGACGGTTTGTTACAGCAACTTGGAAAAGAATGTCCTTTCCACGCCTTTCTGGATATTTCTCAAGATAACGTTGAAAAGCTAACAATTTTTCTCTAATGCCTTTTGTATAATCAAATCTTTCAACCGAAAAGAATAAACAAACATCAGCTGGAGGATTTTCACCGAATATCTAGAAAGTTAAATAGTTTAGAAATTAGAAAAAATGTAAACTTGTTTTCTAATTTGTTGCGATCTTTCAATAACAGCTGGATCTCTAGCCACTCGAAGGAAATCCTCGTTTTTGATACTAACAGGAAAAACGCCAAGAGAACAACTCCAACCCTGATAAGTAACTACAACTACATCCAATTTATCTTCAGTTTTTACTTTAGCCGTTGGCTAAAATTTGTTAAATAAACAAAAAAAATTTTTTTATAAAATTACCAGATAACTTTTAACAAGTTCAATAAACTTTGTCCGGTCTCTATGTGTCTGAAATCCAACTTTGGTGAAGCGAAGTAATCCCCGAAGAATTGGAAAAGCAACAATTTTGTATGTAGTAAAAAAATCATCAGGTGGTTGAAAAGGTATATGAAGAAAGAAACCTAGAGAATTATTAAACAAATTTTTATTCAATAAAAACCAATTTCCAAATTTCTGTCCAAACTTTGCATAATCATTCCTGTCAACATTAAATGATAATCATGAATCCAAATAAAATCCTGTGGACGGCTATTTCTTACAGCATCAATTGCAAATTGATAATTAACTCTAACATATGAAAACCAATGTTCTCTTAAAGTTTTTGTGTCCTTATATTCGGGTAATATATATTCTGCAAGATTGTGCATAGCCGGCCAAAGAAGTCCATTGCTGATTCCTCCATAGTAAACATTATAATCTTGTTCTTGAACAATTACCTTAAAAATATTTTTCTTAAATGATAAACAAAATCCGTATTTACAGGGTTGAGTTTATAATTTCCACGATTATAAGTATTAAGGACACCAAGAAGCGACATTTCCTCTCTGATTTGACGCTTATCCGCGGGCTCGTTTTCTTCCTTGAGGTCATCGTCAGCTGAAAACAATAAAAATAAATTTTCGTAAATGATTATTTAAGAACCAATCACGTGAAAGAGAACATCAGCAAGTGCTTGTTTCATCAAGGGAAGTCCTAAAATTAAAGAAAAAAGAATATTTAACGAATCATAATTACCCAATGTATTGGTTGTCGGAGCAGAAATATAAGTAGGATCAATTTTCTCCATACTCGGATCAATCTTTTCAATGTATTCAGTTGATGTAATTTTAAATTTATCAATGTTCATTCCCAAATTTGCCAACCACATATTTTCTGGATTTACAGCCATCACTGGATCCACACAAGAAACGAGACCACCAGAGCCCTAACAAATTGAGAAAAAATTTAATTTAAATAGAAATGCGCCCAAGCCTGTTTAATTTCCCATTCTCCAGATTCTGACTGTTTCAATGCAACCGGTGGAGCATTTGAGACATTAATAACCCTTTGCTAGAAAATTAAAAAAAGTGAAAATATCTAAAATTAATAAACTTGAAAATGTTGTGTGTTGACTATGCCTCCTGAAGGAATGGCCTCTGTTCCATCAAAAACAGCTGGATGATGGCGATCTGAAGTATCAGAAGATGCTATTGACATTCTTTTCTCTCTACGAATTTCTATTAAAAATTAATATTTAGAATAATTTATATATTTTAATTACCAAACGGATGTGAAGATTCGTTTTCCGATTTATTCTGTCCTTCCACTTGATCATTATTTTCATTATTATCCAAAGAAAATGAGACAGGTGCAGGACTTAATTTGTTCGATGTCTCATCTTGATGTAGCTGAGACTCAGGTAAAAGTAATAAAGAATTGGAAGAAGTATGAAGGGAAGAAGACGAATGGGTCCGTCTTTGCTGTAAATGGTGGAACTGTTCACTAAAGCGTTTTGCAGAAGAACCGAGAAGAGATTTACGAATACCAGGCACAGCAGCATAAAATTCTCTGTTCAATGTTTGTAATTAAAAATTTTATAAAAATAAAATTACTTAAGTCTATTCCTCCCAGTATTGACATCATGTAATGTTAGGCTAAAGAGAAGTGCATCTCTATATCTGAAAATTAGAAGTAAAAACATTTCTTAATTACATATCTTCATTTCAAATGTTTAAAAAAATCTTAATTACTTAGTTCCATGTGCCATATCTGATTCATAAATGTAAGGAATTGCCGCTTTCCAAAATTGCACAGTATGATAACCTCAAATATAAACATTTACAAATATTAAAGCCTATAAACCTAAAAGAAAATAAAAATACCTAGAATATTGACAAAATTTTCAAAATGGTCCACAGTCTCAAAAGAATGTTGCAAACAATACTCCAGGGAAGAAAGGATGCCTTGAAATGCAATCTCTGATTTTGAGTCCCTCTTGCGCCAAACATTAACCAGACTTAAATAAAATTAATTTAGATTCACAAAAGGATAATTATAAATTTAGATTAATTTCCTTTAAAAAACTCCTTACATCTCTATCCCATCCGTCATTGCTTGAGCAAACGTGCAATCATCACTAAGCCCATCTGCTGATTCAAGAGATTTCAATGCTTTAAGAACAGCCTAAACAATTTATATTTAATTTAAAATATTAAAATTTACATTTTTAGCACAATCTTCATGGGTTTTAATATCATGCTTGCCTCCTGTTGTTGTATTAGTAGATCCTTCCATTGTTTGTTAAATTAATTATCGGTAGAAAATAATACTTTAATTTGCATCTAAAATTAAGTTTGAAGATGAAGAGTATTTATTAGCTTTGTTTTGCTAGAAATTGCTAGAAAAATTTAATATTAACACAGACAATGATCTTTAAAAGTAAATTTCGTAATTAAATATGCATAAGTATTTGCTACTCAATATGTCTCTTACACACAAATAAATGGACAATAGAGTACTTAAATATACTTTATGACATGAACTTTATATCATGTAACTGTTCTAATTAAAAGCATTGAAAGTATCAGCTGTTTATTTTTAAAAAGATTAATTTAATTAAATAAAAAACCAGTGAATTTTTTGCAATAGTGGACAATAAAATAATTCAAGCACTAAAGACAAAATGACTAAAAGACAGCAATTAACGTCTTAATCGGGTGGAAATACATAAATATTTAATTATTCTTTTAATATTTCTCTTTCACATTTTCCATTTATGGGGGCTCTTTAGTTCATAATCTCGTAAAAATCGATTTATATTTTAATAGTCCGGAGTGTTCCCGTGTCAGCAAATTCCCGAGGTCAGATTTGGTAAAAAGGAAATATGTATTAGACTAACATTCCTTCCTTATTGGGAATCATTATTTTAATTATCATTTTATTATTATAATTTTTTCTATAATTAACCATAGTTGTCTGGTACACGTAAATTTATATTTATATAGAAATTATTTTTAAATTTATAAATTCTCGACATTAGTTATTTTGGATATTTCACGTTTCAAAATTTCTTTGTCCATTTGTGAAAGTACATGCTGTTGTCGATCTAATATTTCTTTCAACATAGGAACATCGTCTAGTAAATCAGAAGAAAAATTTTGATTTTCCTTAATAAACAAAACAATTGCTTGAAGAGCTTTTTCAGTCAAAAATGGAATTTGTCGATTTTTTCGGTTCTAAAAATGAAAAAGATAAAAATTAAAAATTTAATTAAAAAGCATACTTGAAATATTTGAAAGATTGATTTAAGTACAGCAAGAAAAGATCGAATTTGTATAAGATAACATGTTTTATCTTTTTGAGTTCCTTCTTTTTCAAATGTTAGCACTATCTTCCGTTTCATTGCTATCATTATAATATCCAAAATATAAAGTAAAAGTGGAACTGCTGTACTAAATCGAATTTCACGTCCACTCAAATTTTCTACCAAGTCTTGAACTTTTGAAGCAATAACAGGCATCTGCCTTAAAATAATTTTTTTTATGAAAATTAGAATAAATAATTAACCTTATCATTAAAGTTGGGCTAGTTTTAGTGAATTTAACCAAATTTTCCAGTTTCTCAATAACTATATTCTTATCTTTTGTTTGAGTAGAAGTAACAGACGAAGTAGATTTAACCATCTCGAAACATTCGGAAATAGTTTGTTCCAAAATTTTATCTGCATCAGCTATATCAAGCACGGAAAGTTGTCTATGATGATCACCACTTATGCTCAAGAAAGAAATGTCACGTGGAATAACTTTAAAAAATTAAAGTAATTTAAAATTTAATTAAAAAATTACTAACGGGGAAACTCTTGAAAAAGACGCTCGCTTAATTTTTGCAAGATTTGTTTGCGTTTTTGAGAGTTTTGATACTTTGCCTCCTGTTCACGAAAGAAACGAAGAAGATATGCCAAAAGAGTAGAACCGAATCCATGTAAAGAAATATCAGAGAATTTATCTTTTGGCATCCCCACCGATGATGATTGAATTAGAAGTTGAATAATAGTTACAAATTTATCCAACCTAAATTTCTAAAAGTTAAAACTTTATTCAAAACTTACTCATCCGTAAAGTCCTTTTCCTGTGGCGAATGGAATAATGCCTAAATTATAACAAAAATAAATTTAAAAAAATGAAAATACTTCAACGAAATAAAGTGTCAAAAAAGAACATTGAAGTTTGTCAAGTTTGGCTTTGACTAAGGATGGTGAAGAATTATAAAGAGTAACCACAAAATTAATAACAGACGAAGGCAAAAAACTAAAGATAAATAAAATTTAAGATAAAGAAATTCAAATGAACCGTTCATCAAATTTGAACAAAAGTTTGTCAATCACTTTTCGAATAACTAATGCTGAAGAATGATTAACAATTTTTACAATCAATTCTTTAGCAAATTCTGATTTTGACGAGAAAAGTATTTGTACCTAAAAACAGTATATTGAGTTAAAGCTATGATTGGAAAAGGCAAAAAACAATGCCGAGTCATAAAAGCAATTTTAAAAATTTGAGAAAGCGATTTAAAACCCACCTGTTCGTCGAAATTGTTAGAATTTAAATCCAAGATATCAGGTCTATGAAGACAATAATTTTGTAAAAGTAAAGCATTATGGGTGTTATTCTTCGCCTTTAAATTTAAAAAATGAACTACTTATGTTAATTGTAAGTAAATATATTAATTAATTGTAAGTACAAACATTATCCGAACAAAGTATTTTTAACAATTCATTTGGTGATGCTTGTTCATCTATTTCCTGTTCTTCATTATAACTACCAGAAATTAATCCATCTTCCTCAGAAAACGAAGAAAGTGCCACCAAGTTAACATCAGCTATTTCCTTCGTAAATGTATTGCTTGTTGTATTACATTGAAGATGAGGAGGAAAATTTTTAAATGTTTGTTTAATGTCTAAAAGTTCATCGTTGCCAATTAGAGGAAATTTTGAACGAAAAAAAGAAATTAACTGAAAATTTAAAAAAATCCACAATATTCAAAGAATGTTTTCTTAACCTGATTAACATTATTGTTTGCCCCTCTAAGCTGATAGGCAGAAAGAAAAGGTATTATTGTCTCTGCTGTCTTCTCATCAATTTTGTGATGAAACTCACTTGAAGTTATTATTGAAACTAATTTAGAGAATGCCAATGTTGAAAGTCCAAATGATTCAAGACCAGTTAGAGCTGTAGTTGGAAGCATACCAATTAATGCTTTCTAGAGTTTTGAAATAATTATATAATGTAAGTAAATTAACCAACATCAATTGTCGACTCATCACAGCTAGAAAGTCCAAATTGATGAACAAAATTTGACTGATGTTGTGAACCTTTTTGCTCATCAATTCCACTTATCAACGAATTTTGTTGTTCATTATCAGTTTCTCTTGAGACTGATGAATTCACTCTTGATGTAACCGGAAATGCTAAAATTAGGATCAGCTATTATTTCATAAATTAAAAATACTAACATTCAACTTCTTTTCGCAGCGGTTGACATTCAAGTTCTTTCGTTTCTGTTTGTGCAGAAACACGGAATTGACCAAAAATATTCTGTTTAGAATTCAAATTATTACCTACCCCATGGTTTTGAACGGTGACCTAAAAATATCCATTTAGTAAACAATATAGTATTTAACTCCCTCAATTATTTGATATTATTCCCTATTACGAAAAATACCTTTTATAAAAATTTTATAAATTTTTCGGCAATTTATTCTTCAAAACAAGTAAAAATCTTAATATGATCATAATTTTTACGACCAATTTGATTTTTAATATGATAAAATTTTACCGGATGTGATAAAAAATTCCTTTGATTCTTGGCCTGAGGCGCTTCAGATGGACCCGCTGCTGTTGTCACATTTGTTAAGGATGATGTTGGCTGTGGCTTTCTCGGATTTTCAAACTTCGATCGTTTTACAGGTGCGACAGCAGCAGAAGCAACCTAAAGCAGAGAAAATATAAAATAAGTGAAAATAATCCAAAAAAAACCAAAGCAGCTGGCCTTTTAGCTTTTGGAATATGTTGTTGACGTGAAAGTAATTTAAGGCGTAGCTCATTTTTCTTATTCATTTCTGTTAGTTTAAAATAGGTAGAAAAAAAACTATTGAATTCTAAAAATGTGGATAAAATCCAATATTTTCGTGTTAAATTTATAAAACAAAATAATTATCTATATATAATAGTAAAAAGGCAGTCAGCTAAAAAAAAGTCCTTTGGAAGTTTGAGAGGTCGTAGAGGGGTGGGCTTTTTTGCTATAGATGGGAAATTTAATGTAGTTTTCAGGAAAAATACGAAAAGTTGGGGGAAAGGGGCGAGTTTTTTAGATATTGTGAAAAAACATGAAATTGCGAAACTTTGAAGTGAAATTTGAGTATGAAGACGAAGTCGGGGAAAGTTGGGTCAGTTGAGAGGGCACCAATCTAGAAGATTTGGAATATGATAGAAAAAGAGTTGAAGTCAAACGGACAACTTAAAGGGTAGTTATTGATGGTGCAAAATTTTATGTCAAAGTGGTAACATTGGATTTAAGGTATTTAGAGGGGTCTGAGCAAAAAGTGGTTGGGAGAAAAGTTGTAGAGCGTGGTCGGTTTCTTAAGAAAAAAGTTGGTTTCAAGTTGATTGGATTAACGGGAAAAAAGATATGGTGTAAAAATTGAAATTTTGAGGATGTTTCATTAAAGTGACCTTAACTATATTTTGTTTTGGAATTAGAAGAAAAGTGTTGGGAGATGAAAAATAGAGAATTAAATTCTGCATCGAATAAGCTTTGTTTAACGTTTATTTGACTTTTTTGGACCGAGTTATGAATTTTTTAAAAAATTAAAATTTTGGGAAAAAATTTTAAAATTTGACGATCTAATCCGTCCGATCTGTTAAGTTAAGCAACGGTGAGGCGTTTTTTGTAACTTTTGAAGTAATTGTCGTAAAAATATGATTGAGGTGTCATTCGACGTGGAAAAATCAGGCGAATTTTTTAAAAATATTTTCGAAGGGGTCACATGAGTCTGAGTGTGGTATATTTGAGTCTGAAGGCTAAAATCAGTCGAAATTAATTTTAAAAATTCTAAAAATTAATGGGAATAATAAAAAATGAATTTTCGAGAAAAAGGACACTTGAGTCTCATTTTTGAATTTGAGTCAGGGACTGAAAAATTTTATAAAATTTTATAAGAATGAGGCAAATTAATTTATAAGCTACTTTTACGTTTAATTTAATTTAAAAAATTCGTAACGCATTGCAGAAACGCGTTGCCGGAGGCAACAGCCAGAATTTAAAATTATTTTTGAGAAGATACGTAACGCGTTGCAGAAAACGCGTTGCCGGAGGCAACCGCCAGAATTCAAAATTATTTTTGAGAAGATACGTAACGCGTCGCTGAAGACGCGTTGCCGGAGGCAACAGCCAGAAATTAAAATTATTTTTTTAAAAATACGGAACGCGTTGCAGATAACGCGTTGCCGGAGACAACAGCCAGAAATTAAAATTATTTTTTTAAAAATACGGAACGCGTTGCAGATAACGCGTTGCCGGAGGCAACAGCCAGAAATTAAAATTATTTTTTTAAAAATACGGAACGCGTTGCAGATAACGCGTTGCCGGAGACAACAGCCAGAAATTAAAATTATTTTTTTTTAAAATACGGAACGCGTTGCAGAAAACGCGTTGCCGGAGGCAACCGCCAGAATTTAAATTTATAAAAATTCGGAACGCGTCGTGGAAAACGCGTTGCCGGAGGTAACCGCCAGACATAAAGATTATTTTTTTAATTCGGAACGCGTTGCAAAAAACATGCGGGCCGAAGGCCCGCATGTTATTATTAATTTTATTTTGTTGTTTTTTCGAAAATTTATAACTTTTGAAGTATTAGTCGTAGAAAGATGGTTGAGGTGCCATTCGATAGGGAATTTAACGAGGAGTTGAATGAACATATTTTTAAAAGTGTCACTTGAGTCTGAGAATGGATATTTGAGTCTGAAGTTTTCAAATACTGGGAAATTAAGCCAAATTGAATTTTTTAAATTGTAATAACGCTGGAGTCAGCCCTCATACCCAAAAGCTATTAAAACTACTCAGCAATTCGCGCCGAACGCTGGTTTATTATCAGAGAAATAATCAATAAATTGCCAGCAAAAAATTTATAAACTGTAACTTCTTTAATTCATGAGAGATTTAGAACCTGGTTACAGCTTTGAAAACAAAAAATCAGAAGTGAATAAAACAAAATGAAAATAATTAGATCGTGTCCAGTTTATGCCTTCTTCCACATTTTTATAAAACATTCAAAAGAATCGCAGATGTTGCTCATAATATTCAATTAGCTAAATATTAAGAATTAAAACACTTTTAGATTAATAATCTCCACCTTAATAGGATTTTCGGTAGCCAAAACAGGCGTAGGAACAAGCTCGTAATCAGTATCCTCATAACGAACTAACGCCAACAATTGATTCTCATCCTTTTGCGTCTTCTTAACACCCAATACCTTGTCAATTTTCTTGTCTTGTTGAAATTTATATACTTTTCCTTCATATGGAATTTCTTAAAATATTTTAATATGAGTAAAGATGACGACGAATTTAAGAATAAAACGTATACCGAGGAATGGAGCCATTTCATTTGCAACAGTTTTCTTCTCTTCAGCAGGCGCTTCAGTATCGCTACTTGAAGAAATGACGAATTCTTTACTACGTGTTTTCTTGCTTGTAGCGAGAGCAGTATTCTAAAGGAATCAAATCTCTAAATTTAAAACAATTAAACCTTGGAAGTCTTGCTGGCACCTCTATCTTTTGACCCTTCCTTTAAAGAACGATCGACACTCTAAAATAAAAGATAAAGTAACGGAAGTAATTTAGAAAAAGTATATAACCACAGATTTGGAATTTGAACGGCCAGGACTTTGTCGTCTCTTTTTTGTAGGTTTCTTGCTGACATCCTTCTCTTTATAATTCTTCTTGAATTCCTCAATCAGATCAGGACAATCACAATTTTCCTCTGGTTCCCTGAATTTTTAAAGTAATGAAATTTAAATGAATTTACTACCAAGTATTGTCACTAGGATTGTCATAACCCTTCCATTTAATCAGATATTCAACTTTATTTCCTTTGACCGTTCGCTTGTCCAAGATTTTTTCAACCTTATATTAAATTATTATTTTATAAATGAAAAAAAATTAACCTGATAAACACCCCCGCCGTCATTACTTGAGGCATCCGAATCAGTCATTTAAATATTCTAAATAAACCTGCAAGTATTTTAATTAAATGAAAAAATATTAACATATTTTCATACAAAATAAACAATAGCAATTGTTACTATTACATATTTAAAATTATAATTATTAATTTACTTCAAGAAAGAACAAAATTTTATATTGAGCTTGGCTCAGGTGATTTATCAAAAATCAGACAAACAATAAAATAAAACTAGTACATATATAAAAGGTATGTTAAAGCTTTAATCTAAACGAAACAAATAAAAAAATTCCTAATTTTCATATTTACACGTTCATTTGTTTTAATGCCAATGGGATAATTAATTAATACACGAGAGCAAAAATGCATTGATAATAAAAATATGTATACATAAGTAACTGAGTTAAGTTATATTTGGGTAAATTATTGGAAGATATTTTGTATGAGATAGAGGCTTATTTTCAGTTTTTACCTAGTAGAGGTTATTTTAAATGAAAGATCGTTTTTATTTCGATTGCAAATCACATATCCATTAGATTTTGTCAAAATGGTCTGGATCCTCACGAAAATGACTAGGCACTTTGAACATTTCATCTGGAAATGCTGCATCATCATTAGATTGTTGCCAACGAAAGAGCTGAACTGTAATCTTCATTGTCAGTGTGGCAAAGATGGGAATCTCTGAAAAAATTAAATCTCATCCACCAAAAAAGGATACCGATTGTGAGCAGTGGGTAGTTTATTTCCGTGTGAAAGGTAGTTGATTTAACTAGCTTATTTGATCAGAATGCATTTAAATTTTTTTAAAGGGTATAACCAATTAAAAATACTTAAACTTTAAGTAAGACTTTAAAAAACACACCTAATTGAATAGGAAAGCCTGGTGGCAACCGTCCAGAACTGCAAAAGGCACGGAATTTTTTCACTGTTGTTTTCACAGGCTCTAGAACTTCAAGAATGTCCAACAGTTGATCGGTTGTGAGTGGAAAGTCCTGACACTTTAAATTAACAGAGAAGTATTTTAAATTTGAAAAATCCTACCAACGCCAGCATTCCTTTGATTTCAGTATTTGTAGTCTTCTCTTCCTTCGGCCTTCCCAAATGCGAGTCCGGCCCATCAGGCAAACGGAGATATTCGGCCCAAGTAAACTCTGGTTTTGGGGGAGGGGACAAACTTGCACGGTGACGGTCCTTTAAAAATTAATTTAAAACTCTCTGAAAAAGGAAAAATCAATTATTTAAAATTACTTTATCATCATCATCACTGCTACCATCATCAGGAGGAAGTTTGCCACTAGAGAAAGCCTTATTCAACTCTCGGTTCTTGCGTAGATCTTCTTGAGAAAGATGCTCCCGCCTAAAATAAAATAAAAAATTATTAATTAGAATAAACCTCTTCCGAGTAATAAGACACAATTCCTTAATGTTGAACAGATCAGCTTTGTATTCTCCAATATTATACTAAAAATTTAAAGAAAAAAAGATTAGACAATCTCCTTTTTTATTAATCCATAGTAGACTTAAAAGCGCATAAAATAAAAGTTATTAGCTGGAAAGAATGATCGGCTACTATTAATTTTCGGCACCTGATTCAATTATCTACTAGTTTTAGCCGTAAAACTTTGTTTTTCGTTATTTAATGACCAAAAAAGCAGAGTGATAATAAGATGCATTTCAAAAACCTTAAGACATATTTTAAACATACCGATTTGTCGTTCATGAACCAGCCTTTTGCACGAACAAAACGAATAGGCCGAGTACTTATGTGACTACTAAAATTCATTATAGACCATAAAAGATTAGATAAATAACCTTATGATATCACAGCCCATTAGGAGATCAATTTCATCATTGAGGTGACGATTCTTATCTCGGACCCTTTGATATACCTAAAATATAAAAAAATATTTAG